CTACAGCGCTACAGGTTATAATAAATATAATTAAATGAGGGATAAAATGAATAAATCCTAGGAATAAGTCACAACTGATACAATTACAGCGTCATTCGAAATGTATGCGATTATGACACAGTAAAACAGAAAATGTAACTTCACGGAATAATTACTAACAACTAATAAAAACGCGAGGAAGGCAAGATAAAAGCACAGAAAAAATATAGGAAGGTAAGTTTGGCGGAATATGCAACTAAAAGCAATATAAGGCAAACAGTAAATCGAAAATATTTACAGCAAATGCAATTTAGGAGACACTTACGAAAAATTGATAAGGTCTAATGAGGAATACAAACAAACTATTACATCTATATAATGTAAATAATAAAGAGGAAAAGATAAAACGGCCTGGTCATTGAAAATAATAGCGAACGTAGGTTAAGGGCAATAAGCTATCGCTCTCCACTCTGAACGATTTTTGAATCAACTATTAATGTAGCAGATACTCTCGGATTCCGACTCCCTGCACCTATTTTCGTTCGGGTTGATTGACGTTAGCCAGTGTAGGCCAGATCGTTACGGTAATAAAAAGTAAGCGATCTTAGTAGAAATTTCAATGTTTACCGGTACCCGTACTGGTATAAGAGGAGAGATATTCACCGATATATTTATTTTTTAGGTCTCTTTTAAAAGTGCAATATGCTAGGGATCTAATGGTATTAGGTAAAGCGTTCCACAGTTTCACACCTATATATTTAATGGATTTCTGTGTTCTGCTCGAGGAGTACCTTGGGACATGGAATGAACCTGATGAAGCCGATCTGGTAGAGTAGGAATGGATATTACTCTGCTTCGTAAAAAATTCGGCGAATGCCATGGGAAGTTTGTCATCAAAGTACTGGTGCATGAGTTTCAATACCTCGGATTCATGAATATGACCAAGTTTAATTATTCCACATCTGTGGTATAAAGGATCTAGTCTAGACCGAAATGGTGCGTTACATATGGATCGAACTGCTTTGTTTTGTAAAACCTCCAATCTTCGAAGGAGAGTAGTCGATGCGTTACCCCATGATATGATACCATACTGTAGATATGACTGGAAAAGAGAAAAATAGACCATTCGAAGGACTGGCATGGTAAGAAATTTTCTAAGTTTGTATAACATACCAGTTGCACTTGCCAGCTTTCCAGCAACAAGGTTAAGGTCACGCGAAGTTGCTTTGTAACCATTGTGACGTAACAAGCTGAAATTATAAATTATTATGTGAAACGTTACACTGCGGTTAAAGTGTTTTCTTTGAAATACTCAGTGACAACCAATTTTCATTTTTTATTTCCTTCTCTTCAGTGACACACAATGAACATTCGTCAGGATAGGTAGACGCTGCAAAACTATTACACTCCTTTAACAGCGATTCACCAATCACCGATACTAAAAATTATATTTCCGAAGAAATGTAACTTTTGTCTGTATAAAATTATTTTTTTGAATTTTAATACAAAAAACTATTTGTTTAGTTATCTCCATAAATCTCAATATTTACTGAGATTGTGTTTTAAAACGGTTGAAGTTTTGCAATCATGTAATTATAGGTATTCATTTCCATACCGAGTTATGAAATAAACATTTGTTGTTTTTCATGCATTGTATTTGACATATGATAAGAAAAATTTGAAACGTTCGAATAAGCACTGATACAGATGTACTTTTAGGATGTTACTGGATGTTTAGTATAAGTCTGCATTGATTTGTGAAATAGGGACTTTGACTGAGCATAACGACGGACATTTATGCTAAAACTCCGCACTCCGGAAGTATTCGTTCAATATGACGCACAACCTGAACAACCCTAACCTGGTACACATACTATGTTCCGGTTGTGCGCCATCTTGGTGAGAATACTTCGGGAGCACCAGAACTTTTTTGTCGGTTATTCGTTTTTCGTTCCTTTCGTCATAACCTTTATGATTTTTTGATCAAACTTAATATAAAGAATTATATTCTTTGTATTAGCCTGTTCCTTTACATTATACATAATATTATCTTATGCTTATCGCACCCACCTGAAGCAAAACTTCATACAGTTCTTATTTATGCATGCACTAAATGAAACAATTCTTACGTCACAATATACGATTTTCTCTTCCCTTGAGGTCGTTTCGTACCGTGAACTCATTACATAAATATTTGTTGGGTCACAACGATGTGACCATTTCGCGGTTCAAATTTAATTATTAAGCCCTTAATTTACTTTGAATAATTCTTGTATTTGACAAAATTGTTGCGTCATAATTAATATAATTAAGTGTAAGTACTCCACGTTTTTCAATATTTCTAAAATATCTTAAATTCACCAGGGTAAATTTAGAATGGCGAAAAATTGAGTGCGGGTGCGCCTGTGTGATAGATTGGGAGATTGGAATATTTAAACTTATTTGTCTATTAGAATAGTAAAAGCAAGTTTCACACTAAATCTTTTTTTTGAAATTAGTCAATAATAGCTTTATCTCTATTATTATTTTTTGTATCAGATTTTCGCACCTATTAGTTACCCAGATATATATACATAAGGTATTTCAGAATTTTGAAAAACGTGATATCTTTATCTTCAATTAAGTTAATTAGGACACAATGTTTTTGTGAAATATGTGTGTTATTCAAAGTAATTTCAAGGTTGCTATATTTGACCAAAAATTCTTTGCTCGGCTCAATATTTCATCTATGAATCCAAATTTTTACTTTAGCAATTTTGCTGATGTGATGTTCCTTGCCACATGTCAAAAATCTGTTGATCAAGCAAAACGATTACACGCAAGCGGCGGACCGATCTCTTATCTAGTTACATTTTTAAATGTTATTTCACTCGAAGAAAATACTGAAATCGATAAAGCAAACAAATGGTAAATAATAAGACATCATTTCCTGAGCATTACATTGTAAATAATTTTTTATAATAATATCGTTTTATGTCGTGTTCTTGGATCCGTTGCTATTAACCCCATCTGAAAAATATAGCTGCTAAGGTGAAGATCTAATAGATATAGCTGACAAATCGGTGCTACTATAGCATGAGGTGTACCACACTGTAGCGTAGGATCTATCTCATGTTAGGACTATAACGAGAGGTACACCGCTTCATATTTAAATCCCAACGGATATTACTCATAAATATCAATTTATAAATTTTATTCAACGATAAATACTTCTCAGACTTTACACTCACACTTCACTTGGGTTAGGCTCCATATGACGGTAGACCTCACGCTATTTGTAGCACCAGGAAAGTTTACCGTGTGTTTATTCAATTTTGTTTGAATGCGAGTAAATATTGCATATTTTTCAATAGGGTCACGAGGAGTTTTCGTAAAAAGATTGAGGTTTTAATAAGTCAATCAGGTATGGACGGATAGAAAGTGAACTTTTTGCCTTACGAATTGACGTGAGTTGCTGGGTGACAAACAGGAAGCAGAATTAATTGAATCTTTTGACGTTTTTTCGATTCAAGTAACGAAAAAATGTGAATGTGACTTTATATTATGTTATAGTGCAACATCTATTCCGCGTATAAAATGCCAAGCTGTACAAAATTTTACTTTATTTAATTAAGAGTCGGCTGTCGCATGCGACTGGAATAATGTGAAAATATAAACTTTAGATTGTGAACTCGAAATAGAAGGTTATCCAAACGTGAGACTCTCCAAACTAGAATGAATAAGGTTGTTTGAATAGTATAAATTAGGGGTAACGTAGGTACAGTAGACGGGAATAATAAATTACATATATCCGATTTTTTATGTAGAATCGATTGAGAAAAGTTTCAATATTCAATGGAATATAGCAGAATTTATTGCTTTTGGTAAAAATGTAAATGCAATAATGCGATGCAGTGATCCTAGTAAAAATTATTATGATTGGCAGATAAAGGAATCATTGTCGAAGAAACCACTCCCTGAGAATAAGCAGTATATATATCAAGTTACCACATTCAAACTCACCTCAAGCGCAAGTTTTAAGAATATATTTAGGTATACACGATACGTATGTTGCCCGATAGAGCATAGTTAGTAACTGACCAAAGTGGTTCATTCTTTTATAATATTGAGCATTTGCAGAAGATGTCTATCAATATTCAGTTCAGGCATTGCAAAATACAGAAAGGATTTCTTAACGCTAACTAGTTTTTCAGATGAGGATTCCTAAATTTATATTTTACAATGCATATATATATTTTTTAATCGTATTCTCTATAAAATTTTCAAATCTAAATAGCTTTTTTCTTTTTGTCGTTTTGTTGAACGTTCAATAATAATAATGCAAATATAACAGGACAAATTGACCATCATCGAAGTCGATATCTTGTCTGAAGCGTTAAATTCCAAAAAAAAAAACTCCCGCTCCAGATGTAAAGTTCAAGAAACTACTGATTTAAAAGCAGAACGGCAGATATACTTGTCTTATCATTTTTCTCACAATGATACTTATCAACCTGTCCGTAAATTTATAATTTATAAATGGACATTCGAATTCAGTATTAAACAAGGCGCACAGAATATGTGATGCAACTTATAATACACCTAATTTGTTAGCATAAAATAATTTTATAATCTCAGTCACGACAAAAACGATATTTTTTCATATAAAACGAGGTATATAATGCATTAATGATATATGTGTTAGCGTGTATCTTACATGTTGCCCGCAAAGTTTGCTGGTATTCTCATAAGAAAGTTTTTAGAGTAATTGCCAGTTTTAAAATGGCGTCTTTAAAACGGAGCGTCGCATTTTAAGCCATTATAGTCAATATCCGATCAGTTTTGAAAAGTTTCTATATTTTATTACCCACATTCGTTACAACTCGAGTACAAGATATACGAGAGTGTGGGATGCACCATCACCCGCAACTCGATTTTGCTACAATCAAAAGTTTAAAAAGAACGAAGTACCATTTGAATTTTTGTATGATTATTTTTCGAATAGGTATTTCTTGAAGGGAATATTGTCAACATATTTTTGATGTGTAAAGTATTACGTTAGGATGGCATACAATTTTGAAATACTCATAATTTTGTTGAACATGTTTTACTGCATCGTGAACTGTCATCAAGATCCGCGAACTCAATGTAGAATAAAAATGATAGAAAGGAATGAATGTGGATATCCTGGAATACCAATGGATTCATGTGTGGGAAGGTAAAGGTTTTTGGGTAAAATTCTTTTCTACTTTCGTTTAAAAACATGTTATTTTGGTAAATTTAAATCACACGGTAAGGCGAATTTATACATTTTGAAAGATGTATACCATCTGCTTCACAGCTCCAAAAAAAAATTGTGCACTGCGAAGATTTATTGATGATTTTTGAATTGACACTCACCCCACTATGTATTAAATAAAAAATATCGGTTTTAAACATACTTAGAGCTGGTAGTTATGTTAAAATCTTATAAAATTTCATTCCATAAAATAGACCATTTCAAAATAGAATATAAAATTTTTGCTTTATCCTATAACCTAACATGATAATAAAAAACATAAAAATGATTTGCGAATATTTTTATCAACAGAGGATGCTGTTACGATAACTCCACAGCAGAAACGATATGGTGCTACAAAGGTATGTTACTCAGTGTCTTTAGAATTCTCACTCTCTCTCTTTCTCATTTTTATCGTTATTCTGTTTCCCTTCAATTTAGCGAGCCAAGATCTTGGATTGACTAAAACTGCGTTGATTCTTCTTGCCACCGACAAAGAGGTTCCGAAAGAAGTTTTGAGATCGTTATTTGCCGATTGTAAGTAAAACTTTTGCGTTAATTCGTATTTGAATAAAATATCACTGGTGATGAATAAATAAATTAGTGGGCCGTGTAGTTAGATCGGGCATTGTGAATATCTAACCAGTCCACCAACGTACTCGAAGTACAAAAAAATCTGAGTATGTGTGCACAAAAAAGTATTAGCTATTCACAACCAGAAAACGCCATGCACCTGGTTTTTTGATTTATCGAGGGCATCGAAATAACTTCACTAGTGGAATTATTGATAAACCAGTGATAATAAAATCAAATAGGCGAGGGAATTATAAATACAATTTTTCCTATTATTTTTCTAGCTGTACCTGGTGCAGAATGGTTGCTGGCTTTCAACAATGGAACACTCAATACAAAACGGTTACTTCAAATTATAGCAAGTATGAACGTTGTGAAAATTCAATTTCATTCTACAAGTTTATTTTTATTTATTCCCGACATACTGTTTTGAACGTGTTTCTCCAGGAATATTTTTGCTCGACGGTTTTCCTGATTTTATCCGTATGAATGCGCATTTTCCAACACAAGTGATGATGTATGACATTATATGATATGTCTTTATGTTTTATTTTTTAGAAAGAAATCGTGTATCCATAGATCCATTTTTAGGCGAATTACTATCTGGAAAAAGCGCTCTGCAGGCGTATTTGGAAAAAATAGCAGATGAAACAGGTGATTAATATTTCCGTTATATATTATTAGTTCAGAGAACATTATTTTTGTGCCACCAAAGCAATTCCTATTTTTACCATAAAAGATAAAAATAAAATACGATAATTGACAAAGATTTTTTCAGAAATTTTTCTGAGATAATCAGGAATCAGTACAGGCGGATGTAATTTGAACTCGTTCACCGTTATAAACATGTAAAAATATCTTTCTTCCGTATGACTCCGTGTCGTATAGAAAATGGCGAGACACGGTTTATAATTATAAAAGTTTGCAGTCGTGAGATTATGTATTTAATTCGCTTTTCCACTTCCATATCAGCCAATCGTTTTTTCTAAGTATGGCTGCTGCTCAGGTCATATCGATTTCAGTTTAAGAAGGTGGGCGTGAACAATAGTTCTTGTTACGAAGTATTAATAACGAGTGCCTAAAATATATGATTTCAAATTTCACCTGAATTGCATTTTTAAGAAATAGATGGAATAAAATGAGATTATCATGTTACAGGATTGGATACAACGCCTCTTAGTTTATTAATCCGTGGAAACTCAAGATCAATTCTCAATCACCTTGTTGCTCTGGCCTGGGGTATGGTACTTTTTCAAAAAAATTCTAAGAAAAGGCAATACGTAGTATAACAAAAAATAGTGAACTTGCTTCATCTATACCTAGTATTCTAGGTAGACCCAGTCTGATTTTGGAACTACAATACAATTTTAGCAAATGATAGAAGCAATACGAAAATATATTCGAAAGAAGTTATCAATCATAAGTTTTAACATACCTACGCATACAACAGTGAATATTTCCTACAAGAAGATGTCTGAACTTGATATAATCAACAAGTGGTATATGGCATCACGCTTTTATTTTTTAAAACATAGAATCTCTTAAAGAAAACCTCATAAAACCCTGCGTTACATTAAATGAATATTTTAAAGAAGAGATAAGAATTCTATATATTGACTTTTTCACTATGTATCAATTATTCAAATAGGGGTTGACACAAATCTTGAACCAATTCAACCCTTTATTGCCAGGGTACTATATTTTGCCAATATTATAAAAGTTTTTTATTAGAAACATTTTTGGAGACGCTCAGTCTATCAATTGGGAACAAACTATCAGACCAGGCTAAAAAATCCAATCTATAAAGAGTCAAATAACTGGAATATAACTTGCCGAATACCGAGATACAATTACCACTTTGCTATTCCCCAAACATAAGACACTTTGTGGATCTCATTGATACAACCAAAAAACATGGTGTCAAGAAGTGTTTTTCACAAGATGCTTTAGATACAGCATTTAACATAGGGAAAATTTTGTCTGATGTTCCCAACAAACATGGGGGTAACATATATTATATAATAATGACATAGCTGAAACAAGACGTAAATTAAGGTTATAATATAATTGGTATGTATATTCTATGCAGCGGTTCCCAAACTATGGGTCGCGACCCACTGGTTGGTCGCAAAAGGAAACCTAGTGGGTCGTGAAAAGATGTAGAAAGCTGTGATTAATTATAATGGTTATTAGGATCGGTGGCGACTCGAATACGTAAATCTTCAAAAAACATAGGAAATTAAATTGAATTAAAATTCTAATCTGTGAAAGTTTCCATTTTACGATCTTCTCAAAGAACCAAAAATTTGCTACACAAAGAATGACCATGTGGCTTTTTTACGCATAGCAGCATGCCATTCTCTTCATCTTATAAATCTAGATTTTCAGCAATGGTTGGGATTAAAAGCAAATTTTGAAATAAACTGCAACATTCGCATTCTTTACGTCTAAAACTATCTCAAATTGAAATAAATGTCAAGTCTATTATGGAAAGTAGCGAGAAACAAGCTCATCCTTCTCACTAGCTTCACTGAAAATTTAATTTGAGAAAATAAATTTGTTTCCTCCATCAATGTTTTATTAATTTATTAAAGTTAAATGAGTTGTCATAAGCTGTGGTAATAAAAAATGGGTCCCAACTCTAAAAAGTTTGGGAACCACTGTTCTATAGCTTTATTCCTAACTGCTTTATATTTTTCAAGTGAAAAGTGGCAAGACTAATATCATATCTTTGGAAATTATGAACATATTATTGTCGAAAAATCCAAATCCCGGTGCTTATATGATACAACATTTTGTCGAAATCTTGATGCCATATTCAAGTAAAAGTGAGATATTTTATATTGTTTTTATTTTGCTTCGAAGTTTTTGCTCAATCAAATCTAGAAATAAATAATTTTTTATGTGAACAAAAAAGTATTACAATACATGACGAAAGTGCGTTGAAATGATTTCGGAATACTCAGAAATTTAAAATCGAAGTTGATTATTGAATAGCTCATATATAAAAAGTAATTTTAACAAAAATTATACATCGATTTTGTTTGATCATTTAAACAGAAAAACGTGATTTTTGAAAAACCGAACAGTTTCGAAGAAAAATAATAATTATCATTTGTACCGGAATATATATATATATATCAGAGGCTATTTGAAATATATTATACCTTTATGATATCAAATGTTGGCTCTACGTTATTTAAGTATTACACGTTCCATACTTTTTTAACTTTCTCGGCTGAATACCCCATTACAACAATCAAAATAGAATATTTTTATTGTTTAAAAATCCATTTTAGACAATCCTTTTCGAGACGCATTCTTCAGAGCATTGAAGTCCAGGAAACCTCGTGAAGCAATATATTGGGCTTATTTAGTTTCTATTTACGACGAATATCGTGAGTATTTTGTTGGATAATATTGAAAATAGAATTCTAGTTCGCGTTTTTAGATAACTCAAAGAGAATTAAAAATGAAACGATATTTTCCAAGGTATCGTTCTAAGTTACGATTTTACAGAAAAAAATTCCTGAACGTCATCAGTATTTCATTTTATTTGGACCAAATAACTTTTTGGTTGCTTTGGATTTTAAAGAATTGGGTTTTGAAGTTTGTGCTTGGGTTTCGAAAACAGAAAAAATGACACCATTTTGTGTTAGTTTTTCGACTGCGTAATTATGCAATTTCCTGCATATGTATTTGGATCTATAACTATGTTTGTTGTTTGGAAAAATTCTGTATTCGAATATTTTTTTCCGTATAGGTTATTAGACCTTATTATTATAGCTTATAACACAAAATATTAGGATTGTTTCAATATTGCTAAACTAACTACTATTTCGATAAATAGTCCTTGGCCATTAGTGAATGACACTCTCTGATCCCGATATAGCAATATTTATCAAAGCAAATGTTTCCTGACTAATATTATTGTGCATCCAATGTTTAATCAAACTAAACGGAGACATATTGATAACGATAGAATCACTTGAATCTTCAAAATCTGGAGATTCACATACAGTATCAGTATTCTTGGTTTAGTTTTGAAGTTATTTTTATAAACTTCAGCACAAGATTCTTTTTATCCACCAAACACCGGTCACTTTGTGAATCTCATTGATACAATCAAGAAAGGCATGGTGCCCAGAAGTATTCTCAACAGAGCAGCTCTAGATACAGAATTCAATAAAGGGAAAAATTTTACTGAGGTTTTTGGCAAACCAGCTAAAGGTGAGGAAAAGTTAACATTTTTTTGGTTTTCTTTATTTTGCCGCGTTTTCTTGGACTTCCTGATTCCTGATAAGCTTCCAGGGTAATGGAGTTTGAAATGAACGTAAGAGAAAAAGTTTGTTTGCTTATCATTTTTTCGGTTTTCTTTATTTTCCGCGTTTTCTTGGACTTCCTGATTCCATGTCACACAAAAAAATGGAAAGACCACAGTTTATTTTAAAAAAAGTTTCCAGTCATGGGACTTATGTTGCCCGATTCCAGTCGTTTCCAAGTTCCAAGTAAGACTACTGAGTTATTTTTTCAAGCCGATATTTTTAATCACCATCCTTATTCAATTGACTCTCTTATGACGTGCGTGTGTAAAAGTTTTGTTCGTTCAAGAAGAATGGATTAGTTGAAAAAGTGTGCAATGGCCAGTGTTACAAGGTTTTCACCTTTTGACTATACATGTTTGGTATGTTAGTATTTATGCGTTTGATTGTTGAACCAAGCAACTCTATTTTCTCTTAAGCCTTAAACCCTGTAGTCCATATTCATGTATGTCCGGTGTCCCGAAAATGCGTGTCCCACTTGTCCCGACTGTCCCACGTGTGTCACTTGTTCCACTTTGTCCTGGGACAAGTGGGACGCGTGGGACAAGGGGGCGAGTGGGACAAGTGTACACGACAGTTTTCAGACAGGCTATGTATGTCCATGTTTAAAATTTTAATATTAATTCAATTAAACAATTTTTCTTATTAATAAATCAGTATGAAATGAAATTTGAAGAAATTCAATGCAATAAACATATTTGTCAGTATTAAATGTTATGTGTTCGTTATTATTATTCTAAATGAAACTGATAATATTATACCATTGTCTCTCCTTTAGAATGGCATTGGTCAATATACGATATAATTTTTAGATACTAAAGCATTTAATTTAACTGTTTGCTTCACAAGACTGAATAACTACAATTTTGTTTAGTTTACGTTTGTCAGCAACATCCAGAGTATCTTCGAGTCAGTTGTCAAAATCTGAAAGGGAAATTTATAGTCACCGACAAAGATTGTTTGAACGCAGGTTGCTGCATTACATTAATCGTTGCAGAAAATAGGAAAATATGCTACGAAAACTATCTTGGAAACATAGGTAACGATTGGGGTTTTTTATATATTTTGATGGATAAATGCTTCACCGTTTATCGATTTATTTGATCTTTAAGCCAGATAAGACATTTCAAAACTGCTCAAACTCAATATTTTATTCGCAAGAAGAGACATTTTGGCCACATTCTGTATATTTATTCTATTGGTATAATCTTGTAAAAAAAAGACAATGATTTCGTTGATGATATAATATATTAGGTTAAAGCATTAATACTTTAATAAAGATCATTGTTCTATCTATATGATTATTTTCCTTACATTACAACTAAAATACCAGCAATAATGATTTCTGTTGGCAATTGTACGCTTTAATTGATTGTTGCTTCATTCCTTACAGGACTAAAGTTGGCCTTCTCAAACGAAACTACAACAGATTTGAAGCAATTTTTCAAATTTGCAGCAAGAAATTTCATACCTTGTAAGAATGAAAATTACTTGATTTCAATTTTATACTTTATAGGGAACTCAACAACACGAATCAAAGATAGAATAGAAGGATTTAAATATTCTGACATTTCTCAGACAAACTATTTTCTCTTCTTAATGTACTGCACTCATAAACACTCCAAAAACGAATGTTTCAGTTCGTTCGTTCGAAACCAAAAAATTTCTGTATATATATATATTTGTAGATACACCACGAGTAAATTTTCGATTCTTGCTGCCTTAAATCTGAATCAGTGGTATTAATTTTCGTCTAATACTTTATTGCACAGGGGTTCCAAATACAGCCTTGCCACCAGCATTCGTCAAATTTCAGTCGAGTCCTAGTGTAGATCCATTCAACCAATTCTATCCTACTTTAGTTGTAAGTATCGCGATCTGAATATTCCTACAATATTTATTAACATTTTTATTGTAGAAATTAAATATTTCTAATTGTTTCTAATTTTTCCTATCAGTTAATTGTTTAGTCGTCTCAGTGTATTTTGGAGAGGGTAGGATACTTGCTATCATGTCAGAATCGGGATTTTGGGAATTGCCGTTCATTTCCTGTTTTTCAAATATATTTGTATTTAGATCAAGTAACATAACTGTGAGTGAATACTGCCTGGTTTTGAGACATGGGGAATTTATGTATTCCACATTGCGGATTTCATCACTCACGTTAGTCCTTTACAAATAAACCATATATATATATTTTTCCAAACTTATATTTTTTGTTCATTTTCCATAGCCAATAGAACCACACCCTGTGTTTCGTCCGAATTTCACATGGAAACCTCACGGTCCGACAGCTTTTCCATTTCCTACCAGATTGCCAAAACGTAAGTGGGGTACACTTCATTGTTATCCAGAATAAAAGAATCAACAACGTTGCACCAAATCATATTGTATCGCTAAATAAATTGTTATTCTTGTGAGTTCGTAGCCGTTTAATTCTTCTGCTACTTTTCCGACGTAAATTAACAATCTCTGTACAACTTTCTAACGCATTCAAGGAATCTTGAATCCACAAGGAATTCATTCAATTGTATGACTTACTTACCATCATATGGTCCTGTTTATTGCTTAGATGCAGTTGACCAATATCTCGGCTTCAATGGATGTTTTCTCCAACCGTTGACTGCATAAAAATTGATTCTATACTTCCCCATTGCAAAAATTGTAGTGTTACTTTTGATATTATTTTCTTGGAGTAGGAGCGTGAAAATTGGTTTACATCTGAAAAATCTTCTTTTTGCCCACCTTAACGGGCTATTTTTGAACACTGCAACCAACTTCTGAGGACAAAATGGCGGCTCTAAATTAGTGATTTATACTTAATCTTGGAAACATACATATATAAAAACTAACAACTGACACTCAAAATTACAAAAACGAATCAATGGTTTAATCACTCTTGGAAAGGGTGTCTACGCCGCAGCCTAAATTTCAGTTGTTACGTCACTGTTAACGTCTTGCTGATTGGACAATGTTATGGAAATAAACAGGAAGGCGATTTAAGGCAAGAAACATTAACATCGTGTTTATTATTTATCAAAAAGTCTTAGCAGAGCATGTTTTTTTTCAGAATTGCAGGCTCCTACGGATATGTCCTTAATCGAATTCGGCAAGCCATCGAAAAGACCACCACTATTTATCGGTGAGTTTACCCAGTTCGGAATTTTAAATCCACACAATCTGTGCTTATTATATAAATAAGTCTACGATATATAAAATGCCTATTTAACAATTGTAATTCTTTGCTGCCATTATATACAAATATTTACCGTTATTTTCGATGAGAACCAGAAATACAATGAAATCTTTTTTTAGCGTTACCGCCAAAATGTATTAAAGTGCCTAACGAGGATAGATACCCATGTATCGATAATTACGATGCATTGGCTCGTGGAGGAAAGGATAAATGTATAGCAATGGGATGCTGTTATACTCCTGACTGGTCTAACTTCACAGTAACTGCCTGTTTCCGAAAGATCAAATACGGTAATTTTTTTATAACTCATCTTTAGAGAAGTTAATTTACCTTTAATTTGGGTTAAATTTTCTTTATGTACCTCAGGGAATTTTTTTGTATCGCTGATGTAAAAAAAATTGCACCAACATTTGTTAGTCGTTTACATATATTTGAATATTACTATCATGTTACAGAAATGATGTGACTAAAGTTTATGTTATAAGTTTGTTAGTTTGTAATTAGCAAAACTGAAGTATTAAATGTAACAACATTCTTATCTGATGGCGGAACGGTCGCGAGTTCAATATCCAACAAAATTGTAAAAAAAATTCAATATCGGGGAATTGAATAAAACCCATGCTTGTCGATTTTTGTATACGACATTTTTAATGAAAAAAAAATTAGTTCATGAAAACACTTAAACAAACAGAGGGTTGGCAAGAATTCTAACTCAATATCATCAACTGAAAATATCGACAACAGAGAGCGCGCAGTTGGACCATTTTATCAGTTTTAGAGGTTAATTCATTACTAATTGCTCGGCAAAATAAAGTTAATATATATCATGACGCCAATGTTAACAAAACCGAGCTACGGTAAACAATGTTTGTCTACAATATTCTTGTAGGGCAATGTTACAAAGTAGAAGAAAGCGAAAGAGAAGAGTGTGGTTATCCCGGTAAGTAATTTAATTTGGGAATAAAATCCTATTTATTACCATTTTTATATCCATAAGATACTGTGGAATTGTGACGATCAAGTTGACAATAATATATCAATTATGCTGGTGAAGTCTGATTTTTTTCTGTTCGTTGCTGGGAGTGATGAACAGGCAACCGTAGAAAAAGAGCGAGATAGAGATCAAACTAAGGACTGGACCACTCCAAACTGCCTTTAACAACACAACGTTAAAACATTAATATATATCGGCTGTAGATGTACTAAAATTTTCAAATAAAAAAAAAAAATCTGATAAATATAAGATATATTTACATGTATACCTCAGAAGTTCATGATCGCAAAATCAGAACTTAACATTTTTTCTTTGAAAGAAAGTGTTCTCGAAACTCTTATTATTATATCCACTGTATTTTCAGGAATTAATAAAACCGAATGCCTGAAAAACACACAGTGCTGTTTCAACAGTGCGGTAACAGCAAAGGGTGCTTACAACAAAGTTCCTTGGTGTTTTTATAAGAAAAGTATGTGACTAATTCTTCAGAGAAGTATCCCGAGCTTAAATATTCAATATATATTTAGAATAAAAATAAGATTAATGTACTCTATTTTGTGACATGTATTTCTTTACCAGTTTGAATAACCAATATTAATAATTTTATACAATTTTTCTACAGGATCGCCTGTGATAGAACCTAACAATTGCGCAGCTCGGCCAATTTTACCCAAAAATAGAGTTGGATGTTTTCTTAATCGTAAGTTGAAAATTTAACTAAACTTTACAGTTTATTTAAAATATTTATTTATGACATCTATGCCGTAAAACAGTAACTTATATACGGACAAATTTGTACAGTTGAAAAGAACTATTATCATTTTGCATTATGCAAAACTTTATTGCCCAATTTATTACACACTTAGTCAGAATTAAATATTACAATTCAAAAACCCTAGTCATGAAATAATTCGGGATTCTTTTTATGATTTATAATTTACAAGACTGTGTTAAGATAACAGCACCATAGCAACCAACAGAATTATTTTTTATTATTAACAAAATATAAGAATCGCGCAATCCAATTTGAAAAATTCTATACCCACAGATAATTTCAACCACATTGTATCACGACAATCATGCGAAGCTGTTAAAGGATGCTGTTATGAAGAAGTAGAGCCGACGTGGTTTGAAAGAGTGGTATTGGGCAAAGTAAAACCACCAACTTGCTATAAAAATCGAAGTAAGTCATATGATTATTTTTTTAGATAAACAGTAATGAGAAGTATAGCCGACAGTCTAAATCCAACCAAAAATTGTTTTAACATGTTTAGCATGTTTGAACGCTCAAAAATCGTAAGGTTAATAGACGCTTTTAGTGAACATAAAAAAACTCCTTGAAGTACTAATTACAATCCATTAAAGCACTAGAAAATGGGTTGGCTTCTCTTCTGCAATATGAATATTTGTCATCTATTTTTTCCAGGAACAGACACCACGCCAACAGATTTCCCCCCACGTGAGTAACATTATATTTGAGTAGATGTTCAGATACAACAGATAAATTACTACTGAAATTTAATCTCGATATATCTTTAGGTTGAAAATGATGAAAAATACTCGACAAAATGAGGTTTTCAAATCTGAGTATATATATATATATTTTAGTGGGTCACATATCAACTGCACCATATATTATATTATAATATCATACATGAGCCATGTAAGCACTGTATCATTTATTTGTAAAGCGGCTCGTTTATTATCGTGTTGTTTGTTGTTGGTACGAAAAAATATCGATTTTTAATTCAACCACTAAGCCTATAGCTTTTTCCATTGTTCATTTATCCAGTAGTTAAAGATTGTATCGCTGAAGTCCATGTCTATTTTCTCGTTTTCCATACACAATGAACAATGTTTCCTTATTTATTATTTACTAACTGTATTTCAGTTCCGCCATTACCGATAGTAGTATGCCGATACAAAAACGAACTTCGTCCTGACCTTCGAGTAGACTGTAAACCAAAGCAATCGTTGAATTGGTTTGGATGTTTGAAAGCAGGTTGCTGTTATGAATCTCTGCCTGCGTTTAACAGATATCCATGGTGCTTCAAGAAGGGATAAAAAGGTAAAAAATCCTTTGATTGAGGGACTGATTATGCGGATGCCACCCTGCAATATAACTATTGTTGGTTTGAATAAAAATGCAGAAAATGTTGCAGCAAGGGAATGAATCAAAGTACGGATGAGTTTACAAGAAAATGTAGCCCACTTGAAATCTTGATGAGGTCTATTTTAGAAAAGTGTGTTGTTGCTTTACAAAGGAGAATGCAGCATATATTTGCATAAAAGCGTCTTATTTTCCTAACAAAATATTGGTTATAACCTAGCGTTTGTTTCATATAATCTTGCCGTCTAGCGTGTATACCTGAAATAGACAAAAAGGGAAAATGGCTGGTTCGATAAAGAAATGTGATCACTAATTGAAAATCATTTTGTACCGTGTAATCCAAGTGAATGTTAATCAATTTTTGTTTTTCTTTTACAATAAGTGGTCAATGTTAATCATACGTATAACACCAAAGTATAACAATACCATTTTTCAGGATGGATTTTACAAAGTGCTATATTGAATGATGGCGAGTCGAAGAAGTGACAGACGTACCCTATATTGTTCTTGATCGTTTATGAAATTTCTGTGCATTACTAGAAGACTATGTTGTTTTTTTATTATGACTTTCAAAAGAAAATTTTTCACAATGTCAACGTGTAATTAATTCATCGGCGCATTAAATTGCTTTGTAGGTTGCGAGGATGGAGTAAGTTTTCCGCATCATCTTTTGTTATTTTGATACAAGAATACCAGAAATTTCACCACGAGGTATGCTTAGTAGGAAGGAGTTGGACTTGTTTTCATTGGAGTTAGACTCTTCATTCAGATTTACATGTGAATAATCAAAGTAAAAATTTACGACAAAAACTCGAAAATCAAACAACAGGAGAGCATTGCTGAAATATATGGGCACGAATCGCAAAACGAACAAGTACGTGCATGTGATCTTTTACAATATCGGTACGGTACCGTGGTTTCTCCGACTTGGACTGAACCAAGCCACCAAACTGCGAACGCGGAATCGCGATAAGGTGCGCAATTTTTAATTTAGATGACGTAACCACACACAGAAAACGAATTCCATAGAGCCCACAGAAATATTTGAAACAAAGAAAAATAATAGCATTCTAGCGACAACAGCCACCTTTATCCACTGAAAATTTCAAAGCAATCAGTCTAGTAAAGTTGAAAAGAAAGGCGATTTTACACATACAATATGAACATCATAACAAAACGATCCATGAGTCCATTTCGTGTCGAATAAAGATAGGAAAGCGTTTAGTACAGTCTGTTAAAAAAAGCTTTTGTTATTCCAAATTTGATTTCTTCGGGAGGTCGTAGATGTAGTAGAAAGTCAAAAATTGAGTCAAACACTTTTTCAACCCGAGCGTCATTATGTTGTTTTGTGCAAAATTACATAAAAAAGCGATGTTAGGAGAAAATCACTGTAGAAGGATAGTATGGAACCCAATGCTGTTATTAACATTATATGCTTGCGGTGAACTGTAAAATTTGCGCTTTTTAGCCAATAAAAATTGTAATCGACATCGACAAATCATGAACATTAACTATGTTGCCGAAATCTGATGAAAGTATCCAATCACACAATACTCTACATTCACTAGAATATCATACATATTTTTCTTATTTTTCATGATTATATAAATTTTGATGAACTTCAAATTATGCCGCAAGGGTATATTATTGTTGCCAAATTTAATGAGAAGCCAAACGACGATTGCTTGTGGGAAGCTGCGTTTCATGAGTACGATTATGCATACTGCAGTCAAATAACAATACAAAACTCAGCTGGCTAAGTCTATTCAAATGGCCAATTAGCAGTGTGAGGCAGCTTAGAGGCAACTTAGAAAAATTGATGGGTTTGAAAGGTATACAATGTTGACAATACAGGGATTATAGGCAGGCATGGATTTTAAATTTATCAATATTGGTCAAACTGTAAATTCGTGTCTAATCATCTCAATATTACAAGCCACAATTACCATCTAGTAAAGATAATTAGGTCACAGTATTTCTAACAATGTATTGGGTTGTTTCAATAGCATAATATCAATTATCTACATCCTTTATTTTGCCAAACGTATCATCAAACTTTTACTTCGTGATGTGTAAACACGTACCTCACACGTACTGGCACAGAAAATATTTTATGTATAAAGATAGAGAGAACAGTCATCGCATCGTGTTGCGGTTTTACTTTGAAAAATTTGAGCTCTGAAATTTACATAATACAAATAATAGTAAAGTGGAACTCAAGGTTAGATACAAAACCTTTTCAATGTTCAATCTTTGAATTAGCGTATTGCCGGCATATACGGTACATATCGATTTGGTCATTATTACTAGCTTATGTGTTTCAAAAGTATAACAGCCCGGAGTTCCTATACATTTGAGTATCTTTTGTTTGATTATTTCTGGCCCAAGCCTTGTTTTAACTATAAGTTTGTGTTTTGTAATTTATTTTTGTGTGTGTGCTGGCACATGATATTTCCCATGTTTTAAACACTTTTAAAGGTTCTGCTCGCCCTCCAGAATTCTCCATTTTAAATTTGTGTATATTATGGAGTATTCAAATAAACTATCTATCTAGTATGATAGAGAGAAAATTTTATATAGATCATTTTATATTAATGCCACGAACAAAATTTTAAGAATTGTAAGTCTGGTAGAGGGTTCCTGAGATACAGTAGAAACACGTATAAATTAACGGATTTTTATTGATATTCGCTTTAGGGTTCGCTCAGAAGTATTATTGTTGCTAGGAAAACAGCGTGATTCCGTATATCAGAATTGATCGAGTAAAAATTCTATCACATAAATATCCTCAGAGGTATTTGCTAGAATATTCATTTTGTATTATATCAAATGTACATTCTATGTAAAAACAATATTTTCTAAAGCAATATGACAATACACTGATGTAATAGGGTATACATCACGTAGACTAGAATTAAAAAATGAATGGGATATTTTTTGTGAATATTCTAGTCTTGGGTGTTTTCACCACGCCGTGTCTGGTAATGACGCACCAACATAGTCCCAAACACTTTCCAAGGAGATGCATAGTGGAAGATAGAAATAAAGTAGATTGTGGATATCCCGGAATACCTCGAGAATACTGCTTAGCGGCGTAAGTTATCTTAGTAGAACGTGAAGATTTGTTTGAAAAGTATCTATACAAAACAAATCCTAGTTCAACCTGCTTAGACCCGCTAACTTTATCAAATGCAAGCCCGGATCAAAATCGAGACGATATGTTTGAAATAGGTTATAAAAAGAGCTTACATGTTAAAAATAACTCAGGCATTTAAATGGTGTTAATCATATCCGAAAAAATATGATATTTTCTACTAAAGTGACAAGATTTTTGAGCTAAAACTCAATCACACACGCCGAAGCCTGGCGCACTCGACAACTGTACTAAACGCGTACCTTGGCGTTAAAAGTCTATAACTCCAATACCAACAGATAATTCTCAACTCATATCCATTTTTAGATATTGTTGTTACGATAATACAACAACAATAAAAGGCGTCGCCTGGTGTTATAAATGTGAGTATATATAATCTTTTTTATCGAAAGTCATGCATGGTAACCATTCAAAAATAGAGCTCGTAAAGAAAACCAAGGTTTAGATGAAATTCTACAATTAAGTTTAAATAATAAAAACATTAGTTAACAATGTATTGCGTATTTTTTTAAAATAACGGGAAAAGTGCATGCTGGTTGAAGTCAATTCATGTTTATCAGAATATTTGAATGACAACGTTCATCTTAAGAACTGATGCTTTTTCCTATATTGCAGCGTCAACTGATAATGGACTGACAAAAGCTGCCATTGTTTTATTAGCACGAGATGGCGTTCCATTTGATGTACTCAGCGCTTTGTACGTGGAAAGTAAGTGGTGATTTATTTAATATATACGCAACATACTTTCTCTACTATTTTTATTATATAGACTTTCGTTAAAAACAAAGCATATTTGTTCGCAGTTATCGATCAGTCAAATGGTAAGGTTACAAGTACCGCTGACGTTTTATGTTAGGTTAAAACTAGACTTGAAACAATTCAAGTCAAATTCGTCGAGGAGACAAGCGCGTGGAAGAGAATTCCACAATGCGTAAGTTCTAGGAATCGGCTTAGATTTGGACTCGGGTTGACTTGAGTTCAGCCCCGTCTAGGCACGTTGAAACTAATGGGCCACCTGTATTGCAGACAACCTTGTTACATCTATACCACAACATTTCAATCTATTTACAGAATATCCTGGTTCGGAATGGTTACTGGCTTTTAAAGATGGAAAAATTGACACCAAGCGATTGTTACTGCTTGTAACCAGTAAGATGGATATTTCATGGTATTGTTAAGTATAATATGTAGTAAGAACAGAATTAATCCCTGATATATAAATATAATATATATCGTTACAATTTTCGAAAAAATGTAATGCATGGTCTGATATATATATATCGTATACATAAGTCTACGACTTTTTGCTTGTTTAGATATGGTAATTGTTTACCAGTAAAGATATATATTTTGATTCGAGAGCTTTGCAGCACACTAACACAAATGTATTTCAGTAACGTATCGTATTTAGACTTCTTCAGACAAGCATTTTCGTCTGACCTTGTGTTAGCGTGCAACAAAACTCTCAATTCAGATGGTATATTAATCTTTATTCTTGCCACAGCATCCTTGCGTTAGGCGCATACGGATCCACTTCACAAAGGCAGAGAGCAAGGAAAGGCAGTTAGTCTTGTGTAACCACAACTCGTATAGTAAAGATATATATATATATTTGCATGAATTGGGGGGGGGGGGGGAGAGAAAGTACGTAAACCACTATGTGACTATACCATACGAGAAGTAGAATACTGTATTATCATATGTAACGGTATTGCTCCATGATTTAATATGTTCGCAAGTTGGCGACACCATCAGAAGATTTTGTGTGGGTACGATAGTCTGATGATCTGAGTAAACAACTTTATTATCCAGCAGAAATTCACGAATCAATAAGATCACGGATCGACAGACAGAACGTAAACACCACCAACCTTAACGGCACTTAAACTGAAAAAGGTTATTGTAATCGTGAATCGCGATGAAGTGTACAGTGGTGCTCAGAGTCAACCAAAATAGATAAATCTCTTCCAGTGAAAAATATATCAGTGAGGACCATGTCCTGCTCTGCATAACTCGATCCTGAAATAATACAAATAACAAAATAAGCAAAATCTAGTCCCGTCAAGCATGCCCGATAGGTTTTTGAGCCTTTGAAAACGAATCAGAGTCGTCGGAAACACGATGGCGAGCACCTTTAGTCGTCCGTAGTGCACGGAAAGAAGTATACACGTAAAACAGTCACATAGTCACTGCAAATGGATAATGGTTTATCATATATAATAATGACTACTTATGCAGCGAGAAAAAATCGCCCATGGTGCTTTTGAGGAATGGTTGAAAATTAGGGTTAGGTCAGGAAAATATTTAATCCTAGACTACGTATATTATCGATTTTACAATGAATAAGAAGACTTTCAGGTCCCCATTTCCCTGTCACATATTTTTACGGTCGGCGGGACATCCCACTTCAATTGCTTCCTTTATTCTTTCTTGTCTCTCATTGACAGTTTCATCTATTTAATGTAGGAGATCGAAAAGCTTCATTGAATCCATTCGTTGGGGATATTCTTGCAGGAAAAAATCCTCTTGATCGAGTGTTAGACCGAGCCGCTAGCGCTGCAGGTATGAGAGCATCTGATGAAACTAATATTTATTTATGACTGATTAAATTAAATAGCTAAAAGCACGGATAAGTACAAGACTTTTTGAAAATCATAGTTATATTTAATTAATGTAGGAAAAAGAGACCAAAACATAAAACGACGATTTCCACTATTATAAAAAAAATTGAATACTCTCACCCCAAAACATCCATTGACTTGCGATATCGAATAGTTCCTGTTAAACACCTTTACCCGAACAGCAGCCTATTAGGAACATAATTTAAATTAAAATCGCCATCTTAATATTTCAGGATTGGATCGAACTACGCTAGATCTTTTAATTGATAAAAATTATGGAGCTGTCCTGAGACATCTAATTGCACTTGCACATGGTTTGTCAATAAATATGCCATATTCTTATGTTATCTTTTTAAGTTTTATTAACGACTTAGAGTAGTATTAGACGTAAAGCTACATTTGTTGTGTTATGTATGACATAGAATTAATATATATTATATATCAAAAAATTATATATATCGTAACATTTAGTTCTCTCTTTTTCAGCAAAAAACAACAACACATACTTTCCTGCAGAAACACTAAACAGACTTCTATCGGGCAAAAAAGATAATCTCGGTGTATATATGGTTAATTACTACACCAATATTGTTCTACCATATGACCAAAAAGGTAATTCCAGTTGGCTGAGCTCTCCGTTAGGAAGTTGTGTGATACATTATCTCCAAGTTTTCACTATGGAATTATTCTTATATAATATATAGAGAGAAAAGCAGCATTGGTGTTGAATTTATCAGCGAATAATCAGCTCTAATAAATAAGACTGTGATGTCATCTTTCTTTTATAGGAAAACGTTACCCCATGTCGACATCTATAAATCTGAAATCTAATCTGTACACAAACTCTGTATAGAACCTTTATACACGACTAGTGTGCTATCATCGGGACAGAAAATATTTATTTTAAAAAATTGTTTCACTCAGGGAATCCATTTCGAGACGCTTTCTACAGATCTTTGTTTGCCGGAAAAGTTGAGGATGCAATAATGTGGTCTTATCTATATTCCATTCATAGTGAATACCGTAAGTCAAGATCACTAATTACTGAAGTTCCTTATAGTAAATATTTCTTGTTTAGCACGCATTGTATATTTTACTGAATATTTAGTAAAGTTTTCAACGTTCAAACCTCATATTGATATGTCGACATATAATTTTAATCTTACAGAAGGTGTCTCCCGTTAAAATTATATCATTTCTACCTAGATTTGGTTGAGATGAATTAAACTTCCTACTTTGTGTCCAATAAGCGTATGACACAAGATGACTTTCTAATATGCAGATGATTCTGGTCTTCCAGAATGATAACCTCTCGAGTTATACCCTCTCGAAATTAGAAAAATGACACATATTTGGTATAACAAACATCATTTTAAAACATGTACTTTTTTATAGCACAGGAGGCATTTTATCCAAATAATACAAGAACATTTGTTGGCGTGATTGAAGAATTTCAAAACAAAACTGATAAATTTAACAGGACGGAATATGATAAAGTAGGATTGGGAATAAACAATGAATTTCATAAAGGAAGTTCATTTGAAGATGTATTTGGAGAAAAGGCCACCGGTGAGTGCACTCGAGCCGGTGCCGGTCCGCGGTTGGTTAGTTATACCGGTACCGGATCGCAAATAATAATAATGTGTAAAATAATACTTATTAACATTTATGTCAAGTTTGGCGCAATTTTTGTCGGGCGTATATGAACAGACTCGATTATGTCATTTTTACCCCCTGTAATGAAGTTTAAGTCGTGGACGATGCGTCTACAACCTTTACAAAAAGGTCATTTCATGGGAGACGCTGCTTAAAACAGCGAAACAGTTTGATTCTTGACAAACAAAATTAAATTCAATCTTTGACTAACTTACAAAGTGATATATATATACTGTATATCAGTGGCGGCGCGTGGTCATTTTGACAACCGGGGCAAGCTAATGCGGGACCAAGTCACCCCCATCTACGGGGACAGGATGAGCGCTGTAAGTTCTCCCATCATTTTATGAGTATAAAAACCATTCCATCGGTAACAACCAATCGGCAAAAGCGACAATTTTTAACGATAAGAAAGTGTCTTTAAAACCGGTGCAAGTCAAAAGAGATTAATAAATATAGACATAGTTTATTTTGAAACCTCTTTCAAAAGGAAAGGCAATATTTACCCAGATAAATACAATGACATATTAACAGAAACTTCGGGAAAGCAGACAAAACCTAAAATAAGGTTTAAAACGTTACTATGAAGAAAGGAAAGTTATGCGAAAATAAGGACATGCGTCGCTCACTCATAGATATATATGCTGCTAGACTTCTACTGCTTGAACATATATGCAACACGCCGCGGTTTCTTGTGAGGAAAAAGCTCAATAACGCGCTGATTAAAGTCATGCATCCCAGAAATAACGTCTCTGTGAATGGATAAAACAGCCAAGGAATTTAATCTATCTTGCTTCATTGTGTTTCTGAGATACGTTTTAATACGCTTCAGCGTGCTGAATGTTCGCTCTGCGTCGGCGGAAGAAATAGGCGTCGTCAAAATGATGTCCAGAAATTTTGCAGACGACGCAAAGGTAGTTACTAGAGTGTTATCTATGAGGAACCCATAGAGCGCGCAAGTTGATGTGATGTTCAAAAAAGTTTGATTGGTGTATATACATCACAATTCATTTTCCGATTTACCCACGTTTATCATGGGGTAAAATTTGGAGACCGTAGCCAACAAATGGATGGGAAATTGACGTGCAAATTTTTGGGGTTCATAAAAGAGAACGCGGCAAGGTGTTCAGTGCGCAGACGATCGCCTATTTGATTTACCAGAATGTCACAGCATTCCTTTGCAGACAAAATCAAACGCTGCGTTGTTTGCCCGCGGAGTAAAGTAGCACTCCATGTGTCGTCGTATTTTATTGTTTCCCGGATACGAGATACAGCATCGCAGAAGTCTGAAATACACGACTGCACAGACGCTCCATCCATTAGCCTTGACTGCAATGCGCCGTATAATACATCCACGTGATAGAATATTGTGGAGAAAAAAGCGAGAAAAAATGAAAACTTACCATCTTCTAGCAGACGCTTTAGACCTGCCGCCTCCCTCACAGAGCGTTCGTCCCAAACCGGAGAGCTCTGAATGCCATTAAAACACTCAATGAGCTCAGACCTAATTTCGGACACGCCCTGCACCACGCGTGATTGGAAGTTCCAACGTGTTGGTGCACAAGCTGGGAGACGGCGGCTACATATCTGGCGAAGGAGGACAGAGCGCTTCGGCAAAACGGAAAAAAATGAAGAAAACCCCGAAACATTTGCAAAAAATATACGGACGAGAGGGGTATCAAGACACATATTTTTAATAACGAGGTTAAATTGGTGTGCATAACAATGTGAAAAATGCGCATGAGGAAAATCTTCTTTTATATAAACTTGAACACCATGTTTCGACCCACTCATGACTGCCGCGCCGTCATAAGTTTGAGCTATCAATTTTGACTTCGCGTTGTAAGGCTGTAACACTTCTTTCAGTACAGCCGATATCCCGCAAGTCGTGCGATCAACGATTGGTACAAAGCTGTGAAATCTCTCGGTAGGTTTACCGTCTTTCACAAACCGAAAAATCACAGCCAGTTGGGAAACGCACGTGATGTCAGTTGTCTCGTCAGACTGAATCAAAAGGAACTGGCAATTCTCAATTTCCAGAGCCAAATGTTGTAAATAAATTTTATACATTGAGTCGAGCAAATCATTTTGGATATCCTTAGATGTCCCTTTCGAAACAGTTGCGGCATCAAGATGAACTCTCAATACTGTATCTAGGGATGCGGTGTATTCCACCATATCCAAAAATACCCCTCTATTAGAAGAGCTAGCCCGTTCATTGTGCCCACGGAGGGACAGCTCGTGACAACCAATGAACTTCAAAACATCTATCAATCGACCGAGAACATGGCGGTTTTTCTCGACGTTTTGGTTGTGCCGACGAATAGAAACCGCGCGTCGTTCATCCAACTGTGCTGCAATATTAACATTTCCGAATGTTCGGTATTTTACTGCATTGTCCAGATGCTCCATAGAAGATTGATGATCCCTGGCACGCTCGGAAAGATGTTTAAGATCTCTAAAACCAAATTTACACCAACGTGAGTCACGGGCGGTAGCAAAAAGTAGGCAATGAAAACAAAAAAGTGCATTTTTGTCCTCGCTGTAACAAAACCATTCGTGTTTTTTATACCAAGTTTCTGCGCAGAATGTACGCCGACGCTTTCCTCCGTCATGGGATTGTTCCAGTGAACAATTTTTGGTTGATAAGGCCCAAGGCGTTGTACCTCTAATTTTTGTTCCAGCGGCAGCTGCGAAAACGGAGTGCGAAGTAGTGCATCAACCTTATTCATTATGAGGTCTAAGGCTAAGAAATGCGAAGCCGGAAAGCAAATGGACTAAAGGTCTCTAACTGATTCAAATAGCGAAACAAGCGACAAAAACGAAGGCGGGGAAACTATCAACTCTTCAAGCAACCAACGAACGAGAAGGAATGCGTGAATATGTCAACACGTTGTTGTAAGAAACGTCAGCATTATGTCGTCATAATTTCGGGGCTAGCCCCGATCGGCCCCGATGATTTAGTAAAAGAAACAGAAAACAAACGAGACAAACGCGGCGAGTGGAAGATAAAAAAGAGAATACGATATACAATGAGCAACCGGGGCAAAATCGGCGTCGCCCCGTCGACGTTCGGCGAAGGCTTTGCGAGCGAAAAATGAACCATGTCGGGAGAATATGGCTAGTGTAGACAGTCTGTGCAACCGATATTGAGGTATTTTTCGAATATTTTTTATTATACCAAAAACCGGGACATTGCCCCGGTTGGCCCTATTGACGCGCCGCCACCGCTGTATATATCATTCACGAATCTAGTGACGAGGCACATCGGAAATTATTTTCTAATACATTCAATTTAGATTACGTCTGTGAGAACCACCCGGAATACTTGCAAATTCCTTGTCAAAAGTTATATGGAAGAGTAATCGTAACAAGAGAGCAATGCTATGACGCTGGTTGCTGTCTTGAAAGAGAACAAAGGTCAAAAAACGGAAGAAAGAGAAGACGAATATGTTTTGAAAATTATTTAGGGAATATTGGTGAGACTAATATTATTTCAGTTGTTAATGGTGAATTTCAGAAGTTCAGGAGTTTTTGAAGGTTCCACATTTTTCCTTTTATTAGTTCCCTTCAGCAGGTACCATTATTATATTCATGTATGAACAATTTGGAATAATTAGAACTCATGTTATTGTTAGAAAAATATCATCTCTCAAATAGGAAAAAACAATGTGAAAAGAGGGGATTAGATGCTCTATGAAAGGGACCACGAAAGACAAAGGCTTTTTTCTGGCAAGAGGAAGGGGGTCAAAACGGGTTTTTGTGTGTCAAAGGCGGGTACTGTCAATCAATCCGTAAGTTAAGACACGCTCGAGTGATTTTGGGGTTTAGAGCCGCTTTGCGCGTTTCCTGGGTAAAAAAGCGATTGTCCGAACACCGGGAATTTTTTCAAAAGTTTGGTGTGGGGGCTATGTCCCACCACCCCCTGTGATGAAAAAACGTGTGCGAAGCCACACCCACTTAAGTATTTTTGATTTTGAACGTTTCGTGGCCCTCAGAATGGGATTTTTTTGGGCACAACGTTGCTTAACCGTCGGAGAGAAATATATATTAATGAATTTATCACTGAGAAATTGGTAATTGACTTCCTCAGTCACGCTTCGGTTACTTCAGAGTGTTGCATGCCTCAGAATGGGCTTATTAGGAAATAAATGTCATAGGACTGGTTGAAAACTTTTTTAAATTATTTCCTGGAGGAATTTCTTTTCCTCACACTCCCCAGTCACGGTTTAATAATTTTGACTTATTGCAGGCCTCTGAAAAGTTGTATGGGTGATCGAAGGACATTGGCATGGATAGAAAACCATTTTGTTGCTCCAGTGATGTTTGCCTTATTGCAGGTTTCAGGGAAGCGTCATTGGGAATTAAATCGCATCTTAATGGTTTGGCAAAAATTCCAAACCATTTTTAAGAAAAAATTTTCCTTCACCCTTCTCACTCACCCGCCAGTGATTTTAGGTTATATTTCGATAATGGTAATAGGTAGATATGCCATATTTGGATAATATAAGGTAATTGAGGTAAACTTTACGACCAGAAAAGTTTCGTCACGGTAGAGTGATCACGCATTGTAAAATTGATTGTACTCGGCTTTCCTAAGGGGTAACCGCTCTGTTAATTGATATGCAAATCACTTCATTGAGTGAGTTGGTTGGGGGATTAGGGTTTCGGCTGTTCGTCCGGCGCAACGACCCGCGTGTATGTAATAATCACCCAACGAGCATCCGCTTTTTAAGTGACCCAAAGCTATCTCCTACATTTCCTCTCGCAGGTAGCGCGTAGGCGCGACCTTCACTAGATTTTCTAAGAGCTGGAGTCGGAGTCATATTTTCTCAACCACAATTGAATGTAAATTCCCCGAATCAACAGCCCTATTACGAACATATATGCGCAGCATTTTTCTATTCAAATTCCCTTGTTTTATCAGGTTTGAGACTTGCTTTCTCTGACGAAACTACAGAAGACATGTATAACTTTTTTCGATTTGCAAGAAAAAATTTCATACCATGTAAGAGTTTTCTACTTATTTTTTTGTGTAAATCAAATAAATAAATATAACTTACCGATAAATATATATATATATATATAGGTTCCATTACATTTGAACCCACGTACATTTGAACCCATGGCAATTGCACCTGCCTACTATTGCACCTATGGAATTTTTTTTTGTTTTATGGATATTTGAACCCATACTAACCCTAACCCATGGGTTTAACACCCGCATATAGATTGAACCCGCGGATATACACATGGGTTCAAATGTACATGGGTTCAAATGTACGGTCACCATATATATATATCTAAAAAAATTTAATTACAGGGATTCCAAACAATCGATTACCAGAAGCGTTTGAAAACTTTGTCGACAGTGGAAACACAAATCCATTCGACAACTTTTTCCCTACATTAATGGTAACTTCACATTTGTTTATAATTTTTAGCTTCATCTCTTTTGTATACCTACTTTATTCATAAGAAGTTCAAATAACAATTGCCTTGTACCATTTTGTACTTCATATTAAGGAGATTGAACATGTTCAAAATGCAAAATTTTGGAATTTGGGAAATCTAATACTTAAGCTTGGTATAAAAAACATGTTTTACTAAAGAATTAACCACGAAATGACGTGTGTTTCTCGTTTTAATTTCCGCAACAATGACCAATCAGCAATAAGACGTAACAGTCGCAATTTATCAGCTATACAAGCATGGTTCTAAACATTGCCTCGTTTTCGTGATATTTGTCAGTTTTGTTCCCAAAAAGTTGTAAATCAAATAACTTAATTGTCGGTACCTGTAAGCGGCACATGGTTTAATGTATTTATTAGGAATGATCGTTTTAACTATATAAGCCAATTTGTGAACGCCAACTCTCCAAAAAACTCCCAAGAAAAGCGTTAAATATTTGGCAATGGTAAAGATTTTTCAGGGGTCGAATGTCAGTGAATATATTGAATTGCACTTTTTAACAGCCGATTGGGCCCCATCCGTTGCGTCCAGATTTTGTGTGGAAGCCGCACGCACCGACTGCTTTTCCTGCTCCAACTCGTCTACCAAACAGTAAGCAATTTATTTCTAGCATGCAAAGTTTTATTTCCAATGTTTATGATTAATATAACATAGAAATGATTAGGAAAGATATAGTTAGTAGGTTAACCCCTGGTTTTTTGTCATTTGATAGACAAAATATTAGATTATAAAATATATAGAAGTTACAAAAACCCCAAATACTAATACTTATTTTTAACTTTTCCTATTTACAAATGTATTCAAACAGGATTTCTCGTTCCAACTGACGGAAGTTTAATTATAAATGAACCTGATATCGATGATGAAGAGAAGGGCATACTAACATGTGAGTCACTTCATACTTTTAGGCGGATGTACATGCCTTTAACGTTGGAACCATACATTAAAATGTGATAACATAACTTGCCCATTAGAGCAAGAGAGCGATGCTCAAATAGATGAATACGAAGAATAACACGAAGCAGTAGTCTACCTTGCCCTATACAGTACCTTACCTTGTCTACTGTACGATAATTTTTAAACGTAATTGCCTCCTGGCGAAAAATACAATCTTCAACAACTAAAAATTGTAAATCAATTGGTCCATAGATAATGATAAAAGCGATTTCTTTATAACAGGGTCGTCCAACCCATGGCCCGTCGTAGGTTTCCGAGTGGCCCGCGCGGTATTATTCGAATCCCAATGTCTTTTTACAAATCTACGCCATTTTTGGAACCTCTAATAAAAAAATTATTCCTTGTCATTCAAACGTGCGAGATGTACCACCCAGCTATCGAAATCTTATTTAAGTCCCTTTGTGAACGTTATTGCTGAAGAGAGATGTTTGAATTCATTTTTATCGTGTGCCATGTATTTCAATCTGTTTTTCTGTCCTTTTCTTTGAAGCTAGAAGAGGCGGTTTTTATGACCTCAATATTTGACAGCACATAGGCTACTTGTACGAGCGAGTTTTTTTTCGCTGATGAACCAATTCAAATTCCCTGTGAGATTACTAATTTCTGACAGAGTGAATTGCTACATCGTCCATCGCATATTGACAAACTCATTGGATAAAAACGGTGTCATACTTGGCATTGAAATATCTATGTTTGGTAAAAACTTTTGACTTAACTGTATCTTGAAAACTGAAACATAAAAACCATGTCAAGTGGCCCGCGCAATCATTCGTAAACTAAATGTGGCCCTTTGGCCAAAAAGGTTGGACAACCATGCTTTATAACAACAACAAGAAAAACACCAACAATATATAACAACAACAACATAATACCAAAACGATCCATATGTACATTTCGTGTACAATTATATTAGTTGGAATGACGGAGTGTTAACAAAAACGCCAGTAATATTCTTTATCATCGCCTATTAGTTAAATCCTTGTCAATGGATCCATATCTTTTCTAATCGAATATTATCATTATTATTACTTAAGTTGGTTTCTTTGAGGACGAGTGTGAAGACGTTGAACCTGAAGATCGATTTCCGTGTATTGATAATTCAGTCGCCCTCACTCGTGAAGGAGAGGATGAATGTGATGATTTGGAATGCTGTTTTCAACCAGATTACAGAAATTTGTCAATTCCAGCATGTTTTCGAAGGAGAGAATACGGTAAGCGTTTAACAAATTATAACAAAAAAGAAAAATAGGACATTTGAAAAAAATAAAAAGCACGATATGTGTAGAACCACGCTTTAAAGTCTTTCGAAAATATTCTCGCTGGAAAGGCGTGGATGATTATGAGTGCGTGTTTCACTTGTTCTCGTTAGTTACAATTTTTAATCAATAATACAATGTTTGCATCAACATCGACGCACGCTTTACAAAGCTTGTTGCAGTTGAAAATTGAGATGAAAACTGTAAGTAAAAACAAGGATGGTTAGACCATGAGTACTGAAGTATGCTTCTCTGAGAAAATCTAACTTGTCAGATGAAATAAACAATGTAATACCTATTATGTACAAACTGACTATATATTTATGTTTGCAAATTGACCTGATATCTTATAGTAATGATTTCACTCTTTTTGAGCTCAGCAAGTTGTCATTAATGTACATCGATGATCGTCCACACCAATAGGCCTAGACTATAAGAGTCCTTTAATACAACTGCCTACCGTATTTCCTATCCATTTTAGGGCAATGCTACAAAGTGAAACCTCAAGAAAGAGAAGAATGTGGATTTTCGGGTAGATTCAATTTATATATTTGTCCGAGTGGTTGAACAAACAGTCGAAGATATACACACTGTCTAAGATTGTTGCGTTCGTATCTCTAATTATATTTGATTTATATATAGGTATAAACAGGACCACATGCCTGGAGAACCCGCAATGCTGTTACGACAGCACTGTTTCATTGCAAAGTTTATACAGCAGAGTACCATGGTGCTACTACAAGAAAAGTAGGTGATTGTATTTTTCTACATTTTTTGGTTTGTTGTCATTTTCTTTGTATTGTTGTTAATAATCTGGATTCAATATTTGTATACAGGAGCGCCAGTACGAGAGGAAGAAGTATGTGACAGATATATAAAGCCTGAAAACCGGAAAGGTTGTTTTGAAAAGGGTATGTTTGTAAAATATTGGCACAAATAATGTTTGATTTATTTTAATTTTTCAAGTTGACTCAAACATATAAATTTTTGTTAGGTCGAATAATTGGATTCCGAATGCATTATTACAATATTCAAAACATTTGTACAGCACACAAACGTCTCCAATAAATTTATTATGAACCATGAATATTATCAAGATAAATTCATTTGTTACCTACGAATATTCTGTCACTATTTATTTTATAAAATATAGATGAAATCAATTATGTTGTCAATCGAAAATCATGTGTAGAAGTGAAAGGATGTTGTTATGAAAAATTCAAGCTATCAGCACTGGATCGAATTATCGGAATTGAAGAACCCCCACCATGTTTCAAAGGCTTAGGTTAGTAATGGAATATTTAGCTATTAGATTGTTAACTTATTGTCGCGCGTAACCGTATCTCCAAATAATTTTAATTCGACTTTAATTTTTATATGTAGTAGAATTTCGGAATTCTCTTTTCCAAAAAATTTTTTTAATAAAGATTTGTCAATTTTTCAAAAAGAGAAATCTCTCTAAACATTTTATTTTTCCTTTGAATATTTTTTCACAGAGAATACCTTGGAGCCCACCGACGAACCACCTGGTAAGCAAAATATTTATTCTGCATCTCAGTCGAGAAATCGTAGTTTAGACCTTAGTATTAGGTTAAAGACGGCTTTCAGAATCCTATTTGTTCGGCTCATAATCTTTCAACATATCCTAGCTTTGATACAAAAATATCTTTGATATGAAGTTGTACGTAAATTTCGTAAGCTTTGGTTACGCGAATAAACGACGAACAGAAATGGTAGTTGTATATGTACCGTAGAAAGCACAATTTAACCAGAAAATTTTTCAGTGTTTGGTTTTATGAAAAAATTCTGCCCATTCTCATCTAGATGCCCTGTAAAGCTAAAATATAGTGATTCAATATCTTGCACTTTTTGTTTAATTTACTGTTAATCCCCAGAGCGCAGGCGAGGTGAAAAGAGGTGCCGATACATAGATGAATATCCTGTCGAAAGACGAGAAGATTGCAGTTCCAGCACTTCATTGAACTGGTTTGATTGTGTCATACGTAATTGTTGTTTTGAAGCTATACCACAATTTCCTGGTTATCCCTGGTGCTTTAAAAGATGTAAGTACTCAATCAATTGACATGTTTAAAGAAGTACATTTTGTAGGAAGACACTATATTCTAAACATATGTAGATGACGAAAAGGCAAAACTACTCAAAACTTAATTTTATATCATTTGCCAATATAGTCTTCCTGGCGCTCTAGAAGTAAGTGTGCCAATATGGAGGTAACAATTTTTTTGCCTATTTTACAGCAAGTTGTGTAAAGCGACGGAAGCCTGTGCGTTAACGCACAGGGGGATATTCTCTTGACTTGTGCGTATACCTACATGGGGATGTTCTCTTGACTAACATAGACAGTCCCCAAACTCGCAATAGAACTAAAATATGGAAAATCGGAATAAAATTATGGTCCAACTAATCTAACCTGTTACACATACTACGGAAGTTCCATCCTCCCTGTGTAATATAAAATAAACTATATATATATATATTATTATGCCTGTACCATCTCTATGCGTCTGCGCTTGATAAAAAAAACATATCGAAACAGCATTTAGTGATCAGTTGACCCATAAGCGTTTATGAAATATCCAACTTGCTTTTTATAGGGTAAAAGAACAATAAAATGAATTTTTGTCTCAAGCACAAAAGTCTCGTAAACGGTCATATTTTTAACGTCACGCATACATAATAGGGTACAACAGGTACAATTTAAAGAACTGGCACTGGATATCACCATTAACATATCATCCATAAATAGTTTGTTCTAATTCTAACCTCTCAGATGTGTATATTTATTATATTACAGCAAGAGGATAAGCTGAAGCATGCAGGTTACGACTAAACGAGTTCAAAACAAGACGATACGACGATAACTATATATATATATGTTTAATTACTAAACGTCTATATTTTATTTGTAATTGTATTCACGGCGGAAACTTGGTTGTAATAATAAATTTTCTTCGTTGTATTCTCGATACATATCAAAAAAATAAGTTTTTGCTTCAACTTGCATTTGGCATTTTTTTATTCTCTAGTTTCAGGAAGGCTTTCAATATTCTGCTTATCGCAATTGCTGTACTGTAATGAAGTGAGATTTTGGAGTAGATACAATGCACAACTGAGATTGATTTTATTTTGTTATTTCGAAAAAAATAACTAAATATTTATATAAAAATATATTGCAGATACTAAATGAGTTTCACATATTATATTGTCTGATAACCATAAAACTACATAATATGTATATATATTATAAATTAGTATATTTATATTATAAAACTCTCGTGTCGTATTTCTGTTAAACACGCCATGAATTTACTAAAGTTATGCCACCTGGTCCGCTGTATTTTCTTAGTGGTAAGACTTAAACCACTTTTAGGATTTCGACGTCTTACTAAAAATATTGCATGAAATTTTAATGTTATTACTTTTGCATTTATAACAGTATGTGTGTTTACCTGGTACAGATGACTTGTGCCAATTGAAAAGGACAAGCAACAGGTACGAATCTTATTAGCAAACCATGCATCTTAGATTTATGAAATTATTTTAGAGGACAGTTTTCCAACTTCTAGTACTTTTAGGTTAAATTTGCTAGATGGCTGCTTCTTTATTCCTAAAAATTCCTTTCGAGTTCGAACCCGGAATTTCACCGAATGTGCCCCACAATTGGGGTACAGTGGGACACTTGACAGACGTTTTTCAAAGCATTTTGGTAGTAAGATGTGTGTCGCAAGGTAATTTCTTAGTCGCTGAATAAAAACTACATTTATATCTCTATGGCTTATGCATTAGTCCCGCAAACTTAAGTGAATATGCAAAATGAACGGCTCAAAATAGGCAAAAGAAAAAAAGTGTCCCAACCTTCCCCACTTTCCCCTATTTCAGTTTTAACTAAAAACAAACGCAAGCAGTGGTCACTAGGTGACACCGATATCCTTTTGACATGATATAAAAAACCAAACTTTTTGGGTTGTATCAGGGTTGCCAGATTGGCTTTTTTAACGCCAAATCTGCCATTTTTGGCTTTTTTCAAACACGTTTGGCGTCAGAATTTCCGTTTGGCTTTTTGGCGTTTTTTTGGCTTTTTTCAAGTCCAGTCTAGTGTCTATTATTAAAATCATATGAAATACAATATTTAATGTGTAACATTAGCCTATTACCGGTACTGGTACGGTACTTAACATTAGGCTTTCCCCGAGCGTCGATTTCCCAGTTTATTGCCCTAACGCTTAACCATACCCACCCAATAAGAGTTACTTGCAGTTTCTGATGCCGCTCAGACAGATGTTCAAGCAGGGTTGTAAACATTGCCTCGTTTTTATAGTTTTGCGTGTTGTTTGTCAGTTTTAAGTTCCGTTTCCAAAAATGGTTATATACGGTAACTTAATTTCCATTATGCCCGATGTGGAGCTTTAGGTAAATTGCAGCAGGCTAATCAAAATTTTGTCTCACGAACGATGTGATTAACTACAGTAAAAATTACTGAATTAGCTATTAGTAGTCCACCTGTAAGCGGTACGTGGTTAGATAATTTTTAATAAAGTTGATGGTTTATAAATTCTAAAATTTCGAAAATGTAGGTATATCACATACTGAAACGGTACCCTGTATTGTATATATTGAATGGTAAAATAATGCTGTTCGCTTTAATTTTTATTTGGTTTTTTGATTTTTTTAAATTGTTTCATATAGATGTCAGCTTGATTGTGTTGTGTTGAATGTCGATTCTGGTTCTTTCGTTCAATTAATCCTTTTTACTTATAAACCCTTCATCCCGCTGAAGTGGAAATCGCCATGATAGCAACCGAAAAAACACCTTTCAATGGGAAAAGACAATTGTGTGGCGCACTGAATGAACTGATGGCTCTACATCATCATCAGTATTGTTCCAAGAGCTTAAAATCTGACAAATTATGGGGTTTTTGTACTTAGTAAAATTTTTGGCTTTTTCTGGCTTTTTTTATATCCTGATTTGGCTTTTTTTCATCGCTGGGATCTGGCAACCCTGGGTTGTATTGTTGCACATGTAATTGACAATAAATCACCCGTTAGTCCAATAGGACGCAGCCAAGTGAGAGAAGTAGAGGAATGAGAATTACTGAACACAAGCAATGTCGAGTTGAGCAATGAGTGCGGTCATTGTTAATCCAGGTAACGCGTCCGCTTCGTGGTTGGTTACTAAACCAAGCACAGTAGCCCGCGTGGTCAGCCAACCTGTGAGGTAAACAAATAAGAATTGTGGAATACGGGGAACGCTGAATTGAGCACGGTGTGTAGTCACGGCTTAGTCCAGGTAACGTATCTGCTTAGCACTGTAGCCTGTCTCGGTCAGACAGTCTGCTGGAAAAATAACAACAATGTCGGATTCATTGCAACACAGGGCCGCCGCACTAAACTACATATAGCCTGAGTTAAGAGCACCTTGCAGCGGTACGTTTGGCCAAAGTTATAGTCACTTTGCGTTTGGCTAACGACTATGCTTGCGTGGGGAGTCGATCAAGGATAGTGAAATCAACTCCGGTATAAATGGCGTCGAAAATCTGGCTGTAAATCCGCGTACTCCTGTATACTTCGTAACTCATTAAATAAAAATGAACAACTCTTAAAATCCAGATCCGGGAGGAATCACGAGGAAATCCTAAGATAATTGAAGTCCATATTTGGATGTGCGAGTGTTTCGCAAACGAGTTGTGACGTACTAACGCCGCATTACGGATAATGGCAAATGCTGATGTTCTTCTGAGTGGTGACTGCGGGTGTTGGGGTAAGTCACACAAAGTGGCTCGTATCTATCTCTACGACTAAATGAGTCCGTGTAACCGATGCAAATTTTCTTGTCGATTTGGGACCCTTTAATCCCGATAATCATTTACGTTACCATAATATGAAGCTGCAAAAAATCTGGGCTGCCATGAAGAAACCTGGGAATACTCTGCTCCACGGTGGTCTAATTAGTGTTTGGCTCTATATCTCGAATAGAAAATTGATTTTAATGGATAGCAACGATTGACTAATAGAGATTTATCAGTCTTACGCTCTCCCTATATCTTTCAGGATCAGCTTGTCTCCGGCTCACCGCATCGCGTGCCAATGGGCTTGTTAGTCCTTTGAGATGAATCAATTGGGAGATGGGAACTTAACGTGTGCACGGAAATTAAGAGCGCGCTACGAATGCGGAAACGTAGACTGGAAGAAAAAGATCGGAACGGATTCAACTTTTATTAGATATTTTGACCAATTGCAAATCGGCGTGGCCTGCGTTTAATTAATGCAATTAGACATGCTTGAGAGCCAGAGAACCTAGATGACGCGTCTCGAATAACTTTCATAGGTTTTGCGAATTAATAATTTTTTTAAAGTGATTTCAGTTTTACATTACTTGTTTGCTATCTAGCATTTGATTAAGTATAAAAGAGGGAAAATCTCATTTGATTTTTATTCCCTGTATATAAACAGAGAACTGATTTGTAACCAATCAACTCCTTCAGTTCGCGAGTTTCAGACAAATGGTGTCAGAAAAGTTAAGAATATCCAAGAAATTGTTAAATTAGTAAACCAATTCATTTAAGTGATTCGGTGCTTTGTTAATAAACCATGTAAATCAACCATCAATGAGAGAATAACTGAAGTCCTCTTGATTATCTTTATCCATCAGAGAGGCAAAAATAGTCGATCCTGACAATATTTGGCCAGTACGGTCAAATAGAGTTTTTAACCCTTTGGCGCAAGTAAACAACATATGGTTAAAGTGATGTCATTTGGTCAAACTTTTTAAATATTGGTCGACTTTAAGCGCATCACTGCATCCCATACATATTATTTTCGTTAGACCGCGCCAATGACTGTAATTAATTTCTGAATTAAAACAGGCCAATGGAATTCCTAATATCATTTATTATTATATCATTTTATAATACACAAATCGTATGAAAAACAACACTTCATATATAGGAATAATCAATGAATCTTTAGCGTTATATCATAAAACAATAGTATAAAATTGTCCCACTAAAGTGGAAACATTTGAAAGTCACCACAAGGTTCAGCTGCCTTGCTTATTATACACTTGAGATATTGTACTCGAAATCAAGATCAATGCGTTAAATATTAATGTAATGCTTGTTTGTTTCAAATGACGAATTGTATATTGCAAGCGGATTTGATATATATACCGTTTTTCAGAGATAGTTTAGAGTTGTTGTACAACGCATCGATTCTAGCATTGAAAATTAAACCTGCGATGACAAATAAAGCATTTAAACCATTTCTGCTGTAAAACAGGTTGGGATGCTGATGGTTGAAAACACTACTGCGTTTAAGGCAGATAACTGAAATGTGAAAAAGTATACTGATTAGAATACAAAAATTTAACAAAAACTGACAATAGATTGAGAAAAAGTCTTTCATAGTGGTGTGCAGTCGGAAGACGAATAGGACCAGTTCTATCTTGAAACTGCAACCGTGCCTGTAAAAGAATACCAGAAAGCTTGAAAACCAGAATTGTGGGTGTTTTTGACAATTTCATTGCAGAGAATACAAGATACATACGAAGTTAACTTATCACAAGCAAGAGCGGAATTTGGCTAATCATTTCAATTTTACCCGTGCAAATAGCAACCCCTTGAAAGCCGGCTTAGCTCAAAAATCCAAAATATGAAATGTTACCGTTACATCTGTAATCATATCGTATTTACCACAGAAGAATACGTTGAGAATTATGAACGATGCTATACCCAAGCAAAATTGACTTTACCATTCAATCACAAACATAAATCAGTGTCAACATTTACAGGATTATAGGAAAAATATCCTAAAGATACGATTGCAATTACGCACAAGACGGTTACTTACTCTTTCGGAAGCACCACGGGAATTGTGTATCAAAATATATTCGTTCATAGCAACACTCTGCCAATCTACATTCAAAGAATGAAGTTATGTCGCCACACGGTACACGGTGATGAGGTTCCATGTCGTGTTTATACTGGCATACTTCTTCAGCTGCAATGTAATTATAATTAGTCATGAACAAAATCTGTACAAAATAAAAGGAACTACTATGAAATGTAAGATACTCACTTGGGTCTTCTTCATCGGGTTCCTCAGTAGGTGTAAGATCATATTCTATAAAAAAATAAATAATCGCCAATAAAGCACGCAACAGTTATGGTTGGCTATATATTCTCCCAGAGTAACCTCGCCTTGGAATTTTGTAAATTCCCTATTTATAATTGAGTATACAAGGTGAATAGGCGTTATGGTATTGGTTTTGTAAATTGATTGAAAAAGTTTCCATAGATTAGAATAATTAGATCAATAACCATTTAGTTGTGCGACATTCAATGACAAAACAGAATAGGCATTTACAATTATCAATTCCTGGTTTGAGCTTGTGCAATGATAAGCAATAAAAACTACAACATACCAGCAGGCTTGAAGCAGGTCGGCGATGCTTCACTATAACCAATCACTTGATCGAAGAATGATACTTTCACTTTCTCGTAGCAACATCCAAGATATTCACAATTTTCTTTACTCACTATACCATTGAGAGTGGCTAAAACACAAAGAAAGGTGTAATGGTGATGAATTTTTGACAAAATTTAAAAAGAGTTGTCGGATGAAATTACAAGATAGGTAGTTAATAAATTTGCATATAATAAATTCAGCACATAATTATATTACTTATCAGCGTCATGAAGTCACTAGCTTGATCAAACAAGCATTTTTCGTTTCAATTTCAAAATTCAGTACAAAAAGTGCATATCAAGTCAAAGTATATATATGCATAATAAAATTTATACATACAACTTGAAAGGCACGGTTTTCTTTCCGAAGCTCTGGCACAAGTATCTTTTGGTAAGATGGGTGCTCCTGAAAATAAATCAAGTCAATCATATTACAGTTTTTTTAAAAAAATAGTCATTGCTATCTGATTCAAATTGCTAATTCTTAAAATCTATGACTTACGTTTTTTATAGTAGCACCATGGAGTTCCTTTGTAAAATTCTTGAATAGGTAAAGCTGTATCGTAGCAACATTGTGGGTTTTGCAGACATTCTTCTCTTTTGATTCCTGAATTAAATTTGAAGTTAAGATCGCATAATCAAAAAAAAAGTTTGATTTTCAGCAATCCGAATCTTTGATTAACGAAACTAACCTTCTCTTCCACAGTCTTCTCTTTCTTCGTAGGCAACCTTGTAGCATTGACCTAAATACAAAGAAGCAGAGCGTTGGGAAGATTGCAATAAACTATATATTTTCATTTCAAGCATCTGTATTTGACTAATTCGCTAATTACTCAGTTCTGTACAGAAATGCAAACAGAGCAAGAGTGATTCTGCATTTCTGCTTTGATGCATATGCTACAACAATGTAGTCCGATGTTAATGTCAACTTTTTATAAACAACAAGTCCCAATCTGGTGGCTGTACTTACCGTATGTAATAAGTCTGAAGCACGCTGGAGTGTTCAGATCAGACCAATCTGGATCATAACAGCAGTCACTAGCAACGCATTCCGCCCCATCATCCTTCAATGCCTTGGAATTCGACATGCACTCCACTCTGTCTTTTGGGAGTACCGCACGGCAAATGGATGAAAATCCTTTGAGCTCAAGTTGAGTTATAACTATAAAGTTTGAAAAATGATTAATAGTACCAGATTTGATATAGAATTAAAAAGTATTTGAAGATTTGCAAACTTTTTAAAATCTTTAGTATAGGACCCTTAAACACAAGTGAGGATTTTAAAGTCAGCTTTGTGTGAATTTTGTATAACGCATTTAAAAGTTTCAATCAGCGAAAGTGGCCTGTAGGAGACTCAAAGTATTTGAATTTTTTTTAAGCCCGATCCTCTAACCAACTAGGGTGGTATTAAAGACACAATAATACACATACTTGGTGCTTCCGAGGCTTCTTCGTCTCCGCCTGGATAAGGATTGATTACTCCGGGTTCAATTGTAGGCACCAAAAATTCTAAAATCAATTTTATTAAAATTTAATATCAGATGTCGGCATATTTTAAATGTTCCCCACTAATGGATGGAGAATTCACTTCATTGTGTGTTGATATTACATGTGACAAAATGCCCAAATTACGAAGCCGTTAAATTTCGAGATAAAACCGCACGGCGATTTTGACTAAATGACGACTGTTTGCACCCCGATAATGGTGTGCTGTTGTCGTTCTTTTGGCGTAATTTTCAACTATTGCTGTTAGTTTTAAGTATAGTATATAACATGAAGATAAATTAAATAAAACATTAATAGCACTTACCAAATGGAAGTTTTTGCTCAAAAGGAATGGAAGTTGGACCATGTGGTTTCCATTTAAAATCTTTTCTGTATTTGTTCGGTTTAAGCGACTGTAAAAATTATTAGGATTAAAATTGATTAATTAATTTATTGATTGATATTAGTTTGATTTACATAACAAAAATAAACATAAAAATAAATGATTTAAAGAAGCGAACATTTATGAAAGGTAAAAAGTGTTTAATTTTGTATGAATTACTGTGTATGTAGTGGGTCAATTTAGTATTTCCAACCAAAAAAAAAAAAGTATCGTATAAACGATTTGTACAAAAACCAAAAAATCAGCATATATTATTCGAAAGCCCAATTATGGAATTAAATTATCTCTTGGTGCACAACCTTCTTTTGTTGTTTTCCAGGCAAATTAGTTGGAAAATAATAAAAAAAAAAATTAAATATTAACTTGTAATATATTGTAACGAAGCAGAGATAAATAACGTGACAGATAAACATCTTACCAAAACAGTGGGGTAAGGATCTGCGAAAGTTTCTATTCTGGTGCCGTCTCCGTACCAGTTTTGGTATCTGGTTGGCAATTCGTTGTTTGGTAACCCTGATTAAATATAAAAAAAGTATAAGATTTCCGTAATATGAAGATGGTAACGTCTCCAGAGCATATCATGGTTATAACTTCAACGGCTTGCAAATTGATTGGGCTCCAAGTGACTTGGTGTTATAAAAGAAAACCAAAATTGTAAAACGAAACTACATAATGATTTATATGTAAAGGACCGATAGTTGCAACACTGTTTACGCCAATGGTAGATAATATGAATTCTAGCATATAATATTTCAGATCATATTCACAAAATTACATTTCACCTGCAAAAATACAAATCAAAAATAAAAATAATAGGAATACTTACATGGAATGAAGTCCTCTATGCTGGGAAGATTGCCTTCAAGAATTGTTTCATTGATGTAATGTTCATCGATGACGTTTTGAGCAAGGAAAGTTCCTGCAACGGAAAAGAAGTTGAGTATTGATTTTTTTTTTACTAGAACCCTCCTACTTGAGAGCAATCAAAAAGTTAGCATCCGACTAATCTAAGTAACTAGACCTCTAAACCTTTATCTTCTTTTTATATATTTGCACGTAAATGATTTTGATCTTACCAATAGATCCAAGAACGTTATCAAAGCACATTGCACTTTTTCCATTAATAGCTTGCATTAAACAACAACCAGCTTCCTCACATTCACGAGCTGATGTATACAATCTTCCCTTCAATGGGCCGCAGGCAGTTTGTAGTGAAGGGTCGTGTGCGGCGCAAATATAGTCTGCAAATTTCCCAAACGTAAGTTAAAATTGAGAACGAATCATTCAAATGGCTAGAGCAAATGTTCAGATTTGAATAAGCTATAAACGTTTCCGTTTTAATAAAGTTGACATGTATGAAACTATATGAACGTCAAATACGTCGGCTTATAAATAAAAAAAAAGAAACGTTTTAGAGCAAAACAACATGTTGTCGCATTGATCAATTAAATTTTATTTTTTACCCTTAGCTTTGACACCAAACAATTGTTTGAACGTTTGTCCATCGCTGTTGATTCCGGGTAAAATTTCTCCCTTTGCCAACGCAAGAATAATGCTTGGACTGATTTTTCCTGGGAAATTCTTCTGGGTCATCACAAGAGACATGAAAAGACCTGAGTTTTGTGGATAAAGTCCTTTTTGAGCTGTAAACAACAACAAAAAATAATTATTATTGATGTTCTCATATTTGCAAAATTGAGAAGACTACAAGAGGCAGCAGTTATTTCTCTCATAAAGGAAAGATTATAACAAAAGAGTTTTTGCAGTGATTTTTGGGTGAGCAAAAAGTCACCTATTTATGGAATGGTTTTACATAATCAAGCATAGGTCAACGCAATTCATCATCTACCATATAGGTGAGTACGATCCGTAGAATTTATAAGGACAAACAGTTTATACAAAGCATCGAATTATTACTTACGGAATTTGTATCTGAAAGCTGATAGGTATGCCCACTGGATGGCTTCCTCTCGGTTGCCAGAATACAAAGCTTTGTAGAATTCGGTCGTGAATTTGTCGCCTTAAATTAGAAAGAAACACAATATTTATATGTATCAGTCAAAAACAGATTGCATTATATTTATTTCTATCCTAAATGTACAATATTATAAATTGGCATAAACCAATGTGACAGTATAATATAATCCGATATTTACTGTACACCTAAATGAGGTCTAGTAAAATTAAAAGCCGTTTCCACAATCCTGGTAAATCCAATGCAATTATGATGTAATCTGACATACTTTTTTTAGTTACATTACATTTTATTATTGTATTGTGTATGTTATTATTATTATGGATCTGAAAGTCATATGCAATTTTCCAAAACACTTATAAATACGTGAAGACTCTGATAGCAGCCTGTAATTTCAAAACTCTATAGATAGAAAAATTGTTTCATACTCACCCTTTGGAAGTAGTTGCTCAACATAATTCTCTAACAATTTTTTCGAATCAAGTTTTTTGCCACTGAGAAGATCTGTCAGGATGCTGTATGGTACAGATGGATTTCCATTTTGAGCTGTACGTATGTGAAGAAAAACAAATTATATTTAAATATATATATATATATTTTAAATTGTTAAGGTGCCTGCTAATACTGCATAAGATAAAATAAATTTCTAGTATCTTAATGTAAAGTATCTGTCAAATATATTTAGTTGAACTTTGGAATTGTTTGAATCAATGTTTGAATTTAAATACGCGGCACAAATCTAGACACTATAAACTCGAATGCCGTTTTCGCGGCTGTCAATATGGGAAAGGAATTCAAACATTTCAATATCTGAATAAATGCGGGGAGATGCCTCTCACCTGACACAAGATAAAGTATGTGCTTGAGTATGACTTCTGTGTTTCCATCGGCAAAGTATCCGAGGTATTCTTCTTTCAAACCTAAAAACGAAAGTTAGTTATTAGCAAAAAAGTACAAAAACAGAAGTCCACAAAAATACGCGCTGTCCTAATGGTAATCGAGCGCTGGATTCAAACATCATGGTCGAACCATCTCAGCAGGTTTTGAGAAATTTGATGATTAATGAAGAAACGGAAATATTTTGGTGTTTTTGAAATTAGTAGCTTCTTACAAGTCAGTAGTCGACCTAATCCTGTAAAACTTTTCAATGAACCATCATGTGAACTGTTAAATGCTTTCAAGCTTCACAGCATACAGAATATGAAATGGCAACTATATCGACATCACATTTTACAGATTGTTTGAACGTAAACTGCGGTCTAAAAATGACAGTTATACAAAGGAATTTCATATTACTTACCCATTTGTTTTGCAATTTTTTCAAGTAATAATTTGATAGGATCTTCTCCTGACAATATTTTCAAGTAGAATGGATCAATATTGAGGTCGCCTGAAAAGAATATTAATAAAGTAAAATTGTAATTAATCTTAATATACATCAAACAACCTATAATAATATATTGTATTAGAAAAATAGATACAAATAGTGAATATCAATTGAAAGATAATTCCAGAATCTCGAATGCCAAATTAGCTTTGATAAATACAACATAGGCTACATTATTTAGTTCAATTCGACATGATGAGTGTTGTTGCTTCGAAAAGATAGGGATAAAGGTAGTTTATTTACTACAAGGTACAGATATGATCGCTTTAATTTTCAACAAGGATTTTCTTCGAAAATCGTTTTGAATATCATTTCTCCGTCTAATATTAAATGGTGTCGCCTAGCACGATGACAAAGACGAACATGGCGATATCTCTGCTTCGTACAACGTTACATGTCGGCGATAGTGATCAAATGAACCCATAATTGGTTTGAAATCCCTGGTTAAAGGATATAATTAATTATGAATGCTATTTTCGAATAATGGTACTATTTTTTTCCTAATAATAAAATTTTCAGCTGTGATTTATTTCATCATTCCTAGTGTAATTCATATAAAAAAGTCAGGTATCGATAAAACATTAGAACCAATTTTCTCCGATTTGAAAAATATACGTTTCGCCCAAGGCACTAAATGCGATATATCTGTGTGTTTTAATGTCTCTAAAACATATCACCTACAAAATTCATTGATTAATGCGTCTGTTATATGAGGGATTTAGGCTTAGAAGGATCTCATTTTGTTTAAGCTGAAGTTACGTTATTTTAAAAACGCCCCATTATGATATTTGCTATGAACTTGAGAATGGATTGGAATGATTTTGGCATTTTTTCACATCTAACTTGCATTTTTTTACACAATATTACTCTGCCTTTACTTAAACTCATTTTATGCAATTTTGACGTATATTTTACAATGACTTTTATAAAACTATTTTAATTTTAAAAATGTAAAAAGAATTCTAAATATACATTTCAAAGAAAGTCGAAAATAAGTGTAATAAATCCTCACCTCCGATCATTTTTAGGAGATGCCCAGTGTTGAGTCCACCGTTTTTGAACGCTAACAGCCATTCCGCACCAGGATTTGCTGAAAAAAAAATTAAAAATGTCTCTCATGCCCTGCATAAGTCAATCTACAAGTTTAAAACATATTGTGGAAGTTTCTATGTTCTACAACAGAAATAATTTTTGTATGAAATAAAACGAAAACAGCGGTACAAGTAACCAATACATCGTTGTAAATTATGTTCAAATTTTACTAAAACAAATTTCACTTACCGTCAGCGTACAAAGCTAGAATAAGATCACTGTCAACTCCTTCTGCCGCAAGTACCGTCAGAAGTTTGTTGGTAATGAATTTATCAGTTGATGCTAAAAATGAAAATAAAAGATTTATTTTAACGTCGTTTGAGTTATTTTCAATAGCAGCCACGATGGTTTCATTGCGAAGAAAACTTTTTTAAACAATAATTGTCAGGATTTTCAAATGCATACAAAAGACGCCTAATGCAATTTCCTTGGACTATGCAGTATATATATATATATATCACTCAAGTGAGATAATACTAAGAATTTGAATATTAAACTTACATTTGAAGCACCATGGTACATTTATTCCATCTTCTCGTGGAACTTCGTCATAGCAACATCCCCTGGTTTAAAATAGTACAAGTTTGAAAATTGCAACCCGACATATCATTTAACTTTTTCTTGCTTTAACAAAGAAGCTATATTTTTCAACAATTTTTCGAGAAAAATAGAAAAGGTTTCAGGATAAAAATAACTTCAATTAATTTGTAATTTTAAAAAGTAAATTATAGGCTTCCTTAATAATGAGAATTGTACACTAATTATTTTTGTATAACTCTCTCAATAATTATTACACAAGCTTTGTACTAATGCTCAAGAAAACAAATAAATTTAAGTAAATGCTAAAAATTAGGGTGTATTTTGGCCAGCTTTTAGCGCCGTTTAAATTTCATTTTCATCTGAATCAAGGATACGGACTTATTTAGAGTCAAATGAAACTTAAAATGTAAAATATTTTCGAATTGAACTGCAATTGATGAGATATTCATTTTCTTAAAATTCATTGCGGTACATTTCTCTTTGAATTTTTATTTTGCATTGCAGTACAAATGTTTTATTCTGTTGAAAGATAAAATAATCACACGTCAATCAAATAAATTCTCATATAGAATAGGTTATAATGATCTCGGCCTGTCGTTAAATCATTATCAAGCCGACAATTAAAAAGGGAAGTTTACGATACAAATTATACAGTAATTATAGTTCAATGCGATTGGTATGTTCGGAATTGTAGAACAATAATAACATTTAACAGGAAAAATTACGTTTTTATTACCGTGTGCTGTAAAGTATGATTCGTTTCGTTTTTTATTTGACACAGTAATAACTGAATACGAAAAAGCGGTAAATTATAATAACCTTGTCTAATTTTGAGTTTCTTTGAAAATTAAATCTTTGATGCGGTCGGACTTTCTAATTTTAAAACTTAAAAATGATTTCCAGATAAGAATTGAAAATATGTCTGCAGAGTGATATAATTAGAAGTGATGAATAAAAAGAAAATTGTAAAATTCTTGAAAACTTTAATGCGTGAGCCATACCAAAAATCGATTGTTCAACTTTTAAATCTAGTCAACAGATTCTTCAGCAACATTGAAGTAATTCTTTTATTAATGATGAGTTGAAGCAAATAAATGTTACGCAATCAAATTTTGGCTCCACACAACAAGTTTTTAATTCTAAACGGTTGATTATATAACAACACATTCGCTCTGAACAAAGCTTTGGGTAAGTAGCCAACTATTCGTAGGCTGAATAATATATAACAAAAAATTGTTATCACTTAGGTTCAACTAGAAAATGTTTTAATCCTGTATAAGTAGTTTAAAAATAAATTTGCTGCGTTTTATTACAGCAAAAAATCTTCAAAATACAGCAAAAACGCCATCCGTGGTTTACAATAGATATAATTAAATACAGATTGAAGTTTTGAAATTACTTACTTAGCTCTGCATTGATCGGGCGGTATTCCTTTGTATCCGCAGTCGTGTCTTTTGCTGTACTTTAGTCTGCATTTTCTGGGAAGCCATGGACGATATGGTTTTCTGTTTGCAACGACAAGAGTGGCAAGACAAGCTAAAATAGCGACTAAAAGCTGGAGAGCTTTCATTTTTCTTATCTTAAACTATATAAAATTAAATGTTATTATATAAATATTTATAAAAAAAAATAAAATATAAATAATATTCAACTTATGATTTCTCTGTTTGGACTTTATTGGACTTAAAAACATCCTACACAAAAAGCAGAAAGAAAAATCAATTTAGGCTACCTAAGTGATTTGACAGAAACGACAGGCAATAACTCTGGTAATGCGGATTTGCTCTGACACCCTACATGCGCATTGTTGTATCGCAAAATAAAACAGTAAATACAGAAATAGGAATTGTAATTTTCTTTTTTTGTCTTCGAGACTTCGCCAACATTTTTCTAGTTATTATTTATAAAATACACTTGAAGTGCTACTCTACTTTCTATCCGGTATCATAGGCTCTCTACTAGGAACCCCGATAGCTACCAAAATAGAATACATGTGTGATACTCAAATCCCTCCAAACTTGAAGTACTCGGACCCTTTTTCCAAACAATAAATTTTAGCCCGAGGTCATGTCAGACTGTCGCGCTGCAGCCTAAAATAGCACGCGCGCGTTGTCGATGACGACGTCACACGTTCTCACGGTATATTTCCCCCAATATCACAGATCGTCCAAATTACTAGCACTACGTATATTTTAAAGCATCTTTCCAATGTACTTTGTAGGAAGAAATTTTCATTACATTTACTTTGGCCTAACAAACATTATCTCAATAGTATTATCTCAAAGCTTGTTTAATGAAAATATTTTTATTGTTTATACTTCCCAAATTCCCAAAACTCCCAAGGAATGAAATAGTCTACGGCAGGAGTCGGCAACCTTTTGTCGCTCGCGGGCCAAAATTAAGGCTGCAAGTCATTGGCGGGACGTACATATTTTTAGAAAGTTGAAAAACCGAACGGATGGTACTTTTTATAGTAAAAATCAGGCAGTGATACATCTCACGAATAGAATATAGATTTATTTCCTCATTGCATCTCATAAAATTTCATTTGAATATTTTCAGCGCCATTGACCCTTTGCACTTAGCATCAACTTTTCTGCGTTTTGTTGCCATTTGCTTAATTATAATTAAATTATATACTTATTAAACGAGTAATTGTGAATTATATAATTGTTAGGTTATAATATAATTTGGTCTAAAGAATATATTCGTCAAAACGGATGTTTTGTTACTATAATTTAGTGAAGCGTCGCGGGCCGGATTATAGTGCTCCGCGGGCCGGATTATAGTGCTCCGCGGGCCGTAGGTTGCCGACCCCTGGGTACGGGTTATATATTTTCATAAATCAAAGAAAGAACGGAACAATCTTATTCCGTTGTGGAAGATTTCAGTGACTTTTAAAAAAATGTCATATTCAAGCACGTTGACAAACAAACAGTTTTATTATCGATTTTTTATAATTCTGCAACTGACTACCGTAATCAATCAATTTAAACAGATCATATCTGTCCGTAATAGAACTTGATGCAGCAGATAAAGTGTGTTCTATCCCACAGTAAACGTCAAATGTTGACTTGATGGATCACAGAAATATTCTCCGTATTGACGTTTACATTGGAATACCATGATACATTTGTTGGCTCAAACGAAAAATACCAATGAAGTTTCTAATTTGGATTATTATAATCGTAAATTACGTAAAACTGGAATTTGTCAAAACGGCTATAATTTTTGATTGATGGACTTTGCATCCTTACGCATGCATACAAGTGTTGCATAGAACAAATCATGTTAATATATTTATAAAACGTTCACATAAACGGAACCATATTGATACCGTCATGCACTTTTATGAAGCAAATGTTTTTGGGTCCGTGGAATTTTCCGGATTCAGTCACATTTAGTAAATCATGAGTTACAATTGTTATGGTTTTCATTATATATATGTATATATATGAATCGTCGGCCTAGTACTTATCTGTTTACAAATAGTTACAATTTAAATCTGATAATGTAATCAACTTCTCATGAGAAATTTATCGAAGTATTTTCCATCAATGGAATAACAATTAAAAACGATTATAAACGTGTAAACAAATCTAATAACCGGAAATCTCTTTCTCTCCGTTTCTTTGAAACTGTAATTCCCACCTATGCTACCTTTCAATATATTCCTAATAAGTGCTTCACTTTGTATTGTATAATTGAAAAGCCTTTAAAAGTGGTTTCAAGTGGAATATTGCAATTGCTTTGCTCTATGAAATGCAGAGATTATCACGGAAAATCAACAAAGGCTTATTGCCATATTTTTGAATTTTGTCTTCCTATATTGACGTAATACTGTCAATATAAATGCTTTCGATCAAGTCTGAACCATGAATGTAGCAAGTAAATCACTGAGTGTTGTTGTAAATTCGTTCATTATAAAATAAGAAATAGGCGAAGTAGGCTACTAGGAATCATCAATATGGGGAAATTCAGTCCAGCCAATGTAACCTATATTGATGAGTAAGCTGAAATAAAATGAATATACTTCTGATTCGGACCTTGTCTTATGCATTTAGAGAAAATGAACGAGGTTGAACCATATTGTTATAGATGATCACAGATTTGCATCGGAATTTGATTTGCCTTCTAATGTTATTAAATGGTGTTAGAGGGTTTATTATCAAGATTATCTAATATTTCCCCTCTTACATTTGATTTGGAATGCTACAGTGTCGTAAAGTGCAAGTGTCATTTCCGCGCACAATGACTTCTAAGATTTGACGACTTTGAACTCCAAGCACAGTACACGTATTTCGACAAGGTTTTATCAGAAATTTTCAACACTTAGCGTGTATGTAACACGTAGTATTTAGCACATTTGTCGTGATCCTGAATAGCTCCGTAGTTTACATGTTGCTTATGGGCAAGTTATCAATAACTCCGGTAGTATAACTTATTATGAGGCATGAAAATATTGACAATAAACCAACACTTGTTCAACAACAAACCTTCAACATTGATATGTGCTAAAAGCTTCGATTTACACCGTATAATAGATGCTAATGTGCACACTCAGTAGAGGGGGTCAGTTACGGGCACGGCCGTGTGACTTCCGCGCTACTAAAAACTATAACTGCGGTCTATGCTTCTTTGTAATGGAAACATATTATATATATATTTCCAAGTATGCCAGGTTTAATCACACACGCGAGAGCTTATCAAAAACAAGTGAAAGGTTTGTATTTTGTAGGTTAGCTTTTACTACCTCATAATAATCTAATGGACGTACATATTATGTATGTACAAATTGGGCGATTTTACAATTGTACTTATACGGCGAGAACAAAACTTATGTCATCTGCACAGCGCCGAATTTCTTGAAAGCGCGTTCATTGTAGTCCACATGCGTATCTTCCCTCTCCACAACAGAAAAATGCAGAAATGAACGAAAACGTCATTTTGGATTGTAGGTGCGGAAGTGGCAAACGTAATTTTCCATTTTATGTTTTTTTTTTCTGTAACGAATTAAATTTCTCGCTTACTAAAAATGGTAACAATGATATGGAAAAATTCTGCAATTTGAAAAATGTGCGCAAACAACAATTTACTTTATAGTAGGTCGGGGGAAGGCGGACCCACTAATAAGTTATTTTGAATAACTCTTCAAATAATGTCGCAGCTGCATTCGTTCTACGATTGATTCATGCACCCACCCTCCAGCTATCTTGCCACATTTGCACATTGTTGCCATAGCAACGAATCGGAATTTACGCCCGATTTTCAGCTAAAAAAATATCGGGGTAAGTTAGACACTTTGTGGGAAAGACGGACACACACCAAAATTAACTTGATGGTGTCTAAGATTTCGGTCATAAGACTTCGATCAACGCCTAGATGGCCCAGGATTATGTCTCTTAAATTTTTTTTAAACAGATCACTTTTCTTGCATATTAAAAAGTATGTCCGTCTTACCCCATGAAGGACATAACAGGGCAATTTTCAAAAGAGTTTGAACAGTTTTAGGAAAACTGGAAATTTAAAATTTAGTTTGCGCTTTTTCAACTGCAATTTTTCTATCTTCTTTACACGGACTACATCTAGAAGTATTTATTTTGTAATTTCTTGGCATAACCTTGGGCGTATTTTATACGCATATGAAAAAAATAATTTGACGGGGTAAGATGAAATTTTACGCCGGGCTTAACTTCTAAGAGATCCAATATAAATATGGCGATGAGTGTGCTTTTGATCTTTGTTGTAAAAGGGTACTTAGTACCAAAAAATAATTATTTATAAGTTTCGATGACGACGGCCCATTGACATTCCCAACAGACTATATTGAAAAAAATCCTCCCCCCTCCCCCACTCAAAATTCAACCTACCTCTTAAGTGACCCTGCCAGCCCAAAAATGAGTACTGGCAGTTTGCTTAAGAATTTATTCGATCTAATGCAACTACTTTCAACAAATAAACAAAATAGAACCGAGTTCGCAGACTTTTCCGGCTAAAATTATTCTTCGCCACCATGGGACTCTATAATTTGACGTTTTTCTGTCCCAACAGAAACACCCCTTCCCCAAAAAGCACCGCCTTGTAAGTTGTCGAGCCTGAAATGTAAAATCTTGTCGTTGTTCGCATGATGTCGCTCTTTCACGCGATGCGTTTTGAGCGACGAAAAAGCGCGAGGTGTCGCTAGTAGGAGGATTTTATTTTGACTGACCATCATACCCCGGGTGTCCGAACTACCCCGACCTACTATATTAACAATATTTCTTCTTAAACTTGAAGTTTACACTGAATCGTTTTGCTGAACTTTGTTATTATTTGCATGATTGTGTCGATTGAGTAAATTTCTCTTCTCTACGCAACTAATGAGCCAACCAATTTCAAATTTTCAGTTTTTAACGACGCTTGAAGCGCTAGAAAAATATTACTTTATTTTTTCTCATCAAATTTTCTCCGAGTCCAGTGATTGTGGCAGAAATTTGCTATTTTATTTTGATTCATGGGAATTTTTTGGAATCTGGAACACTTTATTACGCTTGTCCACCGATCTTTTCGTCAAACTCCTGTCTCAGCGTCCATATACAGTACTGTATTTCAGTGGTCGGCAAAAGGTGATGTTATTTAATGTGAGATTTGTATTTGTTTGCTGGCCATTAGCTGTTTCCAATTTGGATGCATGGTCGACGGGGATACACGTAACGTATTTCTGACGTCCAGCCTACACCGGTATTTCGTTTTTGTAGTTGTCAATATTGAAAACCCGACCTTACATATCAAGGGGAACGTAGACAATTTTTTGAAGGGGCCGCCATCTTGGTGCACATGCTTCTGGAGTACTGTTATTTGTAGCTTATTGTTAGCCATAGTTATTTTTGAGGTGGGGCTCGACACTTGACAAATTCTAAAAAGGGACACGACTAAATAAGTTTGAGAGCCACTGATCTAAGAGAGTTAACCAAAAGACTGCCATAGAATAGGCTACATCGCAAATACGCTTCCCAACTCATTATTACTTGAAGTTTCAATCAATTGCTTCATATTAGACAATCTCGTCGTTCGAAGGCTTCATCGCCTCATTTGAGAGCTTAGTATGACAAAGGACGCATGGTGTTTTGGTATTGGATGCTGTTTTTTAGTCGTAGGGTTTGCGGTTGTTAAATTGAAGAGGTGTTGTTAAGGCCTTGCCCGCTTTTGTGTCGCCTTACTGCGGACCGGTAGTAACTTTTCCGCGGACTTGAGATGGGCCGCGGCCTGGTGGTTGCCGACCACTGCTGTATTTGAAGATTTCCCTCTCGCAGGCACGCAAACATTTGAGGGGCTTTTTGATTCTGTCAAAAGAATAAAATATATTGCTGTAATGGATGAAAAACTTAAACTTGAATGTCATAAACAAACTGAACTACTTTTAACAAAGTCCAAGAAATACACATATGCGATAAAATAGAGGCATCTCAACGTAAGGTATTCAGTAGCGTAGTAAAAATACCACTGGTTTGCTACACCATCCGAAGCGAACAATGGACATGCGTTACGTCACCTGTAGTGCTGTAAGTAATATTAAGCTCCAGACACACACTAATTTCCCCCCATCGTATACTGGTGTCCGACTTGCGCTATCAATACTCGACATATGCTTATCTGTGCTTCAGAAATGGAGAGCTTTGTTATCCAAAAGAACGGCATGGATTGAACAGATAATACAGAGAGCCAATAGAAAAGGGGCACATCTCAAGAAAGAAATGGCGCGATTCGCAGGTTAGGTCACGTGGACAGCGGTGCTCGGAGTCAGCCAAAAATAGCCATACCCCTATAGTGAAAAATACATAAGTGTAAACCTTGATTCAGACTCCGCACATTCTTTTCACGTCGTTAAAATACCATAAACAAATAAAACAATATAAAAGAGTATATTCCAGTCTGGTCACGTATATACGACTTTCCGTATGGCTATTTTATAAAATATATATTCAGTTTATTTAGACTCCTTAGTCAGCATAATATGCTACAAAAGAGCAAAACCTTTATATTCTTCTTGAATATGCTCATTTTGGAGTAAGAAAGCTTCAAATGTCATCTCTTAGGTTGGGATTTACATATTTCTCCCGGGTTAAGCCATGTCGGATTAGTTAGCCAGGTATTTGTGTTCGGAAGCATGGACTTGATGGTACATGAAGCCGTAACCTTGCAGCGGTGAGGAGTTCAGCAATCCTCTCGCACATAACTATCTCCGCATGGGATTCGAACCTGCGCACCCATACAGTGCAATCCGAGGTGGGGTGGCGAGCATATTTCTAACGCTTAGCACGATGCGCCACACCGCCGAGCTTTTAAAAACCTTCAAAACATTAACACATTTTGAATCGCGTATAAGATGCGTCACGGGTATTATTTTGGCCGTCTTCCGAATAATTTGACGCTAGCGCTAGATGCCTCCTGCCTCAAGCCAGTCTATTTTTTGACGAAAGCATGCCTATATTCGGTGAATGTATCACCATTAATTACATAATTAAAGGTTATATTCCTATTTTGTACATCCATAAATGCACTCCATCGAAACTTTTGTTGCTCATATTTGCTAGCATACCAGTTTACTTGTTTTGCAACCATCATTTGGATTCAAAATATTAAACCATCTGCCCTTTAAAGAGTACTCTTAGCTAATATAGTTTATCTAGTCCATCGGAATATTCGCGACTACCTTTGAAATTCTGCTAACTATACTAACATCGCAAAATTGTTCGAGAAAACATCCAAACGCACGTCAACGAGAGATAGATTCTTAAACTTGCACATGATTTCACGTTAGAGATAATTAGTTAAAATGGAACCAGGGGATTCTTAAACTTGCACATGATTTCACGTTAGAGATAATTAGTTAAAATGGAACCAGGGTATTGCGAAATACCATGGCTGTGCGGACGCCAGTGCCATAAATAGTGCATGCAACCCCATCAAATTTAAATTTAAGACTAGCTTGCTGGTACATTCGAAAAGTCAATAATGAGCAAGTGCTAGGGAATTAAATACCCTTTGCAAGACTGAAACTATAACTGCACACAATTTCGGACAAGCAGAATTAGTTTGAAGAACTATTTTTTTGTGAAACGAGTATGAAAATATCAATTTTGAAAGAACAATATGATTATGGCGTCACAAGTCATAACAATCAATGTCGCCATATGCAAATCAAGCAAGCATAAACAAGAAGCAGCATAGAAAAACATAACGAAAAAATCTTCCATCAATTATAATCAGTTTCCACATACTATATATAAGAAGTTCAATCTACCAAAGATTCACCGAAGCCAGATCCCACTGTGATAAGTGTAAAGTTATGATAATAAGTAACGAAATATTGGAATGAAAATGGGCAAACAATAAGAAACATGAAGGAAAATCACAATTCTTGCAAGAATTAAATAACGATTTTTATTGATATTTTAACGATCATGTCTTTTCAAGATGTTGACCGGTGCAACATGATAACTAAGTTTGAAAAAGCCAAACGACCAAATCAGATACCACTAATATAGAGTAATTTTCCATTTTGCATGATTTATAAAGACTCCGAATCAGAAGATTTCCCTAATGAAAGGTCATTCTCAAAGCACAATAATCGAAAGCAAACGGCAGTGATCAGACTGGTTCAACTTCTGAAAATAACGCATGAAATAAGAATAGATCACTAACAAAAATTAATTGGCAGTCACACAAACACAATAATGGCATGGCACATTTGAGAACAAAATTGTAAAAAAAAATGACATTGTGTAAACATTCTTAGTTGTACTCATGTGAAACTTTTCAGAGTTCTTAATACTTTGAATACATAAAATTGCAAAAAATCTGTTAGTGGAATTACTGTTTCAACAGGCATGTTAGCAAATTGTCAGAACTTCTATTTTATTTTACATATTTCAGGCCCCTTTTCAAAATTATTTTGGAAACGTAATCCGAATGAGAATAACCATTTAAAAACATGTTTTTGGCTTAAACCAGGGATAACCGATATCCTGAAATACACACTAGGAGACCATTTCATTTATTTATCACAGAATATTTGAAAGCGATCAGTCCAGAGGATGCTAAGATGTCCCAAAGCCTATCTTTCTAAGTAATAGTTGGTTCATTTCGCGTTGAATTTCAGTACATGAGCCAAAATCTTCAATTAACTATCGAATTAAAAGGATATTTTTTAAGATAAATTTTTATATTATCCACTATAAAAAGCAATCAGAATGAACTGCAAAGCCATTTCTTATGAACTATAATCAGTTGGAACCAAAAGTTTCAAGAATAGTAATTGAAAGGTGCAATAGGCAATAATATTAATAAATTAAAACTCTTTAACCTTTGGTTGTGAAGTAGAATATGTTTAATATATTTTGAATTTGCCCTAGTATATATCGTGGGACAAAAAGTCTATGTAATCATATGGAGATTCATACAATTGGGCCAAGTAGAGGACATGCGGGACACAACATTTTTCAGATACTCCAAACATGGCCCGACACTATTTCATCTATGAGCATATACAACTGCGCTAAAAGTTCAGCTCTGGTTGGAGGGCAGATGACGGAATTGTAGATTCCAAAGCTCATTTAAATTTACCCATTTTGTTAGCATATGTACCACCAATACTGAATTTATGATAATAAAAATCAAATTCTTGAAATCTTGTATGATTTTCTAAAGAGGGAACTCAAGGGTAAATAATATAAAGTAATTTCAATTGCTGTCAGAGGGTTAATACGCTCAAAATCTTTTCCTTATTTCTTCTATTTCCATATTTCTTGCATTATCTTATAATTCGGTTTACTAATTCATATACTTTCGACAAGTTTTAGCTCCACAGTTGCACATAATTTTTTGATCATCAGCTTCAATAGGGAACTTGTAGTCATAAGTTAGTTCTTCTCCTCTCAAAATTTTACGCAGTGCAAAAATGATAATGTGTTTCTTGCCTGAATAGATATAAAAGAAAGTTATTAAGTTAAACCTAACCTAATTATAAATGAATCACAATGAACAAAAACATCCAAAACAGGCGCTGACAACCTTTATCCTGTCAGGTACCAAAATCTACTTCCTTTGTCCTCATGGTCGTATATAGTTTTAGTCAAACTTATACCAGTTCTCTCTGGTGAGGTGCACCAGTGCAGTTGGGATCATCACACGCGCATATGTGGAACTAGTTCCAACTGAATATGCTTCCAACTGCTTTCGGATTTTACAAATAATTCAGAATATTTTGCTTCGAAAGTTTTATCAAAAATAGGAATCAAGCATGTTGTTTTAACTACAATCAATGTATTTTTTTAAGTGATTTTTCTTCAAAAATTTAAATTGGGTCTCGTTCAACAAAGAGCAAATATTAGAATTCGATGTATAGTAGATGAGTTTGAATTGAAAATACAGAGAAGTTTAAAGGGATTTAGCTAGTTCCCTAAATTCATAAGTATATTTCGGTCATACTACGATACTTCATTTGCTCAAAAAGATGATTTCTAATTTTTTTCTGAAATCAAAAATTCAAGATACGAAGTATAAATAATTTTAAATATTCCATCCGTTTTAAACATCCCTGCTAATCATAGTAAAAAAAGTAACCATACCATCAATATGCACAATGCGTGAATAACAACTTGGTTCACAAGAATGATTAATAAATCTTGCTCCAGATCCCATCATAGTTGCATCAACAACGTACATGTCATCCATCCGAAACATATAACAACCAATTCCTTTAGTTTCGTACATTTTCTCACGATGATCAGTCAGGAAGCAACGAATAACCTAAAAGCAATTATGAGCTTAACAATACTCTGAATCAGACCAGGGCTGCAATCAACAAAAAATTCTAGATTCTGGGTTTAAATATATTTTAACAGCGACACCGGACTCTGGGAGGTTTTGACTCCACCCACCACAGGGTTGTAAAAGTTTTTACTTCGACAACAGATACTAGAAAATCAAATGTTGATAACAGAAATTTAAGCATGTGCCTTCCTAAATAGAAAATTTGGAAAGTTTAATAAACTAAATGCTGTTTGAGTTTCAAAGGAATAGTTTGTTATCACTATTGAAATTCTAAGATTTAGACTCGGACTAAGGGGACCACTGAAAACTCCTAACACCAGGCTCCACAACTTTTAAAAAAGACATCATAGTGGTCACTGAATTCTGTTAAAAGCCTACTGTTTCACAGCACTAGACCAAAATATATGTGGAATGTACAATTCCTAAACAGTAGAAAGTAGAAAAAAAATGGTTAGTAGTGAAAAATTATAGATAGAAAAACACGATTTTAATACTGCTTTCAACATTCTCAGATTAAATTGTTAGCTTCCAAGAGTGGGAAAATTATTTAAATAACAAAATATTGCAATCATACCTCTCCGGTATATTCCATGACCATTTCACCAGCCTCAATATCTCTTTTACAATACAATCCTCTGCCATGTATAGCAGATCGATAAACACCAACAGCTTCACGGGCCGATGTTCGTAAATGACGAAACCTCATTGCCATCGGTAGGTCCATGCTAGTTGGTCGCCTGTTGAAAATATATGAATTAAATAAACTTTATCAAACTTTGTGTTTTTTTCTTTCTAGTAGAATCGTTCCATAACTCAGGAGGTACATATGTAAAACAGTGTATAAATTGAAGGGAAAATTTTCAGAGATTTTTCAATTTTTCAGCAATTTTTGTAATGCCAAACACGTGCCTAAGAACCTGCACTTGATTACAAAACAACAAATGTTTTTAGATGCTTTGTTACTTGCTTTTTGATGCTCCCACTAAATGAAATGATATTTATCAAATATTTTTACCTTGTGCTGTTTTGTTGCATATCAACATTTTGTGTGCGAGATGGTTCATACGATGGTGGTAACCTGTGTTTCGACGCAAGAAAACTAAACATATCGGGCTTGGAACGTCCTTGAAATTTTTCAGCTCTTGCGCAACCATGAGGATTGATGTGAGTTACAACCTGTTAAGCATAGAAAAAAATATTCAAAAACTTAAAAGTTCCGAATAAAGAAAACACTGGTTTGTTCTAACCATTTAATAAGTTGAGTCGAATCACTCAGCTAAATCTCAATGGTGGTTAGTTGAGTACGAGTCTTGAGTCAATTCATTAAAATGACTAAAGTCTCCTCAACACTGGTATACACACTCTTACCTCTGCTGGTGGTTCTCTGTGTTTATAATACTTGGCACGATATTTGAGGCAATGTCTTGCACCAGGTAACTGTTCGACAAGAAATCGTACTGCATCATGCGACACACCCAGAAAAGCGCTTGGTGATATGATTGATGTTAGACATAATGAAGGTGATCGAACGTAGGCATTCGCTCTGCATTCTTGTACAGAATCAAGGAGACTTGTAACAAGTTCTGAAATGTGAAAAAGATATTTATGGAAAGATTAATCACTTTATTATTACACATGGTCTTTTTCTGCAATATATCAATTAGCGATTGATGGAATATTTTAATAGTACCAACCTAAAATTCACTAAAAAACTAATTTTCCTTTAAAATATTATTCACCCCTGTTGATCCAGTCTAAAGGCAATGTGCCCAATACACAACTGCTAGGAAAATATACTTATTTCAGTGTACGTAAAATACCTTGAAGATCAGTTCCTTGTGCATGATAACCATCCTCACTCTTTATTTCATAAATAAGATGAGATCGTTTTAATGACTGAGGTGGAGGTGGAAGACGATTTTCTTTGCCTGAGAAATAATGATAAAGGAAAATAAGATAGTTCTGTCAATAAGTAAAGATAAGTTGCAATAAAAACGAATTAACATAATGATTGCAAAATAACCTGTGACTATAAAGAGTTAAGCAATCCTGTAATACACATTTGCTCCCACAATTCATCAGGAAACACAATTTTGGAAACTATTAACATAGCTAACCTTTTCTTGATGACCAAGGTACGTGTAAATGTACGCGACGCCTTGATAATGTCTGAACAACATCTCGCAATTTCTTTACTGCTTTATCATCAGATATTCGTTCAGCATCAACCACCTTCATATAGACATCAAGTAGGGGAGATGAACATAATCCTTGTGGTGTACCATCATACTGTTTGTTTTTCACTATATGATCTTCAAAAAAGAGGTAAAAAGAGTTTGAAGAATAATAACAATATTTTGCTATCGATATACAAAGTAAAGCGCCTGCGCTGGCCTGGGGGTTAAAATGGTTTTAGAGTAACTATTTTGGCATTACAGGTTACATATCACAGGTTCGAAACCCATGCCCACCACCTCACCAAGAGTGTAATGAATTGGGTAGGCGATGCAATGCCGAACGGGAAAAATTCCTGTTCTTCCAATAAATAGCATCTCCTTACATATCAGTGGCCGCGTGCATATGACGTAGTTCAGGACGTGAATGAGCATATTGTACAAAAATCATAGTTTCATCAAGTTACAACATAAACATGTGATGACTTTACATACATACAAGTACAATAAATACTGTCAGAGGGACATCTAGTGAGAAAGTATGACAAGCAATAGAATATTTGAATCAATTCAATTTTATTTGTATGTAATATTTTAAATTCTCAAGTTTAGGGATAATATGGAACAGTTTCATAGAAAGAATTAAAGTCTAGCGATTTTGAAAATACAACTTCGGGTATGACTACAGTAAAATATGCTAAACTCCAATTCTCGTCTTGATTTGATAACATCACAATACATGATACCTTTTGAATACTGATCACTCTTTGGCACATGTTTTTCTTTTCGCTTCGTTTTTTTAATTCTTTTCTGAATGGGGTGACATAATTCTGTAGGACTGTGCTTCCGTTTTATTCCGTGCGGAACAGAATGTTTACCGGAATCTTGCAATATATTCGGTGGCGATTTTTGGTCAAATTTATGATTGCTTTGCTGTTTTGATGGAGAGTTCTGTAAAAAAAATTAAATATAGGAACATGGGCCGAGACTTTTTTCTATGTAAATCTGGTAGCCTAAAATAGATTTCGAATTTGGACATTGTTGCCATTACAGGCCTATTAACTGGAATAATAGAATAGGATTTACATATTTATCCTGTGGTAAGGAAGGTCGATAAGATAAATTATTATTCATATGGTAAACCACCACCTCTAATCCGATTACCAGTCCATGTCAAGTATGGGATTAGATGGACAGTTACTTATTTCAGATTCATGGACTTGACAATGATGAGGATATTCATATTTATCTCGAGATATGAAAGTCGGCCTCTCGTCGAATTACCAGTCCGTGCCAGATATGGGATTAGTTAGTCAGTTATTTGTTTCTGATGCATGGACTTGATGGTGGAGTGAATCACCCGGCGTCGACAAGCTCGATGCGCCACACCACCGAGCGTATAATAAAAGTATCCACTGCCATAAAAAAGCTTATGAATTCAGGACTACATCATTTTCCATGATTGAAAAAGCAAACCAAAATCCCTACATCCTGAATGAGAAGTTTGGGTTAGACAAAAAAAAGTTAAATAATTATCCCAAAAATTGAAAAAACTCAAATCACTTGTTGTGTATCAAGTGTAGGCATCGGTAACTTTTTATTTTGAATCTGTTGTGCAATGATTGCTCGAACAATCTGTTTCTCCTGGTCAGACAACTTGTTTTTATTGCTGTAAAATTCTATCATCCTTTCAAGAACTTTTCTTTGCTCCTGTAAATGAAAAATGAAGTCTGTGATTAAATCTCAAGCGCTAAATTTATAATGACAAACGTTAACTCATGTTTACAGTGTAACTTGTATCTTTGAAAATATTTTATAAAACATAGACAGAGTGTTCAGTTTTAAAATGTCTTTTAAGTATCTCAACTTGAAATACTTATTTGTCGAACAAACGAATACTTTCATCTACAGCTATAGACCATATAACCAGTGTTGGGCGAAGTCCCTAACTAGAGTTGTAAGTAAATATGAGCCATGGATCATCCAATCTGGGTTACCAGTAAGTCCTAATGGTGGTTAGTTGAGTACGAATTAGATGACTCGTGTTACTTCGGGTCTTTGTTTTTGATGACTCGAGCCTCTACATCCCTGATAAAAACTACCTCCGGTGCCAAAAGCACTAGCAGGCTTGTTTGATAATTGACATATTCAAAAATATTCAAACCCCCAAAACCTGGCATGATAATACGTAGTACAAGTGCGTTTTTACCAACTTACCATTGAAAAAAATAACTAATAATTACAAAGTTCAGGAACAACTGACAAACGAAAACGAAACTTACAGCATCTAACTTCACATCATTTGTCAGACATGGTTGAGTTACTGTTGGTGGTGATGGTGGCTTAGGCTTCGTGGGTGCTTTTACTTTGTCCTTAGTAAAAACACTTTTAGTAGAAGCATGCTGAGAGCTCTGCTGATAAGGAATGATTTTGCCTGTACCGGGAGGTCTCATATGAGTACGTGCAGTATTGTTTTTAACAGAAAATTGAGGTCCATTCGTTTTAGGTAACATTCCCACACTTATATTGGAATTCATGACCGGACTTGATACAAAGGTTGCTTGTTGTCCCGCAGGTTGCATGACAATCGGCATTACTGGACTGCAATATCTCATGTCAAAGGAATATTGTCCTTTAGCTGACGGAGGAGAGACGATAAGTGATTGTCCGTATTGAACAGGCAAAGTTCTGATATTGACAGGTTGCTGTATAAACGTCGGAGAACAAGGCTGATTGTATACTACTAATGGAGTCGCCGGGTTAAAATTAAATGGAACGAGGGTTACGTTTTCTGGAATGTACGTATACGATGATTGCTGTTTGTTCTCGACTTGAATATATTGCTGAGGTTGCATGTACATTGAATTTGCAACTTGCGATTGAATTATCGTGGGTGTTGGTATGGCTTGCTGTAACACCGCAGCCGTCTGTGGTAGAGAAGGACATGTTGCTGTCGTCACTGATGGTGGCATTTCTAACAAAGACTGAACTTCATCTGCATTTAATACAGGACATTCGCTCGTCACTAGAAAAGATGCCGCATCATTAGTTTCAATGGGCAATGAAAGTCGGGGTTCATCTCTAGGAGAAAGGGGTGACTCTAAATCTTCTTTATCATTTGTATTACTATACGGTAAGTGGTTGATAGATGGTACGAGTGGTCCTTCATGCATTTGCAGGTTATGAGTCATTAAAGGTGAACTGATTCCACTACCAGTTGTCAGTTGTGTTTGTTGCTTCACAGATTTATCAGCTTGCTGGACAATGTCTGGTTGTGGTAATACTTGTTTTGCTGTTTGATTAGTCTCGTTTCCTATAATTCCACGTATTATTTCAATTGAATCATCGATGCTCGAAACAGAAGCGTTACTCGTATCCATAACATTTTCTGTATGTTGTGTTTGCTCTTCATCTAAAATACCAGAATACAGTGAAAAAAAGGATAATATATTTCAACCCATTAGAAATATTGAACATTTTCTTTGAGTCACCCATTTCTATATTGTTTTTATGTTTACACAATGAAATGATAACAATACACATTATCTTCTCTTGGTATCTCAAACAAACACCAATTAATTTCGACTTTTCCTATCATCAATGAATGTCTGAAATCACAAATCCGACAGAGGATTTAGAATTTTGAGAGTTTGAAAATAAGGCTCCAAATCATTAGAAAACAATGCAAACTTCGAATAGCTCTGGTGGTTGAATAGTAGATAAATTAAGTAAATCAGCACCTACCTAGGTCACTATGTTTCGAGATGCATTCATTCGTACTTGCCAGGTTGTTGGTATCTTTTTGTCTGAGTAAACGAGGCATATCAAATTTGCTTAAACTTAGAATTAGTTCAATTGAAATATAAATTCTGGCAAAATGAGACCAGGAAATAAGAGTGCGAATCAAATTCAATACTAGGTTCCATATCATAACAAGGACTAAAAAAATACAGATCAAATAACACTCATCAATGAAGATATTTCAGAAAATGATCGCAAATAATTATTTGAATTAATCAATTATTTTTTTGATTAATGGCATTTAGGTGTTCTGTTGAAGCCTTATGCTTGAAAAAAGTACAATGAAAGCAAAAATACAATACATCACTTTTTCAGTTTAAAATCCAAACTCATCTTCTCCAAATTTAAACAAAAAATAACATCTTACCCATCCATATTCACAATACAAGCATTCTTTTCGATCAACAGCTCATTATTCAAAAAGCTGGAATCTTCGGGATCAAAAACAGAATTAGAAATTGCTTTTTCCGCTCTGTTTTCATTTAAAGCAATCTCTGCTTCTTTCGATGTAATACTTGTGATCGGGAACTGAGAACTGGAATCCGTTGTGTTGGAACTAATTTCTACATCAGATTTGAGTGATGACGTCACAATGTTCTCATCAACAACACAATTACCATCTTTCGGGGATGGAATATTAATAATAGAGCAGTTTTCAATTGTGTCCTCAGAATTTCCATTTCTTACTTCTGTGACCATAGAATCCTTTAAAGTAGTGTCTTTGGTTGTATTGCTGTCACTAACACTCTTTTGACTTCTGGTTTGAACTTTTGTACCAATGTCTTCCTCATTATTAAAAGAACTTTGAACTTTCTTCTCATCAACAACACAATTATCCTCTTTTGGGGATGGATGATTAATAATAGAGCAGTTTTCAATTGGGTCGCAACTTTTTGGATTAGAATTAGACGACACATCTTCAACAGGCATTACATCTATCTTCGACAACTTATCGCAAGTATCTTGACAGCCAATATCACTTTTTTCAATGTTTACTGTATTGCTTTTCTTGTCACAAACTGAACTTTTGGCGAGTAAACTTTCCTCTTCGATTGCCATGGATGATTTTGTGACATTATCATTAGAACTGCCAGGATTTTTTTCAGTATACAAGATATCTGAGCTGTCTTTCTCTAATTCTGCGGATGCATCAACAGAGGAAACGCTTTTATCGTTGTTAGGAATGTTATCTGCATCTTTGCTAACAACAAATTCAGATTCCAACGCAACATCATTTTTTTCAGCCGAATTTTCAGATGAAAAACTTTCATTACTAGTTGTGCTGTTTTCCAAATCGTTTGAACTAGAATTAGCTGAACTATTCTTCTTCTTGTCTCCCCCATTTTTCCGTCGCTTCGATCTGACGATGGGTACGAGCTCTGCAATATCATCAATAACATGTTCATCAGCGACACTATCATTTGATGTATTCATTTTGTTTTTATTCTTAGTGACTTTGCTTTTGTTTTTTTTCGATTGATTTTGTGCACTTTTTATAGACCTTGCATCAGCGCGATTTTTGCGCCCAGAACTTTTAAGGGAATAAGATTGAATTGCATAATTGGGAGATAAACCAGAAAAAGATTTCAAACAAGTGAATGGGTTACGTCTTGGATAACGACTTGGTGTAATATCCATATTTTCAGAATTACTTTTCCCCTTTTCCGCTACTTGTTTTTTCTTTTTGCTATTATCAGCAGATTTGCTTCTAGATCTTTCCTCTTTCGAACTGACTGATTGTTTTTCTGTGTCTGTTATTGTAGCGTGATTTATTCCATTGCAAACAATTTCAGTGCTTTCAAGAAAAAGTGAAGAATCGTGGGAAAAACTTCTGGTCTTCCTACGATTATCATCAGAATGATCATTGATTACCTTGACCTGCTTTTTGATAGAATTTTGGATTTTAGAGGGTTCACTTTTTTGTCCATCAGTTTCTTTAGCAAATTTTCGTAAACTTCTTAATCTAGTTCTAGTTTCTTTGGACGATTCACTGGAAAAAGATGATTCGGAATTTATCGATGTGTTAGGAGAATTGGACTGTGAATTTGAAACATCAGACTTTGTAGAATTCAGAATATCTGAATTAACAGAATCCTCACTTTTGGTTGCTGATTTTTCCTCAGTTTCATTGATTTCAGTATGATTTTCAGTAGAATTAAAATCCTCTATTTCTGTATGATTCATGTCAGATTTTTCATCACTTTTCTTCTCTTCAACCATTTCACTCCGCGAATCCTCTTCGTTCATATCATTTCCGACAGAATTTAAATTGCAACTAACAATTTCTTCCTCAGAATTTCCATTTCTTACTTCTGTGACCACAGAATCCTTTGAAGTGTCGAGTTCTTTGGTTTTGTTGCTGTCACTAACACTCTTTTGACTCCTCGTTTGAACTCTTGTACCAACGTCTTCCTCATCGCTAGAAGACCTTTGAAATTTTCGTTTAAAATTTTTATTTTTTCCACTCTGTTCAGGACTGTATTCCGAATCATCTTTGAAAGCGTTCGATTTTTTCACTTTTTTCACAACTTTTTTGTCAGGAACTGTTTTCTTCCACCATAAATTTGTTGAAGTTATGGACTGTTCTGCATGTTCAGACATCGATACATCAATAAACTCGTTTTCCAGGGCATTTTTGGCTTCTTTTAACAAATTAACAGTAGTTGGTTTGTCATGATCAGTTGTACTATTAAGACGTTCAACAGAAACTCTCAATTCAGTCGAAACATTTGATTCGGTAGTCACTGTAGTCGCCAGATTTTTCAATGATATCACAGACTTTGTTTTACAAGCGTCCCCACAGCTAGAAGTTAAGGCAACTGATGAAGTACTATTCGTGGAAACCGATATCTCAGATATGGGCTTTGAGGAATCCAATGTACACGACTTTGCAATGTCCTTAGCGATAGATGTTTCACAAACTGACAGTACAGTTTGAGACTCTTTGCATGGAACTGAGATAATGGCGCGTGAAGTATTAGGAATTTCGTGATCACTTTTTTGCAAGTCTGTGACTGAATCAAACGAAAGCTTATCCATAGATATGTTGGACTTGGGAATATCATTTTCAATAGCACTATCTTGCTTGTTTTTTAGACCCGAACACATAACAGACCCTGAAGAACCAAGAAGAAACTTTTTGGCAATATTTGAATTTGCAACAGAGGAAGCAAGAGTGCTTAAAAGTGGGACCCGTGAAACTGATAGCTGAGCAGTTTGGAAATAAGCATTCGTTTCGATAAAAGGCTCTGGTGAAACCACAGGTTGTATGAACAATAAAGACTTCCCCATGTTCATGTCAGTTTTTGGTGGTGTTACCTTCGAAAGTGGATTCTCTGCATAAGGGGTTGATAACTTTATATACTCTTGGCAATCAGATTTTACAAAAGACAAATCTTCCATATCTACTTCTTTGATCACATTTTCCTGGTTTATGGCAGATGGCATGGCCTCTGTATTTTGGTTAGATGAAATAGGCAGTTTTTCATTGGAAATACAGGTATTTGCATTTTCACTAGGCAGTGTTAAGTTCATCAGCTTAGTTGCATCATTTTTATTCTCAATTTCAGACACAGGATTAAGATTGAGAAAAGGGTTTTGATGAGAAACAACAATAGCATTTTCAATTTCTAAAGCGAGATTTTTGTTGTTCTGTCTTTGTAATATTTTTTCATCCACAGAAATCTCTGGAATTTTTCTATCTTTTTCTTTAAAACTAACTTTTTTCGAATTATCTTCATGAAATGAAGATTCTTGCAAAGCAGGCAACATTCTCTGATATGTGGTTGATGATCTTGATATTGTAGGTAGTGGAGTGATAGCTTGTGGCAATGTACGATTAACAGAACCGATCACAGTATAGGAAGAGCCAGAAAAACGTCTTGATCTGAAAAATAATTTGTTTAATACTTTGATAAAACAAGCTTGAGCGCTGAGCTCAAAAGTGAAAATTAATTGATAAATAGTTGCAATAGGTCATGTATATTGATTGATTTATTGGACACGAAGTGAACCATTGGATTGTTCTGCTAAAATTGTGTTGTTGTTGTTGGAGAAATTTTCATACTTATCACAAGAAATCACTGGCTCACTAATCCCATACCCGATGAATTGGTAACCGGACGGGAGGACGTGGTTCGCCATATGATTAAGTCGTGTTATCGGCTTTCCTCTCCTGTGGGATAAAAATGTGCATTTAATCCTATCCTAAATAGACCAATCTACTCCAATTTCCCAGTACTTGAAGACAGAAGTTGCTATAGGGCTTTTCCAACAATGACGGCATTGCTTGTCTACCAATATTTTTTTGACAAACTTCGTGCTCTCAGGCTACTGGGGAAGTATTGTGTCCAAATATTTGAATATTGTTCACTTACTGTTAGTTATATCCATTATATATCATATTAAAACCCATGTCAACTATTTCACAGGCAGCTCAAAGCACTCAATACATGAAACTTGCTATATTATGATACCTCATAACTTCCGGTTCAACGGCAGGATGTTCATGTGATTTTCTACGATGCAGTGGAGCATGAGTAGATTGCATTCTATCAATTAAATTAGATCTACATGAATCAACAGCAGGATATCGTGGTTTCTTTGGTGATTTCTTAGACACAGGAAACTGAGTAGTATCTGTATAAAGGAATATAAAATTGAAGCTTATTAAACTCTTACCACTTGTGCTCTTTTATAAAAATACTCAGCTTTGCTTTGAACGTTTTACCATCAGTTATTTTTTGTGCTCACTCCATAATAAAAAGAACAAATGGAAGCAGAAGAATAAATGCATTGCAGTTGAAGAAATGAACAAATCATAATTTAATGAACTCATTGCAAATGGTACCCAGTGAAGAGTATCCTTATCCTTAAGGTAGAGTATCCTCATTTTTCTAGGGATGTAAAGGGCCATACCTTCACTCCATAAAAATGACATAAAGGTATATTTTAAAGAGAATTTGCTTAAATCAAAATCCCATTCACTTACCCGCAAGTAAAGGGATCTTATATGTGAGCAAAATTAAAAGTGAAATTATGGTGGCACAGCATGTACCAGTAAATGTCGGTTGCCGTAAGATTTGAAATATTTCAAGTCATATGATGAGTAAAACAGTTGTGTGTAGTGAATACCACATAACTGAAGTTACTTCAAAAACTTTTTCCATGATAATTTCTTTCTATGACAGCAATGACAGTACACAAGTGATGGTGTGAGCTTGAACACAGCATGAATATTCATAATCCATAATAAATAATGAAAATATAGATTAAAATCTTCATTAAAGTCAGGTCTCGTTTGTTTGATATCAAATTTTTTTTTTAATGTAACACAAATTATCCCGAACCCAATGTTATCTAAACATTTTATTATTTCTAATAAAATATATAACAGAAAATGTAATGGAAACAATTGTGAAAAAGCACATTAGTCGTATATATTTACCATCTTGGGCATGTGAAATTGTTCGATTGCCATGGCTTTCAACTTTTCCACTACTTGCAGATCCAAAACCACCAATGACAGCTGGACCATCATAAGGTGATTTTTGTTCCGTTACAGTTATGGTGTATCTCACACGATGTCCAGCATGTACAGTGCTCCAAAACATACGAGTCATTCTATGTAAAGACATGCAAAAAATATTGTCAATTAGATAGACTAAGAGAATAAAGACACTTTATATTGGCCAAATTTCAAATGAGGTTTTAAACAAAATAACATAAATGCATGGGCAATTCCACTTTGTGACAAAAAAAGGATTTCAAAAGTTACATGCTCCTTTTTTCATTGTCATTATACATTTCAATAGATTGCAACTAATTCTAACAAATACTTTGTCTGAATGGCTAATTTCTCGTTCATAGTATTAGCATGAATAACAAAGAGAGCGAGCAATGCTCAAATATATGGACACGAAAGCCAAAACGAAGTACTATGTGAATAACATACAAAAAATGAATCCCGTAGATTTTTTGAAATGAATAGAAGTAATTGCATTCTAGCAAAAAATGCAATCTTTAGCCACTGAACATTTCAAAGCTATTGGACCAGGAGTAGAAAAGCGATTTTTCCATGAAAATAAGAAAATATCAACAAGAATAACATTATAACAAAACGAGGTACATATCGTGTCCAATAATATCAGCCTACCTGAAATGCACTGGTATCAGATAATCCTTACTATCTGACGAAGGTGATAAACGACCAAGTTGATGAATTATTGCAGAACCGAGTAATATAGTGATGTCCTGTGACATCATGCCACGCTGCCATCTTTTATTCGGCCGCATTTCATCATTGTCAACAACAACACGTCTTGCAACCTCAAATCTTTCCTCTGGTACAATCTTTGAAAATTAAGAAATATTGTGGTTATTATCAATGTCTTCAGTCACTCTCGTCTTCGAATACAAATGTTTTTATAATAAGTTAATTGAGCAAAACGGTAAATTGTGAGTACTTTCATGGCTGTGGAGTTTTGTGTTTGGTATGTTTTCATTGGAGTCTTGCGTCAGATCCAGAGTTGTATTTTTAAACTCTGGAGTCAGATATCAAATTTTCTGATTACCTGTATTCGACAATTAAAATTTCAGACTCAAAATGATGATATTTGAAGTTAAAAATTTCAACAAAAACGAAAAAAGGTCCTAGTTGACTTAGCGCTCCTTACTAGTCTTAAAGAAATTTGATTTCCTCAAGTGGTTGAGAGCCAGGATCGAAATCAAAATTTCTGTTTAACTCTAGGTTAGAGTCGCAACTTGAAGTCTGTAGTGAATTGTGAATTTTCCCAATTTCAAATTGCAGGCTCTACTATTTTTCCCTTAGCATAATCATACTTTTATGAATATGCCATATATGGCTATAAAATGAAATTGTCTTGCAGCAAGACACTTTTCGTAACTAGAGTTGAATAGAGCTGGAATCGTATAGCTTGTAGAGCAATTGAAACACAAAAACTGAATACAAAATTATAGTTTCATCTGTTTATAAAATAGTCGGTATTCTCATTGGTAAACATTTGCATAGGTATTCCATAAAAAAGGGAAATACTAAAAATCTTCGAATTAGAGATGAATAAACATTTAAACTCACCTCTCCATCAACATTTCGTACGTGTCGAGCACAGAATACTTTCTTATCTTCTTGAAACGTACATTGAGCGAGTTTTGCACATGAAAAGTGAAAATTTTGTGGACAATCACGAGTATTGCATCCAACAGTTGCCCCTGGTAACTTGCAAAATTCACATTTCTGAAAAAAAAGTAATGAAAAGTTTAAAACAGTAAATCTTTATAATACATTTTAATTAAGGCTCTCTCACTCCGTAATACCTTTTCATTAATGAAAAAATCTAATTTTGTTTTTAATGGGTTTTCATCAGCTATTTTATTCGCCACATTAACTAATAATAAAAGGCACAGCCTCTCACATATAAGTGAACAATGTTATCGGATGAGTGTTATAGCCTATCGCAGGGCTTCGCAAACTCCCAGTGCTAAACAGTTGTTCACTCTTATTAATCAAACTTAGCATAAGGCAGCATTTTATGCGGAACCAAATTATCAGAAAAAAACTCCTGGCCTACCCACACGAAAAACTATGCTAAATCAAAACATATAGTACTTTTATTTTGATACCACTGAATGCATTAGAATCTGCCCAAAATTTGAGGTATAATTTGAGGTGACTCATTCATGGGTCATGACATTTGTGTTGAGAAACACTGGCCTACGGTAATATTACCCAGTGGAAGCTTTTGCCAGTTGGAGTCAGAGGTTCAGTTTTGATAACTGTGGTTTTCAAATTGAATGTACCTCATAATATTATTTATTTGTTACAACTGCGAATAGAATCAGATTGCAGAGAAGAGACAAAGATTATATATATAATATTTACAAAGAATGAATATTATGGATCATTTTTCCTGAGACTGTCATTTTGTAATCCTAAATACATATCCGATCAAATTGTCAAGAAAGATCTTCCTGCATAACTACATAGTCATTATATAGCTTTCAGAACAATACCCAGTCATTATAACCCAAACATACTCCAAGAGATTATAGATTTCATACAATTGATCCTAGAAATATTGAAATCCAAATACACCAGAATATATAAGGTTGTTATATTAGAGTTGAATCAGTTGGAAAAATCAATGACAGAACAATTGTATGGTTTTTGCAAAAAACGCAGTTATACCAATATATTTTGTAGTCATGACTTTGTCAAAATAAATTTTAAAAAGTGGTCACCCTCTCTGGGAGGAATCCCTCAATATGATAAATTCGCTTGTTTAAGAGTGAAAATTTTACTTCATACAGAGTATGGTATTATGAATAATCTTTACTAATTTAGAAATACTCTAATACTTATTTATGCACAGATTATATTATAACTATTGAAACTTTACAAAAGCCAGTGTTAAACTAATCACTTATGATCAGATTTACATAATTATCCGGGAGAGAGTAAAGCCAATAAGATGGCCTAATCATATGGCCTTCCACCTGTGGTTCGTCATATAATTATGCTGTCTTAAAGTCTTTCCTCTCCCCTTTTTCCTCCTCATGATTAGCTAGCTAATAATGCAGGAAGAAGAGTTTTTATTAGGCAAATAAAGAAGAAATGTAGCACAAGAGGTTGGGCAACTGTTTACGCAAATTTTCTTCTTAATGTGTTATTTTTTCATTAGGTTCACTAAGTATAACAAGCCTTATATTTTACACGCATTGCACAGAAGAATTCAAAATGAACTTCAATAACTCCAACATTACTACTCCAGAAATGGCACAACCTATGGAGAAGACATATTATGTTTTGAAAATAGTTATGTATTCCATATATACAGCTATTTTATTCTACATAATGGTCTGTTATATCAAGAGAGAGCTGATTCATAAACATGATGGAAACGAAAACCAGGAAACTGTAAATTTGATGAGAGTGACCATGATCATGATGATGGTTATTGCAATTATCAGTTGTTTGTATGCAAATACGATGGAATCTCTATACTTCTTGAGATTACCGGTCCATTGTGACATCACTATGCGCATTCATGGATTCATAACGGCTTCGCAATCATCAACAGTTTTCATGTTATATTGGCTTCGTCAAAGAGTATTGTATAAAAACCCAGCCATATCACATCTAACAAATACTTGTACTAGATTTATCAGCATAGCATCTTTGCTGATTATGATTTTGCTCATCGTCGGAGTGATTATAATGTTCTTTACATTAAGAAATTACGAACTAATCAACTACAAGTGTGAGACCATAGCCAGAAATGAAACCAAGTACAATATTCCTATGATGGCAGCATTTGTGTTTACTGTTCTGGCTCAAGCGGGGCTTTTGAGTCTATTTATTCATCCTTTATATAAGCACATGTCGAATCAGCAAGCAAGACATAACAAGGATATTACTCGCAATCTTCAGCGTGCAGCTATTGCTGCTTTTACCTTCGTGTTGTTGGGCATCATTTCCACGGCAATAAAAAAAATGGTAAATGATGATATAGCTGATATATTATCTAAAACAAACATGTTATTGAAGGTTGTAGTTGCTGTTCTATCTTTCCCAGATTGGAGAAAAACTCTGACAGTTTTCTGCCCATCATGGTTTAATATAATGGATACATCTGTACATACCAAGGAGGGTGAAAGGTCAACAAGTGAAAGCTCCTCAATATAATCAGCACAATACACTCAGCTCTTTCTCACAATCTGGGAGTCCCACACAGACTATAGCATGATAGAATACAGCTCTGTACATGTAATATTTCTACTACGAGTCTCTGCATTGTATTTTTTTTAATATTTTGGTGCAAAACATAAGTGTACATATAAATATATATAATGTAATAATTTCAAAATCTTGTTCATTGTATATTAGGTAATCCCAAAGTATGTGATCCAAGATGGCAGACACCGGAACGTAGTATGTGTACCAGGTTAGGGTTAGGCCATAATTTCAGGTACAAATACTACAGGAGTTACTTGGTCGGTCACCGAACATGTGATAGAACTAAAATAAGAAAACGTGAAACATAATTATGGACTGACCCTCGACTGGTACACAAACTCTGTTCCGATGTTCGCCATCTTAATTCACATGCTTCGAGAGCGACATGTATTATATAAACGTATTGGTATATACAAATTGTTACAGCCTTCACAATATGAATAAAAGCTATTTATAATTTTTACTCTAAGTGCATAAGAATGAAATAAATCAGAGATTGGCCTACAGCAACAGCTTGAGACGGGTAGGATTTTCATATTTAACCCATGGGATAGCAAAGTCATTAAGACGGTTCAATCATCCCGTTACCAGTCCATGCCACATACAGGAATAGCAAAGTATTTGTTTCAGATGCATAGATTTAGTATTAATAATAGAAGACGCAACATCGCCAGCGGTTATATGAACAATCCTACGGCGGCGAGGATTCCAGAGATCCTCTTTTACATAATTATTCCACATAAAATTTGAACCCACGTAGGGTAATCGGAGTTGGGGTGGGGAGCTAATTCATAACGCTAAGCAAAATGCGCCCCGCACCACCAAGACCATATCATAAAATAATGCCAAAATATGCCAACAACTATGAATATCACAATTGATAGAGCTAGGCATGAACATCAAACCTAAAATCAATAAATTGTAATAAAACAATATTACGTAATACACATATTGCACGTTCTGCATGAACATGTCTATTCTAAAGAAAAAAAAATTTTCCAGAGTTCACAGAAGAATTTGATAAAAGAGTAAATACAGGTTTCAGTTGCTCAGATGAAAAAATAAATTGGCTGCTTCAATTTATTCTAATAATCCTTAATACGGGGAACAATTATACATGGATATTGAATATTCGTAACAACTAGTCTCAACGTTCAATTAAAATCCAAAACATTCATGATTTCAAAACAAAAAAAACATCTTGATTTGTTTATCGCAGCCTTTAATTTTCTCCACAATAGAACCTACAATAATCCTATCCTCTTAAAACTATTCATCTAACTCATAGTACAATTATAGCTTGTCATGAGCAGGATATAGGGAAGCATTAATTGCTTGTACAATTTGAAAGTACACATGTGAGCTTTAATTAGATTACAATTCAATCTGTTACAATAGAAATTATAAAATCTTTCAAAATAAAGAATAGCAATTTTCAAAATCAATGACATAAAATTAAATCATTTTAAACAAACTTAATATATGTATTTCAGCCCTAAGTCAAGCTTAGGTTATATAGGGCATTCATTAAGTTTTCATTTTTTTTTTTAATTACGAATGGGAATTTATTGATGAGATGATGACCATATATTGTTTTGGCCCTAACAGATGTATTAAATGAAGTAAAAATACTTGAATAATTACTGATTAAAAACAACAAACCGGGTTAAGATATATTATGAACTGACTTCATAACAAAATCGAAATTGCGAAGGGACACCCAGGTATAAGCAATCCTATTATAAAACAGCATAAGAGGAATGAAAGGTTAGTGAACGACAACTCAGCAAAAAATCACAAAATACTTTACAACGTAAATTTCTCAGAAACAATTTTCTGTAGTAAGAGTTGAGGAAATCCATTTTCCAAACACTTCAGAAAAGTGCATGATAACATCCTATTTGCCCATTTGTTCAATACAAGATATCAACATACACTGTGCAATACCTAGCTCATATGATATGTTCATTTTGTATTAATCAGTTAGAATATTAGTTCCCAAATTTTTTTAATTCCTGCTGTTTGCCTATATTACAACTCTTTTTTGCCATCACTATGCAAGAAATGTATTTTATTTATTGACCCCTTTCATAATAGATCCTTAGCCAGTGTTATGCTCAGTCACATTTCCAAGTTTGTACAGTTTATGTGGTATATTGTGTGCATGAATGAGTGTTTAGTGCTAATAATAAATGAACTGAAGAATATTATTATACTACAGCAATTATAACACAAAATTCCCATCAAAGAACGGCAAAATTCTTTCCCAGTGGGGAAATGGGAGTTAGACCATAAGTGAAATAAAAACCACATACCATCATTTTCCCTCTTGAAACTGCTGAATACACATTCTGTAATGATCCATCATGTCTCTCGAAAACTTCAGCCGACCATAAGGCGCAATTGACATGAACCCATTCATCTTGTCCACAGTAAAGAAGTCGACCTGCATTCTGTAAACAAAGTAAGAAAATAAGTTGTTCATTAAGTAGAGAATTTCTTAATTTCAAGGGGCTTGTTACCAACTTCCATAACATTTCGTCCAACAAAGGTATGTTCAAACAGAAATATACTCGTCTAAGGCTCTTGAACCACTAAAGATAGATATTTTCACCCTTCTTATATTAAATGAATACAAATTTTGAATCATGTCAATTTTTCCAAGCAAAAGATACCAGTTTAGAGAGACCAATAAAAATCTACATCAATGGCTAGGTTCAGTTCTAGAATACGACATAATTGAAAAAGTCGATATAAAAAAAAGTCAAATCCGTCAATAGTATCAAAGTAGTGCAAAACGAAAAAAAGAATCGATTGAGTATCAATGAAATCAATAAAACCAACTTACAGTAGGATGATCATCTCCATATTTTCCACAAAACAAGCATTGACGCATATCTTCATATTGTTTTTGAGGAGATTGCGCCCAGATCACAGTTCCTATGTTTTCAGATTTGGTTGGCGAATCGTTAACAAGTGGATTTTTCATCGGAGTATCCGGACCACCTAGTACTAAATCAATGTCTCTATCTTGCCATTGTGCATAGTTATGATCATTGTGGGGAGGCAATGTTGCATGTGGAAGCAAATCTCTGAAAACAATACACAAGTGGCTGTTAAGACGTCCGACTCAGCTATGTCACCATCGCTGCTCACATGGTTCTAATGACCTGACCCAGCGTAGGGGGGGTATAATAAAATGGGCAGGCAATGCTGAATAGAAACAATCTCGGTGCTTTCAATAAATAGTGGCCTCTAACAATTATAACAATTTTTGAATTTGAATAAATTCTACTGTGGAACATATTGTGAAATGGTGTTATAGGATTAGGTATTTTGTTTAAGGTACAATTATAATCCACAAATAACATTTTCTGTAGATCCATATTTCTGTGTTGAGTAAAAGTCCCTACAACCCAGGTCAAGTCACTGGTAATTTAAGTCGAGTCTGAATTACTCAGTCAAAACTCACTAGAGTTGGTAGATGATCTAGTTCTAGTCATTTCATTTACATAACTGAGATCACTTGGAGTTTTTGATGAATACGACTCTAGTCCAACTTGAGATAGATCAATAACCTCATTATCCCCAACAATCCTTTATTTCTGGTCTGTGTTCAAGTAATTCCAACTCTCACCCACACTAAAATCAAATAACTTACTCTGGCACATCACTTGAATCACGGACTCTTCCTGTTTCGACATCAAACCATGGAAATACATTATGCATTTCTTGGATGAAAGCACCTCGTGCTCCAACATTATATCTTTTCCGCTTCAATTTTTTGCTCGAAGCATCATTCATCTGGTAAAGTTGGAAAAAAAATATTTAGAAACCGTCTGAACCTGAAATGTACCTACGGATTGTTTGGCTAAATTACTGTTGGGAAAAAAGTTGTTGTTGAAAAAAAAAATCGCTTTCATCCAAGAATAATTTGAAGCAAAAAATGGAGAAGAGAGAATTCATCCTAAATAGTAAGTAAGTTGTTGACAACAGATTAATATTTCCCCCAGTTGGTAAACGTCAATTCAAAAGAAAATATTCGCACCTGCTGTTCTGTATCCATGATATCTTCATTGTGAACAGTGTTGAGAATAAAACAAACATCGGATGAAAAATGTGCAACAGAATTGTAACGACGATTATGTACAGCAAATCTCACAGTGAATAAATCGACAGGACGACTCTCATCTTCAGTATCATGCACCGCTGACTGGAAGCATAAATAAGAATTAAAGAAAAAATGATATTTTGAATAAGCAATTAGAAAATCAAAATACAGTAAGAAGAAACATGTTGCGTGACCTTGAAAGTGATAGAAAAGACAAGGGTATAAAAGGTCATATCAGGACTATGAGGCTGATAGCAGACTTAGCAGAAATTAGGAATTTCAAACAAACTTCTAATTTTTTGACAGAAACCTTAAAGACATTAAGATGACTAAGCATTCTCAACAGACACTCGAAGAAGGTTGCATACACCCAAGGTTTCTCATTATTGAAAACTGGTGTCAAAGTTGAAATTACTTCAATCTCGTGCTGGGAGCCAAAATAGGAGTCATAATGTTCGTATACCAAAAATCAGAATTTTTTTTTTTTTTTTTTAAAGGCCCAAAGTTTGGACTATGGTGAAAATTTTCACTGACTGCATGTTCAGCCCTTCATTTTATATATGATGACAAAACAGAAATATGTCCTCAAGAACTTCATCATGAGATATAATTTGATAAAGATAAAAATACCAACAGTATTATAAAAATACTATAACTAAAAGTATTAGATCATTGTTTTCAAACAGAATATTGAAATTTCCTTAACATATTTCACAATTCTACATTCCAGGTGAAATGGCATATTTTGTACATAAAAGTAGAAAATTTTAAATGAATTAAATGTTTTGAGAAAGTCACATTAGGAACTCTTCAAATATTGAAGAAAATTTTATTATATATATTCAATATAAATTTTTGCGAATAAGACAATAATATGCCAATAGACAGGGTGTTCGTAAACTCCCAAAACAATTACAATTTTGTTAATTTAATTATGGAAATAGTTTTCAATATATCTTAACCAGGAATGATTAATTTTTATCAGTGTTGAACTTTTCACTTCATTTAATACATCTCTAGGGGTTAACATACTATATATACAGTAGCGATATATTTTCTTGGCTATTTTAAAAAAAACTTTAAGATTTCATAGTCATGAAGTATATTCTATCCCTGTCCCAATTATTGATCATACCTTTTTAAGAATGCAAGCAGCATCCTTGCTATGAAACAGAGCCATCATAACGTTTTCAATTCCAGACTGAATTTCTCCTTCAATTCTCTTTTTCCAAGATGGCGGAGGAAGTCTGCATAGGAGACCTCGCATCTTGTCACCTTCCAAACTAAATAAGACAGCATGGGCTAATAAGCAAGATGTTTAAGGTGATGTAACAATGGAAATTTTAGCAGCCAATCAGACAGATTTTCGGGTATAGGAAGAGTTTTGTCTGGTGTCACAGGCAAAAAAAAAACCATTGGAATAAATTTTTCAAGTTTCCTGAAAATATACATACAAATTGAAATCAGCTTTTGTAGAGTGTTTAGTCAATGAAATGACAACCTGTAATAACCATCTTTCCACACAATAGACAATTAAAATTCACAAAATTACCAATTGCCAATTATTACCATCCCTGTTCATATCAGCGTCGCTTCAATTACAAAACTTATTCATACCTATCATTCCCACTGTCATCAGTCAATACATTATCACTGAGGCTCAATTCCAACTCAACTTTATTTTTTCGTCCATCACAATCTGGACAAGTATACTGGACATCGTCAGGTAGATGTGAGAGGAGGGTATACATTTCAACTGAAAATTTAATGGTGGACAAATATTATTTGAATCGTCACACATTAACAGATGTGTAATCTTTTTTCACACAATTGCAAATGATTCATTTTTTGAATCGGCTATATCTGGTTGGAATGTATGAGTTAGTTAGACTATGATCTAATGAAAACTAACAAATATATAGTACTTTGTATTTTGTGGAAAGAGATTGTGTACCGTAATTTAATTTATCACTTTAATACCATCTCATTCAAGCATCCTTGTGGCGATGACCACATATGGATTTGGAGTAGAAAGTAAACAAGAAGAGAAAACCTGTATTTCAATAAACAACACCATAATACCCTCCAAAAATATGTACCGGTATATAAATAAGAATTGCATGTCAGATGAAAAACAGGGTAAATTTGCTGACTTTTAAATTTAACACAATCTCAAAAAAAAATATTACAATTCTCTAAAACAGTATCGTGACTATCGTCTATCTTAAAAACTCTGGGATATTCATCAGCCAGCTTACAGTATGGCAATAACCATAATGTATATACACAGACTCCCTTTTATAAATATATTTGAGATAGCATGCAGTGAGATACCTGAACAATTTTTGATTCGTCTGAAATCTGAATTATGAATAACTAAAAAATTGAAATCTCAGGTTAAGTTATATAAATTATCAAGCTGAATAAGTAAAATAAAACACAATTTCCGTTTTTATTAGATCAAACTATAAAATCTACTAACTTGTCAAACTTTCACATCTAGAATGAACCCATCGTTTACAAGTTCCACATTGAATCATTCTTGTTTCGTAATCTTCATCACGATAACATCTTCTACATATCGGACAAAAATTTCCTTTATCGAACAAATCACCGCAACGTTGACAAAGTTGAAAATCGTGAGTCCATTTTGATCCAGGACGTCTACCGGGTCTTGATGCCCCACAACTTCGGCAGCGTACGCATCGCATACAAACCCAAACTCGATTTTTAGATGGCCTGAGAAAAAAGTTACAAATAGGGCTAGGATCGAATCAAATAATTTTTCGAATCGAATCACAGTTTGTTGGAGATTGGTAAATGCATGCGACTTTTTTAATGTAAGAGTCCTCCCGACTCATTACTGAAAACATAGAATTCGTTACTCACACATAACATGTTTTAACCATTAAACACTCTGAAGAAAGGAGTCACACGTCAGTTTGCATTTTGAAAATATGGCCTCAAGTGGTAATGTATAGGGAGAATATTTCTTGGGTCAGGATCACAATAAAATAGCAATGATTTTTGTGTATAATATTGCAATACTAATGGCGACTTACTTAGTAGGATAACTTGGTCCTAAACATTGACTGTGATATGTTTTGTTACATCTTTTGCATTCAAGTAAGTCATTTGGTCTGCCGCACACATTGCAAGATTTACACCTGTCAGAAATAAAGGAAGTTATACGGTTAACCACAGCCTCTCGTCCAGTTACCATTCCATGTCGGATATGGGAAAAGTTCATCAACCATTCATTTGTTTCAGATACATAAACTTGATGATGTGGGAATGAGTAATAGTTAGTAACAGTTAGCCAGATATTTGTTTCAGATGAATGGACTTGATGGTGTGACAGACCGTTTTGACAGAGTCATGGTTGGTAAAAAAACATATTACAGCTGGCGTTTTATGGAATGCTTATGTCAGCAATCATTCTGAGCATCTTTATCCAATAAAGTCATCTACCACTCAATGGTATTCAACTTGCAGTGGGGTAGTTATTTACATACTGCAATGGTTAAAACCTTCTAATCTGAACAAAGAAAAGATAACCAAAATTCTTGAGCAAACCTTTTACAAATCCAAATTCCTCTTTTTGCATCATTAATAGCACCTTGTTGTTCATGATCATCAAGACAAAACGAATGGAATGGTTCACAACATGAAACACAGAATATAAACAAAGGTATAGGCGTCACAAGATCAGAACAAGCACTGGAATCAGAAGTTGAAGAAATTCTTCGCAGAGGTCTTGTCTTTCCGACAGATCCACATAGGAAACAAACAATTTTAGTAGAAGGGGTTCTTGATGTTATAATACTAACTCCTCCCATGTTCCATAAGTCTTCCAGTTCATATCTCTCCTGAAATTAATTAATTTTAACAGAATGAGCAAAATGGAAATGTTTACAAAGTGGATATTTACAACTAATTGGTGTTGGGCAGACGTTCGTGAGTCAAGTCTGTTATGGGCTAATTAATTCAGTATTCAAGGTATATGAATATGACCGGTGGAGGAAGTCGTGACCGGCCAGTGGTTACACAAACCACCCTACGATGGTAAAGACTCTCGCATATAAACCACCCTACAACAAGGCACGCAGCCATGATTTCCACATAATTGTCTATTTGGGATTTGATCCAGCAAACCCGTACAAGGTATTTTTTCAGAAAGGTGATGGAAAGCATCTTCCTAATGCTTGTTGACATGGCGTACCAACCTAACAGCTAAATCCAATGAAAGAGATCCGTAAAAAGGCATTCACAGACGAATCCTAATACAATAAATCACCTTCCACTCATCTATTTTAACAATAGAAGCGAGTTGTTGTTGGTCCCTTTCGTGTAACTCCTGTTGCAATCGATGTCTAGAATCTGGTGACAATATGATTCCACTTGTAACAGATTTCTGCAAACAAATAAATAAAAAATTAGGCCTTATTAGGAGCTGACTGCTTGTGCAGAGCCGTATTAGCAGCTGACTGCTTGTTCAGAGCCTTATTTGGAGCGAGCTGTATATAAATATGTTATATAAAAATGTCAATCATCACAAAAAAGAACATCACTGTGAAGTTTTATACAATTAGTCAGAATTTCAGGGAGTTGAGTATAAATAGTATTTTTTATTATACTATTGCATGGTATGAGAAAAAACAGTATACCGGATGGTTCCCACTATTTATGGCTCATGACCCACTTCCAGAGGCTTTTAGCACCCGTGGCCCCCCTGTTTATTATTACAGTGGTATTTAGAATGTTATGATTGATAGATACCAAACCCCATAATGTTCGAACAAAGTGGTAACACCCTGTGAAATCTCCTTTTCAAGCAAGCCTTATCGAGTTTTTTTATAAAAGGAAATGTAAAATCAGTCCTACAGCTAGCATTGTGGACCGCCCTCCAAACACCTTTGGGGGTCACGGCCACCCAGTTGGGAACCGCTGCAGTATACCGTGTTTAAAATGATTTATTCCCCTTCAGTATATCAACACTGACCAAATCTCTCTTCTGAATCAAAATTCTTCATACCTGATGAGATTTTTGTGCTTCTGTTTCATATTTGGAAATTTTTTCAATGTCAGGTGAAGGTTTGGTTGGAAGTCTTGTTGGAAAGTTATATTTTTTTCGTAATTCTTTCATAGTCAAGTTAGTGTTGTCTGATGGATACAAACATGGAGGTCTTCGCAAGCAGGAGTTGTCATTTGTCGAATTCCTGAAAGCGAATTGAAATTTGTTGCTAGGAAATGAAGATGCTACTATAGTGCGAGGTTGACAGTCATATCTAGGTAGGGATTAGAAATACCGTATTTTACAGACCATAAGGCGCACGCAGTCAATAAATTTCTCAGATTGGGGTTTTGTCCATATGTAATGCAATAAAGCATAGAACACTACCTGATCCATACATTAGGCTCACCGGCTTATAAGGTGCATAATCGATTTTTGAAACAGAAAAAAATGTAAAGTGTGCGTTATGGTCCATAAAATACGGTAAGTAATATTTATCCGGAGGAGATGGTAAATACAGCATTTGGCCCTTGAACTATAGTACTAGCTTGAAGTAGATCTCACACTAAAGTTCAGTAGACAGCACACTATCATATCTCCGACATAGAATTTAAGAAATTTAAAACTATTTACATCCAGATAATTGAATATTTCAAATTTTTGAGAGTATTTTTAGAAGAAACATCACATATTCCATCATATGGCAACTTTTTTTTTTAAATCAACTAGGTAAAAATCAAAATATATAATACAAATTTAGAACATACTTGCAATTTTCGCATGTTCCGCATTTTCGGCTTCTACAATTTTTACAAGAATTACATCGTTTTTTATTGTCGTTTTTTCCTTTTTACAAATTTTTCAGGATGTGTTGTGACACATCTAACTCCTTTATCTTTTTTTCTTGCAGATAATTTGATTGGCGAACCTTTAGATTCGTTATCACTATCGGAAGATAACAATTCCCTATTCTGCGTATCTGAATATCAGAAAATAAAATAGGATTTAATTATGCTGGTATTAACCACAGAAAACTAGTTGTTTTAATATTTTATAATGAAGGACATTACTGGTGCAAATATTGCAAAATTAATAAAATTTGGATCAAAATATTGATTTTAAGCTGCAAACAAAAAAAAATAAAATTATTAAAAATAACCTCAATTGAATCTAAAAATAAAATATTAAAAACAGTATTATTTGGCAGTACTTGGCTACATCTTCGAAAACAAGTCTACTGCAGAACTGCGGAATTAGTTAAACCATGCCATATGCAGAAGTGGGTTCAAATCCCATTTTACCATATCAAAAATGATTAGTGAGTATACATAACACAAAAAGTTAGTGGAGAAAAAATTTTGGTAGCCAAGTATGATAATCTGGTGCTAGTATTTTGATAATACTTTGATTTTTATGTCATGGGCAATGTCTGATAATCATGCTCACAGAGTCACAGTTTATTTCCATTCATATACAGAATTATGGCATTCCTGTATCATTTTTTTTTGAATGGCCAATTTTCTTTCTTTCAAAGTGTAATATAAACGACTCCACATAATAGCACCCACAACAACGATTCCATAGAAAAATATTATATTTTCGAATTATGTATTGATCCTAGCTTTCTTATTCTGTTTCATTCCTCAAATCTTAACAATTATTCATATAATTGTCAATACCTCATATAATATTCAAAGGTTGTAGAATAATAAGAATTATATGACGGCCATAAAACAGTGGAACAAACCTCTTATTTTTTCTTGTTCTGCTGCTATCTTTTCTCTTTCTTTTCTCGGCAATGCACTCAGTTGTGGGTTAACACTGTCATCATTATATGTTGCTGGTTTATGGCCAGTCACAAGTGAAGCCCTTGATATGATAAGAAAATATATGCAAACATATATGCAAGCTATAATGTTAATTAAAAAGAGATATGGAAAACTGAATGCTTAATATAAACAGGCTCCATTTCATCTACACAAGTTCTTCGATACATCAATGATTATCCTAGGCATAGATTCAAATTATGTGCAAAAGTATTGCTGGACTCTTTCCTATCGCAAAAATGATTCATGTAACTATTATCTGGTTACAGAAGTGGCAATCCCCAAATAAAAAGTTTGCACTGACCACGCTAACTCCTCGCCCCAGATATGCATTAAAATCTATCCAATGATTTAATACTCAGAACTCCGATACAAAATATTGTTCTAAGAAAACAGTGCAAATATTGAAAGGTTACAAACAACCAATCAAATTTTCAGTAAGAGTAAGATTTAATAAAAGGCATCAATACAATCAGTTTCCACACTTTCTGAAAAAATACATAAAAACTATATCAGAACTTCAGAATAGTCCCAAGTTTTTTTATAACCACCTGGGTAGAACAACCTGGGTAGTTCAAGCTAGTGCATATTTAGATCCAGTTCTATATCGTGTTAAAATATGATACTAACATACCTTCTGCAAACATGTTTAATCCTAGGACCGTTTGATTTCTTGTTTTGCAAGGCCATGTCCTGTGGCTCTTTCTTCTTTTTTGTTGATGATTCATTGCTAGATTTTCTACCCCTGTCCCCTTTTTTACCCATCTCTTCGGTAGGAGACTGTAAACAAAAATAGCATTAAATTACAGTGAAAACAAAGAAATGTTACTTATGTAAATAACCAATTTATGGTGATTGGTAAATTTCATTTCTATTTCTAGTATTTTAAATACCCTGCATGAGTTTGCATGTTCGAATCCTGTGGGGATAATTATGTGCAAGAGGGTTGCTGGACTCACCACTTGATTACAGCTTCGTCCGTGATTAGGTCCATGCACCTGGGAAAAATAACTGGTAAATATTCCCATATCCGACATGGACTGATACCTGAACGACAGCAATGGTTCACCAGATGATTGAGTCGTCTTATCGCCTTTCCTTTCCCCAGAATGAAAATCAAATCCTACTATTCCTTCTATCTAAATGACTGAACAATCACTTAACAATTTACAATACATTTTTTCTGATCGTTTTGAAATTGAATATTTACAGATATTGATATACAGTAACTAAGCTTTTATATATAACTGACAACTAATATAATATCTGAGCAGAAAGAAACCTAATTTGCAATTTCTGTTACTCAAACAAACCCTTACAACATGCTTACGCAGAGAAAGTTGAGACAAACAAAGATAACAAAAACCTTGTGATAGAGATAATTACTTTTCTGCTTTTGTGCAACACCATTTAGTAATGATGACTTGTTTTTGTCAACAATATCATTATTACAAAATGAATTCTAAAAATGAATTCTAAACATTTTTCAATCTTAGTAACATGAAGTTCATTTTTACATGTAATTTGAAAATTCTTAAAAAGCAGGCTTGAGCAAAAAACTTCAATTTAACGCAGACTAGAAATAAATTTGCAATTTATTCAAAATGATATATAGCCTAAGTATCTAATCTATAGCTAAATATCAGATGAAATTATATCATTTGCTTCAAGAAAATGGTGCTCCCGAAGTATGCGAACCAAGATGGCGGACATCGGAACGTAACATGGGTAACAGGTTAGGGTTAGGCGATAATTTTTTTCCAATTTTCCTTTTTTTAGTCCTATTATCAGTTCGAAGACTAGCCAAGAGCCTCCCGTAGTATTTATACCTAAAATTATGGCCTAACCCTAACCTAGTACACATATTACATTCCGATGTCCGCCATCTTGGTTCGCATACTTCGGGAGCCCCAAAAAAATTCCCAGCTAATCAGACAATCAGAAATAATGAACTGCTAGTTGGGTAAGAAATATAGACTTACACTGCTATATACAACATGACTCAAGAATATCACTATTACAACTGAGAAGAGCACCAGAGTATGTCGTACCGCCAACTTTATTAATACCACATCACATTTCAATGGAATTTTCTCAAAGCAAGGTCATTCACACTCTCTCTCATCTCTGATTGATGTTGATTAAAGATACCACTGAGATGACTGGTGCGACTGAAACTATATAAATTTGACACAATAAATCATCTCACCGATATTAGATCAAGAGCAGGTGTTTCTTCAACATCTGAATTTCCACTCAATGATTGCAGACCTTAAAATAAGAATTGAAAATTTTCCTTAAAATTTACTCAGTAAGTTAACATGATACATACATCACAAATTTGTGAAAGATGAGAGAGAGATACTGAAGTATGAAAATTAATGAAAAGCTGCATATCGGTACATTTTATGATAAGCAAATTCAAACTATAATACATAAATTGGCTATTAAACTGAAATTAGAATAAAATAAATTTTGAAAAAATACAACCTTGGAGAATTCACTGTTTATAACGCTAGACAATGGAGGTTATTAACATGCCCATTCTTCGTGGAGCTAAAACGGCAAATTATGAAATGATAAATGCCATTAAATATCATGACAAAAACCTTTTCAACACCTTGAGGCATTTAATTTCGTATAAGAAAACACAGCATTATACCTGCACTACTGTCATCCCACACAGGAGCAGTGCCAAACAAATGATAGGCTTGTTTTCTAGGCGGACTAGTCAAGTCAGTGTCTGAAAGTAAAAAATTGACTATATTTAGAGCAAGGATCGTAATAGTTTAAATATTGAATCAACTGTGGTGGAATTTACGATATTCTATTTATTCTTCAGATAATCTACTTTGATAAACCACTTACAATTATATTTATAGACGCCTTTACAAGGAATAATGTTCACGTTAATGAAATATGGAATGTATTTCAAATTACGGTATGTTCAACAGAAATTTGCAGAAATCATTATAAATTGATAAAATTGATAATGCAGAATAGCGAAGATAAACATTGTTTTAAACACTTCCTATATTTTATGAAATCAAAAGTTAAATAAAATCTTCAAATGAGTTTTCATATGAGAATATTATACATCATAAAATGATATATATAATATCCCCAGGAATGGCCAAAACTAAATATTTAACTATTCCGAATATATTCTGAGAAAAGTATTTTTGAATATTAAATATTGAATACATTCTATATTGGGAGCATGTACATGTGGAAATTTACCTAAATCACTATTTCTTCATGTTGATAATATCTAAAATGGCATAAATATAATGGTTATGGTTTTCTCTGTGTTGTTTGTTACCAGCTGAGATATCGTGGGTTTTGCACTACTTTGTTCGTTTTGGACATCCCTGACTATAACGAAATTTTTTTAGGGAATGTGAGTATTTTATTCATTCAGACATGTCCACTCTCACCTGATGATTTACTTCTCTTTCTAGATCTTGGTTTTCTTTTATTGATTTCGTTTTTGTTGTTTTCAGTGATTTTGCTTTTCCCACTGGGCTTATCTAAAGTTAAAATAATAATTTCAAAACCGTGCAAATCTTTCAGGCAGGGTTGAAGAGCCAGAGTCTGAAGAGTTTCAGACTTCTATTGGTGATAATCAAATTTAAGAACAAAATTAAAATATCCTCAACAGACAATAAGTTTTTCGTATCAAAATTTGGTTTTCTTGGAGTTTAAAAATTTGCGTCAACCCTACAGGTCGGTCACCATAATCAAAAACTGGAGTTGGAGGCTATTTTCGAGACAGCTCAGATTTTGGAGTCGCTTGTAAATTTTTCTGAACTCTACAGCACTGGTTTTAGGCATATCACTCAATAAATGTAAAGTTTATAAATCCCAACTCAAAAACATAGACAAATGTATTTGAAGAACTAAATAATAAGATAATAAAGTAGCACCACTGGTCTCGACTAAAATTACATCTTTAAAAACTTGATATATTCCAATTAGAATAAAATTCAGCCAGTACTTGGACTTTTTCTTTGTTTTTGCAGGGTTATTCCGAATAACTTTTTTCCGTGTTCTGAATATACAGGTCGAAGAAATGGAAGAATATCCTCCTTGACCTGAAAAAAGAACAAGAGAACAATGCTTAAACGTATGAGTTCATGTTACAAAGAATTGAACCAAATTTAGTAGGAAGATGTGCCCAAAAATTGAGAAAAAAAAAATTTTTGAGGTAAAATATAAGCAGCCTCCATAAGAGTCGCAGACTAATTGAAACAAATTGGATGTTACAGACTTCTAGCGACTTCTTCCAACTTCAGGTACTAAAATTTGAATTGAATTGAAATCGCATGGTTCTATAGTTTCAGAGAAAGGTTTTTTTCACAACAACCATCCCAACAAAAACAAACAACAATAAATTAAAAAAATTATCATTAGGTCCACTATGTAAGATATTCATGATGTACTAATTAGTAATCTTGCAATACAAATAATAAAAATGAGTATGGGGCTTTATCCTACAATACTACAAAGTTTTTTAAAAGCAGCCTTTGAAACAAACAGAATCTTAAAAGTGCAGCATAGTCTGCACAATATCTGACACCTCCTAGTTCTGAACTTTGGTGACTACAGGATTAACAAAGGTTTGGACTCTCAATCTCTTACTCTAGATACCCAATTCTGATCTTTACTTAGGTCGGGGTTGTGCAACCTGCAACCTGCGGCCTGCGGGCCAGGTATGGCCCACAAGAAAAAAATTGTGCGGCCCGCAGATAAGTGCCAATTTTGAATGGTGTGCTGCCCGCAAGACGAGTTTTTAATTTATTTTGATTTAGTAGGTGCGAATAATTTCATTTACATTGTATTGTAAAGACTATACTTGAGGTTGTGCAAAGCGAACAATGCATGTCCAATATTAAATAAAGATGCGGCCCGCGGTTTCACCCAGTTATTTGTATTTGGCTCTCCTGTATAAAAAGTTGTACACTGCTTGCTTAGGCCATCATCAAATCAAATTCATACACAAATGAATTATTGAAAACTAAGTACTTACTTTTCCCGCAATGACAAGGTCTCTACATGCTACAGATTTATATCGGCATCGAAGTTGTAGATTATCATGACTAGGATGAAATTTATAAGTGCTATGTATTTTTGTCCATTCTCCATGACCAAATATATGAATTCCATGAAGAAGATTGTGAATCTCTTCAGTTGACCAAACCACAAACTGGAATAACATGAATGAAAATGTATATTAATTTGAAATAAAACATTTGAAAATCAAAAACCGTTCAAAAATCAGTGGCGTGAACCATTTTCAATGATTTGCCTGTAAATGTCTCAACTAGAGTCGATTATAAACAGTTCCTCTCAACAACACTGCACACAAACACTGCGATCAATGAGGGTGATACAGGGTAAACCCTCCCTCTCCCAAAAAAAAACCAACATTTCCTAATTACTTCCATGAAAATGAAAAAATTTGTTCGATTTTTGGACTCTTGAGTCTAGTCTAGTGTATGTATGATTGCGCCCAAAAGTTTCAGTAACATAGGAAGCTTCACACAAAAGTTATGTTTCGGATGTGTGACGACAACACAATCTCAAAAAGAACTATTTATTCAAGTTATTCTGGTGAATGATGAAATTGATAGCATCAACTCAGATGAACTCTTACCTTAGAACCCCGTTTCACATGACACATTAGCCTGAAAACATCTGGAGTAAGACCAAGGTATACTGACTGTGGGTCGGGAGGTTCTGAAAAACACAAAACGAACAGAAAATAAGTGAAATCATGAAAGCGCACAGTTTTCTGCAAGAAGTAAAACATGGATTGAACAAAAAATTCTATGATGATTGTTTTCTGGTGTGCCCTTCTCTGACTCACTATTTAAATAAAATGCCGAAATAGAATGGTAATAAGTTAGACATAATATGAGAGTTGCGCTGTCCCAAACTGAACAAGAAATAGATGAAGTGCTGGAAGCTAAACAATTGCACCCATTTAACTATACAATGGACATTTAGTCGACTAAGAGTCATCAAAAAAATTGTAAGCGGACCATTATCCAAATTTTTTCAAAAAGTTCGAAAAACAGTGGGTTAGATCGTTTGGTATAATTATGTTGAGCTAATGCACCAAGTTTATCAATCAACTAAAAATTTAATAAATGAATACGACTATGCGAAACAATTTTGTTTTTCAGACATAGTGGAACTATAAATCCGCCTGGCAATCCAGAGCTTGCCATATGTTACAAAAACAAGAAATGAAATATGATTAAAGCATTGAAACCATAATACTGGATACAAATTGACAATTTTCCGAATATCAAATGTGCAATAATTTTTTAACCAGATCGAAGAGATATTTTGAATCAGAATGTTGAATGATGGCTCTTTATAGATTTTGCGTGAGAATTCAAAATTATTAATGAAACATAAATACCTTTTGGAACTAACTGTTTCCATTTCTCAAAACGTTTGCGAAGAGTACTCAAAGATGCCTTTTTGTTTCTTGAAAAAGCTGCTATAAATAAGAAAGTTCAGTAATCAGTAGTTTATTTTTCCACTATACATAAAACACACTTTGTAAATAATGAAAAAATTTGTAAATTGGCATTCCGGAGTGAAGGAAGGCGCGGGATACCAATGCTGGTTATTAAGCAGGGACACCTTTACAAATTACTTTACTATATCAATACCATGGTTGCAATAGACTAACATTCATAATTGAATATCTTGCTGCCAATTGAAACAAATTGAACTTATGATTTTTCTTTTAACTAATAGACTAATTGAATTCCAATTCTTAGTACTTAAGATGGATCACGACACTAGAAGGCTCTTACCTTTATTTTTTAAGTACCTCCAGAACCCTATAGCAATGAAACGTGATAATTCACCCAAAATTTTGCTGATTTACTTTAAATGAACTTTTTCCTAAATATATTTGAGCATTGCTCTTATGTTGTTCCAATTTTTTTTTCAAATCACAGTGGAATAGGTCGAATAAAACAATGTAAAATGCATCCAAATCTTTAAAGTTTTCTTAAAACTGCGAAGATTTCCCAATAAAGCCGAAAAATGCGAAACTTCAAACATTATTAATGTAATCCAACATACAAATAGAAAACATATATTTACCTTCAGTCATAGATATAGTCGTGTTGCCATCATCATTAACGAGCTGATAAGCCTAAAATAGATAAGAATTATCATAGAACCAAACTTACTTTACCAATGATAAATTTTTGACTGAATTGCAGAGATACAAAACATGTTTAGAATGAGAGCACGCTATGAGTTCCAATACCATCTGTAAGTCTCAAGTAAAACACTCATTAGATTAATCATACAAAATGAGGCAAGTGGTTCATTTTTCCAAGTAAGAGGAACAAGCTCCTGATCCACTCCCCGACCTGCTATGGCAACATTTCCAAACCAAAAAGAAATCCCGTCCACATGGAGGAATAGGAGGTTTATTAGTTTTGCTTCGTATTCATTGTAGATCTGACATGATTTTCTTTAGCGTTTTATTATTACTATAAAACTTATTCATGAATACATAACAAACTGCTTAAAATGTACAAAAACGATAATGCGACTTGCGCATAACTCTAGCAAAGGATCCATTGAAGATTAAACAAATAAAGTAGTTTTATGCACAGGGGAGGAAGGAAATGATTTCAAAACAGGCAAAGGGAACAATTCAACAAAAAAAGATTGGGAATCACTGTCCGATGGGGTTCACAGCTTAGGCCAGCGTCACAGTTACAATCTTGCTACAAGATAAGTTTACAAAACATATTTGGATTTGACATAATCACAGTTAGAGTGAATGCATGTATGTTATTTTTTACCTCTGGTTTCAAAACCATATTTAATAGCAGTAGCTCACAAGTATCCGATCTTTCCTGATCATAATGACTTGAAGCCCAAGAAGTTTCATGTCAATCGATATTTATTGGCATGTGAGTGTGACGTAAAAGTTACATTTTAAAGGCAATATTTATAGTGTTACAAAAGCAAAAGTGGAAAACAATAAGGCCAAGTTAGCCAACATTAACAAGTGTCAAAACTAAATTGAATCGCAATCTCAACAAATTCCTTGGGCTATTTTTTGCTAAAAGGTCAAAATTTGGTTTTAGTTTGGTTGTGGCAGCATCAGGCGAGCCAGATTGAAATACCCAACACTCACCAACAGGCGATTTGGCCCATGGGCCATAGTTTGCTCGTGACAGTTCTATACAGTTTCAGGTCTTATTAGTAGATATTTCTTTTTTTTATGTAACTTTGCTCAAAGATGAGTATTCTGTACTAGTGAGTGCATGTCAACTTGCTTTGCATAAAATATTTCAATAAAAATTATACAACCGTATGATATATCACTGAACTAGTAATGATGTATGTGATGAAGATAAATTCTATAAAAAAAAAAAACTATGAAAAAAGTGACAAAATAAATGAATATAACATACCGTCACCCGACCACCTTCTCCGATATCACATTCCACATTGCTTTTCATTCCTCTCATTCGTAATTCTCTTGCAGTAAACGCAGTTACATTTGGGTTATCACTTAATTGGGGTCTCAGTTGAAGTAAGATGGAACTTTTTACCTGAATATGCAATGCAAAATTTTATTTAACAAAAACTAAAGTGAACAAAATGAAGGCAGATTTAACAATCACAAAAAATTATATTTCACCGTCGAACATTACATATAATACCATTTTTTATGAGTTATGACTCTCATCCACATCATTTGCCCCAAATCCGGCCCTGTACAGGCATCCACTGATATCTGACAATATGTAATCGGCTGTTATTTTTTAAATGACCCAAATATTTCCTACCATAGCACCCATCCATGTGAACATATAGATCAGCATTTCTCGAACTTTTTTTGCCCCTTTATATCTAGCCTCCCGGAACACCAAGAAATTAAAATGCAAAAGTTTGCTGAAAACTTCTTGACAATTGAAACATTAGGCCGAGGGTTAACGATGTTGAACGGTTAAAAAAAACACCATGCTTTCCAGACTGGCACAAGGCCTGTCCGCCTGTTTGTCATTTGCTGGGAAACAAATTTATGATCCGAGGTGCCGAAGTACGGCCGAGTTTGCCATGGCGAGTTATTTAGTCACAATTTTTCAAACCCTGAATTTCGAACCAACGGAGCACTCCACAAAGAATGATGTGCACGAATGTGGTGAAATTTCAAGTTGAAAAATTTTTTTTTTTCAAATATTTCAACTTTCAAAATAAGAATATGTCCTAATATAGCTACCTTTAGACTTCCTGAAAGCAGACCGATGGTTGTCAATGCCTTTGATTTATTTTTCATACTAAGCCAATCTCGGTGCGATGAATCAAATCTGTAGTGACGTGCGATTGTTGTCCATGAGTTGAAAAAAGTGTTTGCGCCATGTAAGACATTGTGTATTTCTTGTTTGGTCCATAGCTGGAAAGAAAAAGTTGAAAATTTTTTATTCATCAGCCAAGTGCAATTAACCAGACCATTATGTGCAGGGTGTTCATAAAGTCCTGTTGAAATTTTGTTATGAAATCAGTTCTCAATATAACTTATCCAGGTTTGTTTTATTTCAATCAGTGTTTATTATGTTTTTCATCTTTATCCAGTACCATTTATATGTAATTGCACAAAGTGCATCGTGCATCAAGGTTTTTTACAATAGTCAATTTATAACTTTATTAATAACCTATATATTTCTATATGGTGCAAACATGTTTTAATATAGGAGCTATCTAGTCAACTCACTAGCACCCTCGAAAAAATTGTTTAAAAGTTAGGATAAGATACATTGATGGGTACTCCTGAAGTATGCGCACCAAGATGGCGCTTAACCTGAACTCAGGTTATGTACCAGGTTAGTGTTCAGGTTATGCGACATCTTGGTGCGCATACTACAGGAGTACCCATTAATCTCTAATAATTGAATATAATATTTCATAGTTCATTTAAAGTTTTGGCAACATTCCTGAATTTCGGTAAAAGCGTTTGTTTTGTATATTGTGTTTGTTTCTTCCACAGTTCAGAGTTCGAAAACAAATCATTTTATCTATCTATCAGACTAATCTAACCAAGAGTCTATTAGCTAAGAAGTTATATATTACTCACTGGAACATTTGACTCATATCTTGTATCATTTTGAATAATTTTATGCCATTCCTTTCTAGACAAACCAAGATCCGAAATCTGATCTTTCTCACATTCCGATGACGAACTATGACGTTGTGAATAATTTGGCTGTATCAAAAAAAAGAGGTATAGAATCAGGTTTTCAACCATCCAGTAGACAAGTAAATGGAGAAAACATGCTTAACTTAACACTTATATTGTTTGATTTACAGAAATCTTACTCCTTTCAGGTTACCATACTGGTACCGATGGGCACCTTCGTGTCCATATATTTGCTTATATAGCATTGCTTTCGTTTTGAAGTTAAAATTCAAAATACTCATAAACTTGTAAAATCGTACTGGTTTGAAGGTCGCCTCTCGAATTAAATTTCTTTTTAATCTGTTTTCATCGTCATAATCATTTCCGACAACAAGTGTTGACGAAGAAGTTGGATGTTTAAATCTTGCCCTTTTTATTAATTTACGCGCTCGTATCCTTGTACTGATCCCTGAAAGCAAAATAACCAAAAAAAGAGGCAAAAAGATTAAATTAGGAAATCTCCCAAATCAAATTTGAATAAAAAAATTGGGTGCTCCAGAAGTATGCGCACCAAGATGTCACACAACCTGAATCCTAACCAGTACACACATACTATGTTCAGGTTGTGCGCCATCTTGGTGCGCATATTTCTGGAGATCCAAAAATTGTAAGAGAAACTAAGACAGACAAAGATTCAATATAAATTATTGATTACATTATATGCATAGAATCCAAACTGAAGAAAAACTCATATTTGGGATTGTTAGTTCAAGTCCAAGATAGTCATGTATTACAATGACACACAAGGTATATATTGATATATATGTATATATTAATGGTTAGGCCCCAGAAAAATATATTATAAAATATCCAGGGTTTTCAATAATATGACATCAAATCCTCTTCTTGGATTTAACATTGAAGCTACATTACCTTTGTCCAGACTCCTAGTAGGTTGAGGTTTGTTGTTGATATTAGCGAGAGCAGCAACACGAAATGTAGCTTCTTTTAATAAAGGTCTGCCTTTGCTTGGTGACTCATGACTTGCATCTGCTTTTGTTTTTGAACTCTGAAAATTGATTTATAAATTTTGTGCTTTTGAGAGTTATTTTTTCATTTTTGAGTATGCAAAATTTAGGTATGAATCTAATAACTCAATGGAATTCTCTCTAGAGTTTCAGTGCAGTTGCAGTATTAAAAAATAAGTCCCGAAAAAGCTGCGATAGACGAGAATAAAATTAGCTTCCAGAACTTGTAGATGACAGGTGGTAAATATTTTGAATCAAAAGGATGGTTGTTATGAACATGCAAACTCTCAAAATTAGCATCAACAAGTTAGTACAGTATAGAAGGATTTTTCAGGGGTCAAGGGTCGGGGAAGCATCCATTAAAGTTCTTTTTATCAAACTTACTTCGTTATGAGAATCTTGATGTTGGAGTTCATGAACAGAATTTGAATATACTGCCGATGTATCTTTTATTTCAACACTAAAAACAAAAAAGCAACTTCAGTGAATTTCAATTTCAACTTTGATAAAATAAAAGTTAGTGTTTGGATAAAATCTATCTCCATAAAAAGCTGCAGAAGTTTTAACATACAATTTCAACACTGTATAACGTAACAAAAAAATACTTGAAAGTCCTTAGAGGATGCACTAGCTCACCACCGGACCATTTGACAACGATCACCCTCCCGTCACAACCATAAACAAGCATTATGACTAGGGCTGTCCAAGCGAACCAAATATTCGAAATCGAATCGAATCGCAAATTATTCGAATCTTTTTTCGGCTAATTTTCGAATCGCTAAAATTAGGTACCGGTACATAAAGCGGAAACCACCTTTACGGGATGTTTTTCATCGGGCAAGCGGCGGCGCTCCGAGCTCAGACCACTCTCGCTCCAGGCTTGCTTAATTGGTTTCCCGATATTTCTCTCGCCTTCATTTTGTGATAAACATGTCATTACTAATGCCCGCCCGGTGGCACGTGATTAGCCATTTCATGCATGGTCATCATAACAAGGTATAATCGATCGTGACGTTTTTGAGAGAAAACAAGGAGAAAAAGGAGACAATTTAGAAAACGATAGTTCTATAAATAGAATCGATTTGAAGCTGTTGAGTTAGTTATCAAGGAACATGGTACAGGAAACTCAAAGCTGAAACAGGTGTTTTGGGATCCTTATGATGGCAATACCTTCTTTAAATGGAATTTGTAATTTCTCATGATGGCATTACTGTATTATCCATCTATATACCAAGACAAATAATTGCACTCTTGCATTTTGATGGCTGTTGTACACTAACAATATTATAGTCCTCAAATAATATTGTCATCAAACTAGCTTGGAATTTTGAAATGCAATTTTGAACTTGAGCAAAAGTTTTATCTATATTGATGGTTGTTATTATTTTGCTGAAATTTACACAAAAAAACATAAAGACTAGTGAATAGGATTAAAATAGCATCTACAGGCTTTATATGTCCTACTAAAACTGAATCCATCAAAATTGAGATTGCAATTTTTGAATAGTGCAATTTTTACTCTTAACACTCAAACAGTTTTCGAGACCCAAATTTTGGAGTTCTCCAATTTTTCAGTTCATACAAGCAGGTGATCTCCTTTGATGTAATTGCACATACGTTACCACAACATCGAAGGGCAGGCGTTTATTGTATAATAGAGACAGATTTACTATTGCGCAATAATATTCGATTATTCGGTTCGATTCGGCGAAAATATTCGATTCGATTCGAATCAAAAAATTATCCGATTTTGGACAGCCCTAATTATGACATCACAGTTTTTGATACCACAATGTTTTTTTTTGATTATTCATTGGTGGCTCAGAGGTGTGGTGCATCATGCTAAGCGTTAGAAATACGGCACCGCACCTCTGATTATGCAGGTTCGAATCCTGTGGGGGAAATTATGTGTCAGGAGATTGCTGTACCCCTTGCCGCCGTAGGGTGATTCATGTAACCCCTGGGTGGTTTCGGCTCCCTCAACCATCAAGTCCATGTATCTGAAACAAATAACTGACCAACTAATCGTATAACTGTCATAGACTGTTACTGCTGAGGAATATAGTATAGATAAAAGATTGGACAATATGCTTGATTTGAGAATATTGAAAAGCCTTGATCAAATAGATATATCAACATTAATAAAGAGGATAAAGAATCCATACTTTGTATTTGCATCATCACTGTCAACATATCTTCTGTTTGCTTTAATAATGCGAGATGAACGCGAACTTTTCGTTGGAAGAACAAAGGATTTCGACTGAAACACAATATTACCGATGTTAATGACTATACATTGATGTCAAACTCATGCATCTGAAAACAAATAACTGGCCAACTAATCCCATACCCAACATGGACTGGTAACCGGACGTGACACCATGATTCGTCATATGATTAAGACACCTTATCCCCTCCCCTCTCCCCAGGGATAAATATGTAAATCATATCATATGTCAATAAGTATTCAATGCGAATTGGGAGTTTAAAAAAATCGTAGACTAATTGCGTTTCCTCCAGTGCTGAGTTCAAGTTTGGCTACTTTCAAACTCAACGAAGTTGAGAGTCAAAATTTTAATTGTCCGGACTAGTGAATCGTAACTAAAAAATTTGAATGGGATAATCAATTTTCTGAAGAAATTCGCCAAATATTAAAGTGACTAAATGTACTTAACAGTCGATTAAAGTAGTGCATGTCAAAGTTTTTATATTTGAATACGAGGTCAGAGTGGGAGCTGGAGTCATGGTCAAAAAGGGAGGTATAAAGCCAAATTCTCCTCAATAATTACACATCACAGTGGTTCCCAAAAGTATAAGTCGCGAGCGGTAAACATGGGTCGCATTCAAAGTGATTTAAGGCTGTCAAAACACAGGGTTTTTTTCATTTTAAAAGTTCTTCGCATTTCGTCATAGTCTGAACTATTGCATCATTCGAATTTCATTTTGCTTCTTTTTAGTAAGAACTAGAATATTGCATCACCAGTGATTTCCCGGGAGTTATAATAATTACTGACAATGAAGTAGTTGAGGTTTAGGCTCCGAGTATGTTTGAGTTTGATTGAAAGGATGCCAAATGGCTCTTTCAATGCTAAAGGTTGCCGACCCGTGTACTAGGTGAACATCAGCTAATACTTCTTCTGTAAACAGCGTTCATTTGGTGAGTAAGTCTAAGCTTCATGAATTCTGCCCTGGAGTTCACTTTAAAGTAATTAGTCATACATAATTAAAATACAAACTTTCGACTTTGAAGCAGAAGTGATGATTGGTGTTGAAGTATACATTGGTTCATCAAATTCAACTGATGATTGTTTTAGTTTTCTTCCTCTCTTATTTGCTCTTGCCAACAATGCCTTAGCGAGGACTTTAGGATGACCTGGACCATTTTCTTCATCTTGGTTCTAGTAGATATATATTGATTAAGTTACATATAGTGTAACGAAAGAAATCGTATATATAAAGTAGAGAACATTTTTTTTTTGACAGAGGTTCTAGCCCGTAGCCTAATAGTAATCACAAAAAAGCATTTTTTTATAACTGAACTATCTTTGTAAACAACAGTACTGTTAAAAGGTACAAACTGGCATTTATTATAATTCTATGCGAAATTCAGTACCCTAATAAAACATGCAAAATCTACATAAAAATTTTCGAAGCATTGTCAAAGACAGTCACATCAATCCTCAACTTCAAATTGCATCAAATCGGGCTCAATCGCCCAGCTTTAACAGCAACTCAACTCTTTCTGCATCGCAAGTTACACATCCCGGATTGCAATCCCATACCCACTACCTAACCCAGGGTATAATAAATAGGGGAGGCATAGCTCCTTACCTATTGCTAGATATCAGTGGATGTTTGTAGATAGCCTTGCTCTTGAGCAAAAAGTGTGAATAAACATAGCTAAACAAAAACTGATTTCACTTTTTCCTCGACTCCTTTTTCCTTTCAAATAAACCCACCAGCCACCATTCATCCTACTTTCATGGCTTGATGGGGTTATTTCACAGAGTTAGCATTAATAATTATTTAAACATAATGGGAATTGGAATCTACCAATGAAAATAATACTATAAATACCACTGGGATGATAAACAGGAGAGCCATGAATGCGAAAAGTCTTAAAGGGACAATGAGCTATAAAAGATTAGGAACCACTGGTCTGAAGAGTCCTAAAACAATTTCTACCTCGAAATTCAACAAATTAGAGAATAAGTTATTTTCAGAGCCGCATAGTCTTGACTCACCAGTTTAATCTTCAAGCATGTTGGTGTTACGTTTGTTACTTGATGCATATGATATGATAAAGAAGGTGCAATGAATGTTGCAGGCTTGATTGGGGATGTTTTGTTGGATTTTGAGACAGGATTTTTCATATGAGCTGTAGATGAAGGTATACCGAATCCCTGAAATTAATAAGCATTAAAACATAAAAACATTATTGGAAATAATTTGATATTACCAATGCAAAAATATATTTGTTATATCAAAAGTTGAAAGATCAGTCTAATATATGTCCCAGACAGTCCCAGTGAATGGGTCAGACAAAGTTGATAGTGGTCTACATTGAAGCACCGAGGGTCGTAAAGATCAATAAAATTTGTTCTGGAAGAAACCGAACTTTTTGACAATATTTTTAAATTTCAGTCTAACGAGCCTTTTGCGCTGGACGGATAATACTTATTATCAATAAAAAAAGAAAGCACAAAGGAGATTCAAAATAAAATAAACCAAGAATTTATAAATACATGTTGATTGTAGACAAGAAAGTGTATATTTTCATATCTAAATCTGTATTTAATAGCTCACAATATGGAGAGGTAAAAAATTTGCCACAAATGACACTTACAACACTTTCACTTAAACAATGAAAGTCGAGATTTGAATTCTTGTATTTTGTGAATCCTTGATCAGAAGAGAGTGTGTATTCAGATTCTGAAATAAAAATATATTTACCTTAATGTTGTAAATGAAAAACACAAGAACAATGATCAAATATATGAAAATGAAGGTACATAAAAACTGACCACAATATATAAAGCCTAGGTAGAACTGTGAAGCAGGCGATCACGTTTGATAAAATAAAAAAATAAATAAAAAAGCCAAATTTTGGGGGAAATATCGGATCTCACAAGACTAACACATGAACAATTAAAGATAAAAAAAAATAATTGTCCACTGGGGACTTTTTCCATCTTTAAATACTGAAAATTTGAAATTGATCGATCCATTGTTCATAAAGAAAGACAATTTTTTCTGAACCAAAAGTTGCCATAACTATGACAACAATTTAGCAAATCAATCCATATGACGGCGCTCCAGAAGTGTATGTACCAATATGAAGGTAACTCATTTTGTTCGCCTACTTCAAGTTGTGTAAAGAGACTGGAACCTATGGGCAGGGACTATATTCACTTAGCCAACACAAACAGTCCCCACGCTTCAAAAAAATCAGAATAAAACTATGGCCTAACCCTAACCTGGTACAAATACTACGGGAGTACCCATTTGACAACAGTGCGTCCTTGGATAAAAGAAACAAGAAACCTATGCTCCTTGTAACAAACATGGTAAACAATTAGAAACTTATAAAAGAACATGCCATATCAAGATATATAATTTTAAATAAAATAAACAAACAAAATAACTACCACAATGAAATGAAAAATTGATCATTCTGCACTCACCAGATGATGTTACTCTGACAAGTGGTTCACTGGGAACGTCATTTCCTTCAATGATTGGAACCTTGAAAAGTAAAAGTTACACTGGTAAGAATTAGCTTTCTACCAATATTAGAATAATGGAACTTCAACTGCGGTAATACTTGAATATCAATCAATAATATTTGAGTGGTAGATGATGAATATCCAGTAACAAATCAAACCTCTGATTTTGAATATCTTCGTCGAATGATTGTACGCTTTCTTCTTCTTGTGCGTTCGGAAGATGGCAGAGAATCCAAACTATTTCTAGCATGAGCCAATCTGAAAAATGATTTACTCGAATTACTGCATTATCTAAAATAATTGATTGCTATCTATGAGGGTTAAATCGAATCCTGGGGGTGTTTGGTGAATAAGTTTCGTTTCAGTCCATCTTCAAAATTAGCAATGTATTCTGATGAGCATTCATTACGATAGAACATCAATTAAATAGAATAGGGAATACATAACTGGGTCGTAATTACCATTCATGTAATAGTGAGACAAGAATAGTAAATAAGAATAGTTCTTGCACCAATTTTTTAGTTCTCCAATAAAGGGTAAAAATAACCAATAAGAACTTAACAAGATAGAATCTATTTCAGAAAAGCAGTTCAATTCCGGTAAAACAACTTTCGATATATAAGCAAATCCGAGAACAGTATGCTCTCTTATTGCAAACGCACTTAATATTGAACAAATATTTAAATGCGGAAGAAAATGTGTGACTATGTGAAGTTGACTATTCTTATTACCATAATATAATATGTTCTTCAGTAGAAACAGTTAGTGGGACTGAAACATATTCATTACATGAATCAGGGTGGTCCAAGGTTGCAAAATTGGAGGGACGCAAAAAATTTATGGATCAAAATGGACGTCATTCCCATGTTGGCACCGCCTCGACCTTTATATATACAACCTCTATATTTCATGATTTTAACACATATCATTTCCAACATTGGGATTAGAAAAGGGTTTAAACCTAGGAATCCCAATCCCAGTTGGAATGGGCTTGGAAAACAAAATCAAAAATGTTCTGCCAATAAAAACAAATATCTGCCAATGGTTCAGTGTATGTTAAAATTGTTCTGCGGGCCGCCCGGAATGTGTCCGCAACTCGCATGCATGGATTGGACCACTCTGACCTAAATTATAGCAGAATAATTCAAAGTCAAAATATCTGAAATCTGAATACCTGGTTGTTACTTTCTTTTTTGTTAGATCGATAGGAGAACCTAAGATATCAGGGATTTGTGCACCTCCACGCCCACTGCCATTTATTCTCTTGTAGGCTCTCAATCCACATTCCTCTGAACTGAATCCATGAAAGTCCTCATCCTAAATTGAAACACAGAACAAATCAAATTTTGTTATCACATGATACATCACCAAGTGTTGAATTTCATAACATGAGCATGTGTAGTTAGTAGTAAATCGTTATTCGCACACAAATTATGTCTTCAGGAGCAAACTTAATGTCAAAGTTAATTGAATCAATAGGTAAATCTTATATATAATGTGAGACGATACTTTATTAGTATTACAATGTTTTAAAAGTTAATAATGCTTTAGGAATGTTCTGGTAAAAACAATCAAACTAAACCTATGAATTACACACTATAATAAGACGCTAAAAATATCATCCGAATCTTCTATCTACGTTTCCAAATCAAAGGTGATGATGCAAAGCATGATGTTGGGATATTTAAATATTGAATTAAAATTAATCATATTAATCACAATTAACACCATTCTTGGATCTTTTCCAGTTTGATCTGTCTCATAAATTTCATTGAATGTCTATTTTGTACAGTACTGAAAAATTGGAATAAAAAAATAAATATGTCAGACCTCATCAGAATTTCCAAACATCTCATAAAATCGCCGAAGATTTTTCTTTATTTGTTCTGCAATGCTGAGATGATTCTCCCATCTGATACTTTGATGTCTATGATTCAAATTGATTATTCTTCGTTTTTCAATCTTACGCCTGGGACATCCAGGAAACCTTCCTTTTGCTGCAGTGCTCATTTTACTAATTTTTATTTACTGTTGTAAATGCAAAATATTGCTATTTGTATTACATGAATCTTATGGCTGCATGGCGTACCATGGCTCTCAGTCGATGTTGGGTATGGGATTAGATCAGCTAGCCAGTTATTTGTTTTCGGATGCATGGACTTGATGGTAGATGAAGCTGCAAGCGACCAGCGGTTACGTGAACCACCCTATGAGTCGACAGCAGACAGCCATGAAATCTTCACAAATATAGTTATCACCATGGAATTCAAACCAAATCTGCAATCTATGACAGTAATATAATTTAGCTACATGATACATGGATATATTACTCGCACATAGAAATACAAGAGTTTAGTGTAGTTTCAAATCTCAAATACTTCTACTGGGTGTAACCTAACAATTTTCGCATATATCAAGATATTTAAATTCTGAAGTTCTTTTTTATTAATAATTCTTATTAAAGAATTATTCTCTCATAAGACTGTAAGATGGGATTATTTCAATATCAGGAATCACACTTGATCGATTTGCAAAGATGAAATGGCAAAAGGGGTCTAAAGAAGCACATGCCGCATGTGCTTGAATACCGCCAAACAAAAAATGTGATGTGAAAATAAATCATGTAACTGCTTAAATAACAATAAAAAAATGTGATGTAAAAATGCTGCCCTATTTTTTTATTTTTTTTTCAAATGAAAGTCAATCTCGCATGCAACGCTATACCTTGTTTGGCATGTGACATACCTGCTTAGTTGAAAATTGAGTGGATTTTAACTGAAGGCGTCTGTCATTCCGCTCGAAGCAAATAAAAATTTCACATCGAATTTCTGATTGGAGTAATAAAATTATTTTTGTTTGACATTACTATTTGCTATTTTAGTATTTAATAAGTTACGCCGTATACTTCGCTAGACCCTGCGAATCTCAATGAATTTGTGAATACTCTGAAGCTGAATGAGTAACAAACAATGCGATTGTGTTGAAAAAGCTGGCATTACAGTCACTGCATTCAGTCATTAGGTAAAAATACCCATTTCCATATTGGCGATAGTAAAACGAGAATATCGGTCGGAGACCGAAGACTTATCGATGGAAACTGCGGTTTCGATTCATGACTCTATAGTGACACCACGTGTCTCATAACTAATTAATTGATAACTCGCTAATTATACGACATGATTCATCCAAAATCAATAGGCTTCTGGTCCGAGATATGATGAATGCACATGCAAAATTTGGAGCAGATTCAACCTTGCCTTCGTGAGATATCGTGTGCATTTAACAGACAGACAGACAGACAGACAAATACCTATAAACATACTTACCGATCTAAAGATCGATAAGTAAAAAGCATACCCTATACCAGGGGTGGCCAACCCGCGACTCACGAGCCGAATGCGGCCCCTAATCCGATTTAATGCGACTCTTTTTGCCTTGGGTTATTTTAAGAGAGAAATAACTTACAAACTACGATTTATCCTATTCTTCTTTTATGTCAAAAATACATGAACGCCCTAATTCCCTTTATCATGCAATCACCCATTATTACATCACAATAGATTTTTGTGAGACAAGTTATTGCACTACAACGACTGTCGTAATCGTATCTGAAACAAAGTTAGGACAGTTTACCATTTGATTGAAATAATTGAAGTGCAGATAAAACGTAACAAATTACTGGATTATGTTCCCGATAACCCATCTAATTCTGGGACAGAGAGTTTGAAATTCCCTCTAGTCTCAGATGAGGCTGAAAATGAGTTAAAAATGATCAATCTTTATGAGGAAGACCAACTGAAATGAGTTTCGAAGAAAGAGACCACTGAGTTATGGATAAGCATGCCAATGAAAAAATACCCCGATGTCAAACGAGCTGCACTTACTGTCAACATACAGCTGTGAATCTGCGTTCTGCCCTACTAAAACACATAAAACCAAAACATTGATCTGTTCTTCTAACCGACACCCATGTGTACATGTGAAAGAACTGCTTCGATTGGCTACAACGAACTGCTGAACTGACGAAATACAAGCCAGATTTAAAGAGGATTGTTCAAATCAAGGAATGCCAGAAGTTCAACTAGCCCAAGTCAAGAAGTCTATAAGTAGCATGCATAACAATAAATTGCTTGTACTTTTTTGTCATAATCATGATGGTTTGTGAAATTTCTGAATTACAATAAACTAGCATTCTACAGCTCTAGCAGAACTGAATATCTGGAATATAGCCTAGGTCAGTAGATATACAGTACCGGTAGACTATATACTGGTCAGTATATCCTGATGTCTGGATGTTCGTGTGTTCTTGTTTATATTGCTGTATTGTGGCTCTTTGCGGTAATAAAGTACGAAATGCAGCTTTTGGTCTCCAGGTCGGACCGGTTGGCCACCCCTGCTCTATACTAATATTCTCGCCCACAACTGCACCGATTGGGGTACGCCGATAAAAACTGAAAAAGGAAAAAAAAAGCTGCATGTGTGACTCACTCTGCCCTGCAAGTATGTCCCGCGCTCGCTCTGCAAAACATAAAAAGGTTGCGAGTGTTGAGCGACCCAAATTGGAATTCCGGATTTCACGATTTATCAAAAATTAAAATAGCTGTGAAAGCACAGAATAACTCGGAAGTGTATTTGCATAAAATGATGCGATAAATATCGATATATTAATATTTCCCGTTAAATTGCTATTTTTGACACAACTTTAAAAATCGAGGGTTTGCCGACTCAAATAACCGAGTAACTATACTCCGTTCACTACTGTAACACTGCGATATTACGGTGAATTCCTTAGGGCAGGGGCGAGTAACATTTAATACAGGAGAGCAAAATACAAGTACCTGGGTGAAACCGCGGGCCGCATTTTTATTTAATATAGGGCTTATATTAGTTGCAAACACAAAACTTTGGTTAATGATCTTATGACATGCGTTGTTCGCTTCGCACAAGCTCAGGTAGGCCTATAGATGACTTACACGAGTCACGTGAAGTCAGAAGTCATCTCGCTTGTGTTTCACTGCTTGCGGACAGCACTTCGTTGATGGTGAGTGATAATGTGCCGTTATCAATTTCTTTAAATATTCATAAGCTTCCTCATTTCAATGGAAAGCAGATGACAAACTACTGTTATTGATAGATAGATAATGATTTATTTCCGATACAAGTACATAATACAATAAGCATGAGCAAATAACAATAAGCATAAAAATGTATACGGAAGGGGACGGGCAAGACTTCCAAGGTCAACAAGGTCGACCGACCCCTAAGGTAAGATTCTACCAAGACAGGACACTCTAAAGCAGGCATCACAATTACAATAGAAGAAATATAAATTTTTGAGTTTTAAGCCCGGTTAAGAGGCCCCAGAAATCAATTCCCCGAAAGTATTGGAATAGAAATAAAAATTACAAGGAACAAGAACATCACATGATTACGCAGATCATGTTTTTAATAGTAATTAAAAATGCGAGAAAGAATAAGAAGGGCGTCGGGCTAATGAGAATGAGGCAATTTCTATGAATAGGTGAAAAATTAAAAATACCATACTTCCCAAGCTATATAGTACATATAATTATTATTTCAGACTATATATAATAGTATCTTCAATAATTTTCACAAAGACATATGAAGAATCCATATATAAGATTGTGAATTCCTATCCATTTTATAAATCTGATAGCATACACTGAGATTTGCATGATATTGCATCATATTATGATCCGCTGAAATGCTGTTTTAATTTGCAAATAGGGTGGTATCAATCAAAGATTGAAAATTACAAGAAAAAAGAACATCGCATGATTATGCAGGTTATACTTTTTTTTAATAGTAAATAAAATGCGAAAAGAAGTGAAAAATTAAGAAGGGCGTAAGCCTAATTATAATTTCCTCAAATTTAATTTTACTTTATGTTCGACAAAAATCAAATAGTGAAAATGAGGAAATGAGGCAGTTTCTATGAATGGGTGAAAAATTTAAAATACCATATTTCCAAAGCTATATAGTACATATGAACACTTCAGACTATATATAATAGTATCTTCAATAATTTTCACAGAGACATACATCTATAAAATGGTGATTTCCTATCCATTTTATGAATCTGATAGCATACACTGAGATTTGAACGTCACTGCATCACATTATAATCCGCTAATAAATGTTGTTTTAGTTTGCGATCAAATAATTGTGGGGAACACTGTTTCATACTCTGTGGAATACTTTGCCATACATTAATACCTTCCAGCTTGAGCGATTTCTTCATGCATGAAGATTGATATCGCGGGGTGAAATACAATTTATTTGATGTACTCCTGGTCTCATATGGATGGATATTTGAAATTTTGACAAAAAAGTTTTGAAAATACTCTGGCAGCAGCACATTTTCATAACGATACATAAATTTTCCCACTTCACTTATGTAGAGTTCTTTCAATTGAAGAAATTCACAATGATGATACAGTTTTGCATTATTTATACGTATTTGTCTAGATGACTCTCGGTACATCATACATCTAATCATCTTATATTGTAAAACGGCAAGGGGTCTTAAAGCAGTTTTTGTCGCGTTACCCCAACATAATATACCATATCGAAGATGTGGAAAGGCCAGGCTATTATAAACTATTTTAAGGGTTTCAAGATTTACAAATCTCCTTAATTTATAAAGCATTCCAAGTGATTGAGAAAGTTTTTTTGAAAGGTAATCTATGTGATTTTTCCAATTAAGTTTTTCATCCAGAACTATTCCCAAATATTTTATAGTACTTGTTCTTTCCAAGCTAATTCTGCCAACTTCTAATTTAAAGTTTTCAAACCTTATATTTTTCCCAGACCCAAAAACCATGAATTTTGTTTTCGGATAGTTAAGCGACAATTTATTTAGTTTCAACCAATGGTCAGTTTGCTTTATTTTCAAATTCATTGCATGTTGGAGATCTACAATATTTGTGGCAGAGTCAAGCAGAGCTGTATCATCAGCGAATAGTGTGGTATCGAACGCACTGGTAGTAGGAAGGTCATTGATGTAGACTAAAAATAGTAGGGGACCAAGAGTGCTACCTTGT